AAAAAAAAAAAAAAATGACAATTGTAAATACTGGACTCTTTTTTTCTTTCTTGTTCTTGATAAAGAAGTTGTATAGAGGCTCATCGACATACATCTGAATTAGTATTCGTTGTTATGACTATATCACAAACGTGGCTATTTTGGGATTTGGTAGTGCATCAAGGATCTCCCTTTCTTATCACTTGGGTACAGTTGGAGACGACAATGAAGTTGAAAAACTGGAGTGTTTAGAGAAATCTCTTCTTGCGATGTTAATATAGTTTTTTTTTATTGCTCTGCATAAAACTATAAGTCAACTCATTTTCTTTAGATTGCGCACTTACTCGTCTCATTTTAACTATCATGATTCAGAACATGCGCTTAATCAAGCATTCGTGAGACCTTTTGCTGATGTTATTGCACAGGCATTAAGCAACAACAATTGTAGGTACACACTACGCGCACGAGGAAATCCACTAGAGGGTTAATGTTACAAACGCTACCTGTGATGTCGTCAGCAAATCTGTTCAGGAACAGACACCCCTCCATGTTCCTTGGTATAGAATATGGCTTTTTCAAAAAAAAAAAAAAAAAGAGATAAAATGTGGTTATTGCTGTATTTTAGTTTTTTATGTTGTCAGTTTGATCAACAAAGAACCAAGATCATTCAAGAGTAATATTATATCTAAAGATATTCCACTGGATAGCCTTAGGTTAGGTGGACACTTTGGTAGTGTGAAGTTGTACAGTGACGCCACATGTATAGGAGAATGAGCGCCCGTAGCATTAGCCTTCTCGTGAATTTCCTCGCGCGCGTAGTGTACACCACAGTTGCAAGGCTGATTTCGTTGAAGAGCAATCAGTTCAACAAAGCATGACAAGGCAATTAAAATTATCTGGGCTTTACAACGACAATAGCAGTCAGTATAAGACGGAAGGCTTGCTCAAGCTTTTCGGCTTGAAGAATATGGAGCTTTTGCTCTCGGAGGCTTCCGGTTATTTTGGCAATGATGACAAAGTCAAATAGAGCTTTGACTATCACAAGGGCATGCTTGGTGCCCTTACTGTGATAAAGTCTCTTGTCAATGAATTTGACTATGCTTTGATTGGCCAATTCAAGAAAGCCAAAATATTTTTCTTGGATGCAGCAGGTAAGAGTTATACAGCAAGTGAAAATAAAGGCACTGATTATTTTTGAAGCCTCAAAGGATGCCACCTTCACATCTGAAGCTTATGTTATCAAGAGAATGGCTTGTTCGATTTCTGGAGAGAATGATCTTTGTTGATCAACCCATATTTCGAAGACAGATAAGACTTTGTCCCAGACTTAGTTAAGTTCTGCTTGGACACCAACATAGTACGCCATCTTTGATCTTGATATATACAAAAAATGCTTACGATATTGATCCAAATTGAGATTGTCGGAGAAGTCTGCTCAGGACATCTCCGCTGTACAGAAAGAGCACCTTCAAAATAAAGCCAAATACAGTTACTCTGTTGAATCTCCTGCCCTTTTAAGTAATGTATTCAATCCTGTCATATTGAAGCTGGCAAAGGAATAAGACAGTCCCGGAATGATTGAACTGGGGCCCATCTACTCACCTCCTCATCCTTGATTGCTTTTTCTTTATTATTTTTAAATATATAAATGATATCCTCAGCATCTAATTACCCTTGATCAAAAGGGTCCTCAATTAATTGACTTAATCAATTCTCGAGTAAATACTGATTATGGCTGTGTCAAGCATGGTATTACTTCTCTTAAAGCTCAAAAGTAGTTACAAGTAGTCTTTGATGCAATTTCTAAAACTTATAGTGTGTGACAACCATTGCACTTGCTGTAAGCCAGCTTTATCTAAAGAAAGAAAAAAGATCAGATTCGTTTACCTTTAAATACTACAAGAGATTTAATAAGAACTGTGTAGGGATGCGACACATACACCTGGGTGATTACAGATTGATAAAGAGAAGATATCCATAAACACAGTCACTCTCTTACATCATTACAGGAAATAGCACAGCCGGCTAAAGGTATACGCCACGAAGCATTTACGGAACCCGCAGTCCCTGAGGACCCTCCCATTGAATAATAATCAGTCCCTTTGACCATACTTTTACCTTGACTTTGAGAAATTGACCTTATTGAAATACCTTTCATCTTTCTCTCAGTATAATCTATCTCTCTTTCTCTCTCTCTTTTCTGTTACCTCAGATGTAAAGTACAAATAGGGATACAAGTATTTGTTCTCTTCTTTAATCAAATTTGTTTATGCTCATCTTTTTTATGTCAAACCAAGTTACCGCGTCGTTATGTTGCAACATACAGTGATCATGATCGACTTTTACCTTTCTCTCTCTCCTTCTCTCTTTTTATCCAAATAGCTTACTAAGAATTACTATTGGTAAACACGGATTATCATGTTACACGATAGATGCAGCATTTCCCACAATGATCAAGTCATGTCATTATTACTCATACATTAAAACGCCAACATTCGTCTCTTCAAGAAGGAGAAACAAGGCGATGACAAGATCATAACACACTTGTTTTATCTGCATATTCCCTGGAATTTTTTTTTACTCTAAAAGCTGAAAAATATGGAACAGGATCGGAGTTAGTTGTTGCTGAAATCTTAATTCAGTCAAAAGAAATGGTAATCCTTTCCTTTTTTCTTCTTCTTTAGTTGCGCAATCTCCAACAAGAAAAAGAAAGAGGGGAGAGAAAAAAGACCATTGATATAAAATGAACACGAGCTCAAGTAAGTTTGAAAAGAAGAGTATAACCAAGGCTAACATGTCTATAATAGACTTTCGTATAGCATGTGTGGTAAATAAAGAAAAAAGAATAAAAAGAAAGCACTAAACCAAATATGTATTGTTATTCTAGATGGTTGGTTTGCCTGCACGAGGAAAGACATATGTGGCATATAAAGGTAGTATATATATAAGTAGAGTGGCTCTCAGTAATAATTGTATATTTGTGTGTATGTATGTAGTCTGTAGATATTTAAACTGGTTAGGCATCAAGACACAAATATTCTCAGTGGGTAATTATCGACGTCAGATAGCCGGATTACATCCTCCACCTACATTTTTCGATATTCATAACCAAGATGGAATGAAAAAACGTCATGAGGCAGCAGAAATTGCACTAAACGATATGATAAAATGGTATCTTGAGGAAGACGGAATAGCAGGCATTTTTGATGCTACAAACTCTACAAAGCAGGATAGAGAATGGATTCATCGCGAATTGACGAAATTGGATGTTCAAGTCTTATTTATCGAATCGATATGCGATGATCCAAAGATCATCATGTCAAACATCAAGGACGTAAAGCTCTCCTCTCCTGATTACGAAAACCTCGATCCGGAAACGGCTACAGAAGATTATATGAAACGAATTAACCATTACGAAGCCTTTTACGAGACGATCACAGAAGAGGATTTGACCTATATAAAGTTGATTAATGTCGGGAGCCAATATATCATCAACATGATTCGTGGATATTTAGAGAGCAGGATTGTATATTACTTGATGAACCTGCACACGCGACCAAAACGAATTTGGTTTAGTAGAGTAAGTTTGTGCGCGTGTGACCCATTCAAGATACAAACTGACTTTAGTAGCATGGTGAATCACTTTACAATCTGGAAGATCGAATCGGTGGCGACTCTGGTCTGTCACCAAGAGGAGAACAATATGCGTTAAAGCTACCGGAAATTGTCAAACAAAATATCGGTGACCGTCCTCTGACGGTATGGACATCGACCATGAAGAGAACGATTCAAACAGCTAGGCATTTAGATTTCCCAAAGAAGCAATGGAAAGCGTTAGATGAATTGGATACAGGTGTTTGCGATGGTATGACTTATGATGAAATCGCAGTACGTGTGTGAAAATTAATATTGAGAGAGAGAGAGAGAGAATTAACTCTATTCAATTAAGGCGAAATACCCAGAGGACTTTGCACGTCGTGATGAAGACAAGTTTAATTACAGATATCGTGGAGGCGAGGTAAGATAAAAAACGCCCATTGTGTTATTTTTCAAACCTGACTTATTGGAATAAATAGAGTTACAGAGATTTGGTGCTAAGGCTAGAACCAGTCATTATGGACTTGGAAAGACACGAAAATATCTTGATTATATCTCATCAAGCTACTATTAGATGTATGTACGCATACTTTATGGGCTTATCTCATGAAGAACTGCCGTATGCCCGTATTCCACTTCATACTATTATAGAATTACGGCCAAAGGCCTTTTCATGTGAAGAAAAGCTATATAAAGGTATGATTACAATCCATAAAAGAAAAAAAAAAGATATTTACCCTTTACAGTGGACGTTGGAGCTGTAGATACCTTTAGGCCAAAAGGACAAGGAGCGCGAGTATTAAAGAATGACACATTTGTCTGTGAATCTGTTGGAGCAAGCGGAGAAGTATCGGATGGGTCTAAGCCTATTTTACCAATATCACCAATTGCATCAAAAACGTTAACAAATGAAGCATAATAATAAACAAATACTTTAATTCAAGTCTAACAAAATCTATTTTCTATTTTCTGTCATTTAGACTCCGTCTTTTTTTCTATAAAGCTTTCAAAAATTGATTGGCCAACTGGGATCGTTTTTATTATGCAAAAAACATGTCAAGGAGGGTTAACTTTGTACACTTGTGTGGGTTAATGGTAGAATTTCTCAATTGGCCCAATCGGAATATGATTTAAAAAGATTAGCAGTTGTATTAACCCAAAAAGAGTCATGTGCAAGGAACAACTACAGAAAGGCTATGGCCAAAAGCTGCTTATTTCACTGCGTCTTATTTTCCATCTAATAAATGTGGCACAGTCTTTTCAAGAAGCAAAGTCGCATTTTTGCAGCTTTTATAATTCAATTTGTACGAAAAAGCGACATCTCTTTCTGGAAATGGCGTATATCACACTATAATCAGATATACCAATGAGTCATTTCTCAGATTCTCCCGCTGTGACGCTTGAGAACTAACATTTATTCTGAGATAAACATAGAAACAAAAATATTGGATCTACTATTTTTAGCCTTCTCTGTTGAATGTCAAATCTATCATTTTTGATCAAAAAATTGATTAAACAAAAGGGAAAGCGTGATTCATCCCCTCTTTTTGATTGTTAAAAAGAACTGTTTGCAAAAGTATATTTTCTATATTCGATGGCTGACAATGGCTTGGAATTTTCACTAAATCTATTTATAACACACCAATGCATGACGCATTACTGGGGAACCTATTATGACTTCACTCTGTTCATACTGTTGACAAAGAAAAATAAACGAGTGTCACAAGAAACAAAGTCTCGAGATGCGCTGTCTTCGCTAGCAATCAGTTGTCTGGTTTAACTCAGTGTTTGATAGGTTCTCCTCTTCCACCATTTGCTCAATCTTAAATCAGTCAATTCAACACTGATACCTTTAGCAAACTTTCATGGTCTTTCGTTCCTGCAAGAGATCACTTGACGAGCACGGTGTGCTCACTCGCTAGTAAGTTTCATTTTTAAGCTTCATTCGATATTCTAGTTTGATCTTTCTTGTAGGTCGTTCCTTATGGAGGGTAATGGTTTTTTTGAATTTGTAATAGTTATGTGACTTACATTTATTCCTGCACATTTAGGCTCTCCGGTCTGTTTTTGGCATAGTTGACGCTCTGCTAGGGGTATTCTTTTTACTATATTTAATTGCTTTAGCGAACAATGCGGGTTTTTATTCTAACAAAAAAAGTGAGTATTCAGTCATTCACATGGAACACACGTTCTTGTACTTTCTTTAAAAGGGACTGTCAATTTCTAACGTATTCGTGCTACACGACTATTAGTATTGTGCGGCCCGGCTATGGTATTTTTTATTATAGTAGTAATTTATGATGAATCATGGGGACAGGATCTTCCCTAGTGATGGTGCCATATGTACAACCTTCATTCCTAACCTAATTCTTCATTAGTTTCTTCTTGCTTAACAGAAATACACATTCTTGTTACAAAAGCATAACTAGCATGTATCAATTAAGAGAACAACATTCGATGTAGCATTCTAGTTTCACGATCAGCTTGCGACAATCACAAAAAACATGAGTATAGTCTGTGCAAAAGACACAAGCACAATGGACCGAGACGATTGTGTCACACTCTTTTTTTTCTAATTTCTTAATTTATAAAAAAGATAACTAGAAAGGGAAGAAGGGGACGCGGATTAAGAATGCCGATTTATAATTGGAAGCTTTAGATTCTTTTATATGTATCTATTTATTTTTTTTGCTTGTTCGATCTATAGTAAGAGACAACGGCCATTTACAGATAACAATAGATAGATGAACACAAACAAATACGACAAGGAAAATACATTGTTCGTAACCCTTTAATTGCAACGAAAGTGTTGTACAGCCCATGCTGTAACAAGTTATTTGTATTTTATAAACAGAATTAAATAGGTAACAATTTTATTCAAACAAGGGAATATGTTTGTTTCTTTGGTTACTATTCTAGGGCAAGTAGGTAATGACGTTGGTATACGTTCTACATATCTGCTTACGAAAGCTTTCTGAGCCCAGTGCCTCGAATGTCACGCATAAAGTAAATATTTATAACAAGGTCCATAAGAGACAAAGGATGGATATACGTCAATAAGTATGTATACAAGATGGTCTGATTATCTGTCTTTCTCTATCTTGTTTCACTCCTATTTTTTGAATGTCCTTTAGATAAAGCATAAGATGGTCCTCACTTGACATGATAGGACTCTTCTCAGTCTTTCCTTTTTCATCGTAATATTTCCCGAATGGTTTCATCAAGTTAAGCCTCATTTTTAAGAGAAAAAGAAAAGCTTTCCCACAGAGATTAAAAAGAGGGGCAAACATTCTATTCTCTTCTATAAGTTAAAATACTATGGTTTTTTTTTTCGTGGTAATAGAACTCGTGTACAATCTGATCTTTTATCCACTTTGATATAACAATGCACAATTCAATCTCCGTCCTGGGTAACAATAGTAAAATGACACTTTTGCCCCTTTCATAAAAACGCGTCTATTGTAAAATAAAAAAATGTTTCTTTTTAGGAAACCTTTTGATGCTCGCATGTAGCACTTTTTCGTCATTATGACATTACGTTTTTGTGTACAAGCTAAACTATAACTTTTTATATTTTTGATATTATCCTTGGCTTTTTATTTTAAAAAAAAGAGACAGAGACAACGTCATTTTAGGAAAAGTCCCAAAGGATTCTTTTTTTTTTTAATTGTTCATGAAATTAAAACTAAGCACGTTTAATCGTTTTAGAGTGATTCCTCTTGTTGTTTAATTAATATTACACTCTCACCCGAGCGATCACCCTTTTATTTATTTTACCGAAAACTCCACTATCAGTAGGTCACCTTAAAAAAGTCCTTTTCAATGTAATCTTGTTTTGTACATCGTCATTTAACATATGTCAAGTGATAATGTCAATTTAAAAGAAGTAAAGATGTCATGGGGCTGGTTTGCGAAACAAATAGAGAGAAGAGAGAAGACTAAACCGGGAAAAATAATTTACTACAAAAGCTTTACGGGAAAAAGAGCACCTATAGTAAAGAAAAGAGAAGAACGGAAGCACTTTTTTTTAGTAACCTCGGTGCTTATTGCTCCGTTCTAATTGAATGATTCGATCAGGGCAAATTTGTTTTGGATGACAACATCGCGTGTCATCTTTAATGCTCTAGACACTTTGCATTTATGTCTGTGTGTGTTCTCATGATGTTGTCTATAAATACGATAAGAAACTACTTTTCTTTCTTTCTTCATTGCTTTACTTTTTTTTGTTGATCAAAAAGCCCACATTATAAATACAACTCATATACCTGCACATATATTATATATCATTGTACATGTACCCCGTTCAAAAAGGTTTATACACCCATAGATCAACTATGAACCATTTCGCAAAACCAGGATATTCATTCATGAGCCTTGATACTTTTCCATTTACCAACGCCAATCTCGCAGACTTGCCTGACGAAAAGACTCATCTCATGCGTTATCCAAAGGGCGACACATTTGAACAAGATGTATATAAGGAAGACCCTATGACGAACAACAACCCTCCTGCTAAAAAGTAATATAAAGAACCTACTCTTTTTTTTTTGCAATATTGACTCTCTTATCTAGGCCACTTACTAAAGCTGAGCGTCGTGCAGAGCATAACGCTATTGAACGTGCACGCCGCGAGAGTTTGAACACAAAGTTTCAATGTCTTGCTCAAGCGCTTCCTAACCTCATGAACTACCGTCGTCCTTCTAAAAGCCAGATTGTCGAAAAGGCTCTTGATTGGGTCAAACAAAGCATCACAAGAGAAGAACGCTATCGTTATCAAATTTTACAACTTCAAAGAGAAAATAAAAGACTGCTGGCTCAGTTTATGTCCTCTCAACAACAGCAACCATCTCCTAATACCATGCCCTTGAATGCAAGCCCCATTCCTATGGCCTACGGCGATTTTGAGCCAAACAGCGGTTGGTCCAACCCCGCACTCTTGCCACAGATGCCTTCTTTCAGTGAAGACATGACAAAACACGACTTTGGATCTAGAACAGATGATGAGGACAGTAGCAACGAAGACGACATTGACTATCATCAGCCTTCACCCATACGTCGTTCATCCCTTTTTGAAGGTTCTCATGGTAAACATCAATTGCAACCTACGCTCATGGATAATGAATTATACTGTAAGTCCAAACTTTCTCCTCTTTTGTGGACTGTATCGCTTAACCTTTCTAATTAGCTGTTATCAATACAAATTCATTCAATCCTGCATATTTGCCTGAATGGCAACAAAAGTATTCTACCATGGACAACATTAACCAGCCGTCCTTTTCTCAAATGCTCGCATAACCTCTCGCTTTCATTTGTTGATATACTATGCTTTTTTCCCACTTCTTTTTTTGGCTTGTTAGCAGAATAGATACCAAATTCGTATTCCCACCTTTTTTTTAACTGTCCCCTAACCTGATAAACAAACGGATAGAATTCCTAGTCATCTATAACCTGTACATTCTCAACTCTTTATTTATTGTTTTCCTTGTTAACAATAAAAACGCTTGTTTTAGTATATTGCGCTTTGACATTCTGTAATCCCTATTATTCTTCGCTTTTATAAATAAAAATAGGAAACAATATGCATAGTCTGGATTTAACCGTTTTAACCAAAAAAGTACAAAAGCGTGTGGTCTGTGTAGCCTGATGGTGCGAGAGACACCTGTTTTCGGGGTATTATTCCATTTTATAAATGATTAAAAGAAAGATATGAGATGCAATATGTACAAAATAAAAGGAAGCAATGAGTTCAGGATTAACTATCGAATGGACCGTTTTGGTAAACCCATGCGTGGCCATCGTTTCGTCTCTTCACTACTTTCAGTCGTCTTGTTTGATTTTTTTTCATCACCAAAGGTAGCAAAAGGAAGTATGGCTGATTCCTTTCCAATCAGGTTTTCTCGAGGCGGGATGAAGTAATCACGCAAGGTTGTCGTGGTCTTGTACTTTTTGGATATACTGTGATCAACCTTATCGTGACTATGGTCAGTCACCACAGCAAGCGATTCAATTGTGTTTTCCTCTGCATTATTCTCAAAGCCGTCGTCATCTTCTTCGTCGTCAAAAAGATGAGCTACGAAACTGTCACCAGAGAGAGTGGATAGATTATCGTTGTTATCTTTGGGACTAGTTGCTTTTACTAGATTCTGTACATTGGCTTGGTCACGTAATGGACTGTTCAAGATATCGAAGCATTCATCGTCACTAATCTCTTGAGAGTCTCTCATCTCACAACCATGCGTTCCTGTCGATAGAGGATGAACAGGGCTAGAATAGGCCGGATATGAAACATGGTCATGATAGAAGTCTCCAAATAAATTACTTGTTTCCGAGGGAGAATGCGGGACAAGTTCATCCAGACTATGTTCGGTCTCTGATGTGCTATTCTCAGAAATTGGTTGTAAGTCGACATATTGTGGTATTATATCACAGCCGTGAATGCTTTCAGTTGGAGAATAAGGAATGGTGTCCTGACTATCAGAATCATTAGGATTGTAGATGGGTGTAGATTCAACAGTTTCCTCTGACAGTTCAGCTTCTTTCGTGTCAATAACAGCGCGACCTTTTTCAGTTTGACTATATTGATCTCTATTGCAATCAGCTGACTTGCTTTCATATTTATCCAAGACGGGTAATAACAATAAAAGTTCATCATTGTCGTCTTCAAGCAATTGATCAATTTCCTCTGATAGCTTTCGCTCACAACTGTTCATTTGTTGGAATGTTTTTGTGGAAATGTCTAAACTGGAATTTGAACTTTCAAGGAATATGTTGTTCTAATATGGGGTTGAGTAACACGCTTTTTATAAAGTGTATAGCTTTTGAGTACCGTTTCTTCTGTTTGTTGTTGTTCTATGGAAACTATTCAATCCATGTTAAAATATGTTTCAATCATAAAATACAAGACATACATTGTGAGTTTGATAAAAGGCTTAGACGTTCCATAAGTAGAAAACTACCAGTTTGCCCAAGTGGTGGTACTTGGCTGACCCTGATCGAATCGTCAACATTCTCCATTGTACACACACACGCAGAAAAAAGAAAGAACGGTAACCATAGCGAAGGGGGGGACCTTTTTTTTTTAATTTTTTGCTGTCGTACTCAAATGACTTGAGATTCAGACAATAAAATACAAATTCAATGGATATAGAATGTGATAGATAAGCCTTCTTTATACCAAACAGATGCCTTTTGATTAGAATAAACAAAGTTTCTTTGGTTCAATTATAGGCTCACATGAACTAAACAAATAATGAAAAAGAGGGACAATTATGATCTATATATTTTACCATTCATCATCCCTAGTGATCTATTTTCTCTAATAAGAAATTATTCGTACAGCACTCAAAAAAGATCCATCTTTTTCTTTACTGCTTTCCATTTGACAGCATGTAATAGTATAATAATGATCTTCAGTCTCATCGTCTTTTTCACCCTTCTGGTACACTGAAGTCACGTCATTCATTTAATGGAGACTAGGGGGTGCGGGCTGAACATGACTACTGCGACGCTCGGAATTGGAAAATCTTTTTTATGAAACCCGCCCATAGCTCTTGGACGGTGAATCCTCTGTCAAGCAAGGGGTCCTTTCTTTTTTTTTTGTTGTAGCCATGTTTTCACTCACCAAAAGAAATGTATGGAATGCTGTCAATCAAACCTCGTCTATAATCTCTAGTGTATTTCAGAGACCCACCATCCAACCTCTGTTGTCCATCACTGCCGTTCGTTTTGCATCCAACTTTTCACCAAGACGTACAAAATACAAAAAAGCACAAAAGGGCAAGATCCCTATTCCGATTGGCGGTTCAACCAAGGGAACAACCGTCGAATTTGGCGACTATGGATTGCGTGTGAAGGAAGGCTGTCGTCTGACCAGTCGCCAACTGACGGCAGTACACAACACACTTCGTAGAAAGATCAAACCCATCAAGGGTTCACAGTTATGGATGCGTGTGTTTCCTGATATTCCCGTTACGAGCAAAGGCAATGAAGTACGTATGGGTAAAGGTAAAGGCACATTCGAGTACTGGGCTTGTCGTGTACCCTTGAACAGAGTTGTTTTTGAAATCGGTGGAATGAGAAAAGAAATCGCAAAGGAAGCTTTCAGACTTGTGTCTAATAAACTACCTGTCAAGACAGAAATGATTGACCGTAAAACAAAGCCAATTGTTGGTGCTCATGGTCTACCATCAGTAAAGCCAGTGGAAACAGTAACAAAACCAGTGGAAGCAGTATCGACAGAAGCACAAACCTAAATCACATTTATTGTATAAAATAAAAGAAAAGAAAGAGAGAAATAGACAAGAAAGTGTATCATTTTTAACATTATAATAAACTCTGCAAGAAGTGAGTCTTTGTAACAAATAGTCAACAAGGAAGCGGTCTATGATAATCCGTCATGAAAGACAACATTAAAACTATTTTTTATTTTTTATTTTTTTCAAATTTGATATAGACAAATGTTTATATATTACAACGAATCTAACAAAAGAAAGAACAGAAAGACTACATGTTTAAGGCGAAGTAGCAGATTGAGGACGACTGGGGGGAGGTGTGTTTTCTTGATTGCCTTCAACTTTGACAGCATCACCGCCTTCTTGTTTTGGCGTATCATTGCGATCCAAGACAGCACTACAGAGTCTAGACAAGATGGTCAATTTTGACCCTTCGTCGTCATCGTCTTCTGCCTTTGTATCCACAGAAGTTGTGGCCGTGGGAGTAGCAGCCTGAGCAGGACTATTAGTGTTGCTTAAGTTCTGTTGCTGAGGCTGGACTTGCTGAGATTGTTGTTGCTGTTGTTGTTGTTGTTGTTGTTGCTGCACGTTAGCATTATCCATTAATTGCTGTTGATGTGACTGTTGTTGTTGCTGTTGCTGTTGTGGAGGAGGAAGTGATTGTTGATGTTGGGGGGAGATGATATTCATAGCGGCTTGATAAGACATGACAGGAGGATTGGTAGGATACATTTGCTGAATGGAAGCAGGTACCATATAGGCCTGTGGCATCATTTGGCCGTTGCTGGTGTAAGCTGCATAAGGATCGTAATGTCCAGTAGGGAAGGGATGGTATGGGATGGGGATAGCGGCAGCACGCACACCATTAGCATACATTGGTGCACTGGTCATAGGTGAAGCCATATTTGGAGTGGAGGCACCTGAAGATGCAGCACTTTCGCCGCCTATAAACCCAATCAACACCTTTCTTTCTCTTTTTTTTTATATTTTTTATATCTTACCAGTCTTGTTTCTCTTCTTGTAGGGTCCACGCTTAATGCCCTTCTTACGTTCCTTACGAACGGAGTTGACACAAGTATCTGTAATACCATACTTGATACATCTTTGACAAGGTCTACCAATATCACATTTCTTACAGGCTTTTTGACAGTTCACTTGAAAAGTATTAGATTTTTTGGACGTTATTTCCCTTTTTCTCTTTTATACTTACCACATGCATTCTTAACTTGCTTTCTCTTTGGCTTACCATGAGCACCTAGCTCGACAGGAGCAGCAGGGTTACCAGCAGCAGCGGCGGCAGCGGCAGCAGCAGCAGCAAGTGCATTAGGATCTTGTTCTTTTCTTTGAGCAGCAGCCAGGACAGACAATGGTTGCATAGCAGCAGGAGAATAAATAGCAAGGTTAGGACCTGTTAATAAAGGTTGAGGCTGTTGAGCTTGTTGTTGACTGCCATCTTGAGATTGATTAGGTTGAACTTGTTGTTGCTGTTGACCTTGCTGCTGTTGTTGTTGTTGCGTAGCAGGGGTCTCATAACCAGCGAAGTAAGCAGAATACTGTTGCATTATCTATAGACTTGGTTTAATACAACATTACTTTTCAATGGCGCATGTATCAATATTACCAGAATTAGTTTTTTTTGTGTGTGTATATATATAAAATAAGCTTGGGTTAAATAATATGGTCTTCTTTAAGAAATATGGTTTTTAAAAGTCGCCAAAAGGAAAGAATTGAGTTGCAAGTAGTTTGATAACTTTTTCAGGTCGTTAACGGAGTGTTTGTAGCTAAAGAGGTTCAAACAGTTATCGGAGCACCAAAGGAATATGTTGAATAGCAGACAATAACTGAGAAATAAAGAGGAAAAAAAAATTTTTATTTTTTCAAAGCCATTCAGACCCAGGGAAAATGAAGAAAATTCCATGACTGTTAATTGTGACTTATGGTTGAGACTTTTCAATCTACGCACATGATGACATCTAAAGTCTATTTGCATGAGTTTCAGAAAGAAAAAAGGCATATGTATATATTTATGTGTGTGCACCTGATGAATTAGTAATAATTAATAAGCATGGTTGATCTTTCTAGGGAAGAAGTGTATTTTGTATAGTAGTGCCTGAGAGTGTATTTGACTCTCAGATTAAATAAGAGTGCATTGCATAAAGTGTTACCCTTAAAGACCATTTCAAGATGATCAAGTATCCTTTACCGTAATCATTTTCAATAGTTGCAAAATACATTTATTTTAATTAAACATGCTGCGAAAGAAAGCTTATTAGTGCTTTTTGACTTGCTGAGGTTGAGGGCAAATAGTGCCTAAAAAAGAAGGCATCAGTTATAAACTCCTCTCTTTCTCTCTCTTTTGTTTACTTACCCTCCCATATGACGAAAGATGACAGGGTTTTCAAAAACTTCAGTAAGAGACAGCATTTTCTCTGGTAGTACAAGTGTATCCAGATCACCAATATAATGAAGACTGGGCGTCTTTACTTTATGTTCTGTAGTAAGCAACGTATTGGTTGCCTCTTGCATGGTTGGTTTAAAACCAGAGACGAGGATTGTAAATTTAAAAGGAGGATGATCAAAAGAAGAGAATTCGTGACTTTTGTTTTCTAGTAGCTCTGTTAACAATGCAGCAAAGGCTGCACCTTGCGAAAAACCAAGTATACCATCAAAGGGACCCTTTTGTAGACATGAAGGATAGGTTTAGATTGTCCTTTTTTCTTCTCCTCTCTCTTTCTGTTTTTTGTTTACCTGGTTCTTTAGTACTTGTTGAATGTATGCAACAGATTCTTTATAGCCAATAAAATAGCCGTCCTTTGTAGGTTTATATCTGGGCGCATACCACCAACCAAATGGCTTGTGTTCTATAGTTTGATTTAGTATCCTTTTTCTTTATATAGTCATTACATACGTGCCTTCAGAGACATCATCATCACTTTCTGCTACATATTCACCAGATAGAGTAGGTGGCTTGATATGATGAGGAGCAGTAATATACACTTGGATATATTAAACTACGTCTCCAATTCTTTTTAGCAGTCATACCTAATTCAGCCAGATGATCCACGCTTTTCCGTATAGCAGATGTTCGCTTTTGGAACATGATTGCATTTTGGGTGTATCCATGTAGGCATAGTATCTTCAATTTATGAGACGCCATTCTTTTTATAGGAAAAGAAGAAAAAAGAGGGACTGTGACAGCGAAAGGTATTTCTCTTCTGTAGGTAGATTTGGCAGCAGATTAAATAATAATTCTCTTACATAATGCTTCAAAGATACTATTACACTTTATGCGCACACTGGTAGAAAAATGATTACTTCAGGCATCAAATAATAAATATTTTCATTAAAACGAGAAAAAAGAGTAAGCTTATAAAGAGATTACTAATATCTTACCCGAAGTGTGCTATATTGAACCAGCGATAACTGGCTTGGAGACTTAAGACACAGGTAGAGAGCAAGGGGGAGAGAGACAGAAGCAAAAGAAAGCTATAATAGACCTCGACTCAACCTTTCTACATAGTGTATGGTCTGACGTCAAATAATGATAAAAATCCTTACAAAATGTAGTGAGTAGTACTAGGAACACTGCAAAATAATTCGATTTATATCTGAATGCTACAACTCAAAGTGACATATAATTTATAAAATGTGCTTTTAACAATAGCTTTGTTTATGCCCTACCGCTCTTTATGGGTTTTATATCAGCAATCATGATTTAGTAATGCACTGAGGATATCTATAATTGCTGCTTATTATATGTTGACTATTTGCTTTTAAAAAGTAAGAATATTGGATTTACATTGCAAGTAGAACCTTTAGTCGTATAACATCTATATATAGCATATCTTTTGCTTGACAGCATTTGGGTATTTTCTACCAAATCAATTAGAATTGTATACTCACACATAGTATTACGTCTTGTTTTATAAAGCAAATGATTTCGTATACTCTCAATCTATTGACATAGCTGTCCAGCAATTGAGTGTTTTATTGTGGTGTTTAAATGCTTTTGTAGTTTGGGGACGTATTACCTTTTTTTTGATTTTGCAGTGTCCCTAGTATCACCCTAAATTAAAGTGCTTGATGCATCAATTCGATGCTCTTTTTACAGCTCAAGAGAGACAGAATTCGTGATCTGTATTCATTTTTATTTATATTTCGACACTTGTAAATTCACATAAACTGCAACATCAAGCGTAGCAAGAGAAGAACGCCTCACCTTTGATAATTTGTAAACCCCTCCTTTATTTACTTCTCCTTAATAAATTTATCAGGACTAAATCCTTTTTAAGGAGTGATTAAGATATATGGGCGTAGACAATATCATGTGGGATGTAAACAAATAAAAGGAAGCGAGCGCACTCTTTTTTTTGTTTGTTCTTTTTTCCTTTCTTTTCTCATTTTTCAACTATTCTCTTGGTCTTTTAGTTTCTTGGTAAGTTTTTTAAACTTGCCCAGTACACAAGTTGCACCGGTTGTATATGCTCGGTTCTTAAGCAAACGTCTCACTATGGAACTCGCACGACTCTTTCCTGATGAAGCCTGAAGCTCACTCTAAATCGATTATTCACACCAAGTAGGAGGCCCTCCGGACGTCTCTGAAAAGTCAATAGATAATGCGTCTGTGGCGAAGCTTAAGGTCGACTCTTGAAAGAGGACTTTCATAGTGCTGTACTAGTAGCTGGGTTCTGCAGTCATCGTTAGCCTGACCAAAAAAAAAAAAAAAATCTGCTGCCCTCGTTGTTCCATTATGGTATTTGGTATGTTTGTCTGGTTCTTCTGAATTGCTGGGGGCATTTATCTGCACTTTGTGTGGTTGGTCTGTTCCGGAGAAGCGTCCTTTGAAGATTGGGCAGCCTTTCATGGGAACGTCAGCTAGCAGCAATCATAATGCAACTTGTTTATTTGGTTTTGGGGACTACGTACTGACTTTTTTTAGGTACATTTTTAGGTAATCTTTTATGTTGGCTTTCATATAATAATCAATAAATTACTTTTTTTTTTTTTAAAAAAAAAATACTTCTATTATAACTTTATGCTTTTATTTTGTAAAAATTGATAATAAAGACGTTGAACAGTATCAAGCGCCGTTTTTAGCACCGTTTTTTTTTTTTTATAGATCATGATAATTTAACAAAGCCTTCCTCTTCAAAATAGAGTGTTCGTTCTAACACTAGAGAGCGCTTAAAACATAACAGGATAACGCAACAGGCACTAATGTTAAAAGAGTAATGCTAGGGACACTGCAAAATCAAAAAAAAGGTAATACGTCCCCAAACTACAAAAGCATTTAAACACCACAATAAAACACTCAATTGCTGGACAGCTATGTCAATAGATTGAGAGTATACGAAATCATTTGCTTTATAAAACAAGACGTAATACTATGTGTGAGTATACAATTCTAATTGATTTGGTAGAAAATACCCAAATGCTGTCAAGCAAAAGATATGCTATATATAGATGTTATACGACTAAAGGTTCTACTTGCAATGTAAATCCAATATTCTTACTTTTTAAAAGCAAATAGTCAACATATAATAAGCAGCAATTATAGATATCCTCAGTGCATTACTAAATCATGATTGCTGATATAAAACCCATAAAGAGCGGTAGGGCATAAACAAAGCTATTGTTAAAAGCACATTTTATAAATTATATGTCACTTTGAGTTGTAGCATTCAGATATAAATCGAATTATTTTGCAGTGTCCCCAGTATATTCTATTAGATAATGTGGTCAAATTTTATGCCAACTCTGCTCGAGACATATAGTGGATGCGTGTGAACTCTTTATTTTTCTGTGGTCATCTATTTCTTGTCTTTCTCCTTCTATTGAAAATGCGCATATAATGATGGCAGGTTGATATCACCTATTAAACTTTGCATAAAAAGGTTAAATATGTCCCGAAGTAATAGATTGTAATTCCGATATTCTTGGCAAACCGCTTTATATTTGATCGATTGTTTCAGCTTTTTCACTTTTCTTTTCCCTTCAAGCAAAAATGGAAAAGTCTAATCATCCAAAGGCTGAATACATTGCTGTTCCTACGGAGGAAGCAATGGTGTATGAAGAGCAGCCCAAGAGATGTAACGCTAAGCGCTTTATCGTGTTCTTTCTGAAAGGTCTTCTTGGAGCCCTTGTCCTTCTTACCTTGGTTATTCCTGGCATTGTTCATCTTTCTCAAAGAATATTTGGATCTGAAACAGTAAGCTCATCAATGGTTTACCCTTCTATTTACTCATGTTTTTAAATAGGAATATGTTGAAATCATGCCTTATGATTCTTTCAATCCAAACGTACATATAACATTGATTAATTTTATTTTTCTAACGTTATTTTTAGGTTCCAGAATTGCGCGAGCCTTGCTTTTTAAGACATAATGATGATTATGCTGAATTGAATGAATTCATGGATGAGTTACACCAAACAATGGGCCCACTTCCATTACCATCTAGAGGCTCCCACCACCAGCATCGTCATCATCGTCATGGAAAACATCATCCAGCACCACCTGAAGATGAAAGACTTGATTTTGATGATGCACCTAGTAAGTATACTCTACAAAATTGTATATTTTTTTTTAAAAAAAAATTGAAACAGCTGATATTCTTCAACTTTCTAAAGATCTCAAATTTGATAGTAAGTCTACAAATATATGTCAAAGCGCATTTATTTACTTGTTTTAAAAGATAAAAAGGAAAAGCATCCCTGGAAGCCATTCTGTAAGCTTCATAAACTTGAAGCTGAATCTACGGTATTTGCTTTCAAGACTGACGACTACAAAAAGGCCAAGTTCTTCTTGAACGGCCACTTTAACCGCGGAGGACATGTTCGTGTTTCCAAGTCGAAGGATGCCTCTGTTGACTTTGTCAAGGTGAATGTTACCATTTATGCTGGCCGTTCTGAACTCCATTCTGAGGCTCAAATTTCGGCATTTGAGCATGAAGGTGACTACGTCGTTCAATTGGAACGCGATCCCAAGCATCCCCCTCCTCCTTTCCCATTCCCTCCTCCTCATCATCATCATCGCCATCACAAGCCCAAGCAGGAGGACTGTCTGGTTTATAGCGTCGATATCGAGTTCCCTCAAAACACAGAGTACTATGAGGAACTTCAATTCCACGTTAAACAAACTCAACGTATCGAAGGTGGTCACGGTATTGAAGAGATCTCATTTGGTACCATTAAGGCTGGTTTAGGCCGCGGTGCCATCATTTTTGATGTAAGTTTGAATGTAATTTGATTGAAAATTAATAACACGTAATACACACAGGGATTAAAAGCCAAGACGATCAAGCTTGGCGTTTTACGCGGTGTTGTCATGGGTAATTACCAACCTGAGGGTAAGTTCTTGGCAGGTTCCGTTCACGGTGCTACAAAGGTTAAGCTCGAGCCAACCGGAGAACACTTTAATGTCACTGCTGCTTCCACTTTTGGACCCGCTTCGGTTGATCTTGTAAGTTTTTTTTTTTTAAAAAAAAGTGTCACATCAGTCCCATTAACTCTCTCTGTGTGTAGCCTGCTGATAGCTTTTCTGGTGATTTCGGTTTATTCCACTTCTTTGGTCCTGCTCCTACCATTGAAGCACCTAACCCTGAAGACATCCATGTTACCAAACTAAAGCATGGTGTCAAGGCTGGTTATTACAAGGAAGAACATACAGGATCTCGTGTGATCATCTCTGCCAAATTCCATGGAGCTCCTGCTCTCTATTTGAATTAAGTGGCTCGGCAAAAAGCAATCTTTTTAAAAATAAAAAATAAGCTTACACGCCCAATATTGATAATATGTAGTTTTTCTGTGTGTGACAGATTCATTCATGCCAGGAGTTGCACGATGAATGAAAAAGAGGGTTTGGGAGAGGAAGCATTTATACGCGTACAGCAGTACTCTGTATAGTCTACATAATAGCCAGAGAGATGAACATTTGTTTTACAGAAAAGTTGAAGAAAGCTACAAGTTCTTGTTTATACTTGAGCAATTCGTATTTTATTCATGTTTGCCGTAATGACACAAATCAACCTTTTAGTATCTTGATTGATGACCTTTCCAAAACGAATGCGAAACTGTATATGAGCAGTTGAAAGCATATATAGTTCTTCACTTGACAAATCGTACGTCATGGCTTTCTAAATTACTTTTTTTTTGTTCTCCCTTATAAAAAAGGGCAATTGGAGTGTTTACAGATCGAGCACAGAATGGCTTGGGTACTTGAGTAAATTTTGGACATAATCATCCACATCTTCATGTGGTTGAAATACAAAAGGCCTTTCTCGCTATATAGTGTAAGAAGAATATCTAATGCCTTTCACTAGACTTACAAGTGCTTTCCTTGCATTTATATTCTTTTGTCGCCACTCATCCAACTGATTCTGTTCTCGACTCAGAGCTTCTTCTCTGTCTCGTACTTTTATGCCAACATCATGTGCCACTTGTTGATACTGAGCCTCCATATCTTTCCTTGCGTCGTCCTAAGGTACATGAGTCTTTTTTTAAATAACTGAAAAAGTGTATATACTTTACAACAAGTTGATCTAATCCCATATTGAGCATATTAGGATCGATATTTCCTGGAAACAACAATTGCTTCAGTTTTCGATCAATGGCTGTAACCACAGGACGTAAAATGTATTCGACCTGATGCTGAGAGACAGCAGGCATGTCTTGTAATACGTTTGAAATGGTTTTCCTTATAACTATCAATTTTTTTTCCCTGTGTATATAGACAATCAAACTTACCGGTATTCTCTGGTTAGTAAATCTCGAAAATTTTGTGAGGCTAATTCTGATAAAGGCTCGAATGAAGTGTTTTTAGGAATTCGTTTTTTTGTTTCTAATGACAATGAGTAAACATGTTTTTTTTATTGTAAAATCCTTTTTTTTTTTTTACTAATGTCTAATTCAACTTGTTTCAATGACACAAAGTTTGGTACTTGAGTACTTGCAGTGATCACAGTTGTTGTCGGCTTCACACTTGTATCTACTGAAGCAGTACCATACTGTGGTGTATCAATATCATCAGGTTGTAGTATCTGTGCTTGAAGCTGTTGGCGTCGTTGATTGTACATGAAAAAAAGTGAAAAAAGTCACATAACTCATGCAAGTGGATGATAAGGGGGACTTTTAATTGTTACTTTGCCTTGTTTGAACATGACGTTACACTTTTTCTCTTTAATGCGTGTGACTAAATAAAAAATAAAAAATAACGCAAATTGAGAACTCTTTTCTTTTTTCTCTCTCTTTCTTTTTCTTCTCTTTTTATATATATAAATATTTGCGGGTAAAATGGCCAAATCAAAGAAACGTAACCATAAAGGAGGACATAACAAGCGTCAGAACATAAACAATGCCGATGACGACACACCTTCGACTTTTCAACCTTTAAACATATTTTTTAATCGTAACAATGGATATGAAAGTATTCCTGTAAGTCAAGAAAGAGGGTTCCTTTTTGTGACATTTTGTATTTTTTTCATGAATTGATCACCTCAAGTATGTGTACCTTATATAGACCGAAGACGACCATCCAGCAATAGAGGGTATCACGATCAATATGTCGGGTGCTAATTCCCCAAGATATCACTCAGATATCGAAACGTCAAGCAATTCGCGTCTCAGCCCGGTCGAAGTCGACGTCTGCTTTCCGACAACGACGCCGGATAAAAAGGAGGAGGAGCTCGTAGGCATCGATTATGAAGCATTAGAGGAGTTTGTGCTACATGAAAAAAAGGAATCTGCAGACATGACCAAGACAAAGACGAGACCCAGACGGCTATCGACGATGGGACCTTCGGATAATAGAAGATACAGCATGTATGGTGATCGCATGATGGTAAGTACGTATATATTTTAATGAATATATTTATTTATTTCTTCAAGAACATGGAGTCAAGTGAAAGTGGAGGAGACCAGTACAGAGTGACTTATTATTCACCATGTGAACCATCTACGATTCATTCAAGATGTATCAGTGAAATATCAGAATATAAAGATGGTACACTAAGCGATATGCTGAAGAAGGGATGCTTTTGGATAGATATCTATAACCCAACAGATATGGAAATGAGAGCCTTGTGTAAAGTGTTTCGAATTCATCCGCTTACAGTAGAAGATATCAGTATGGAAGAACAACGAGAAAAGTGTGAAGTGTTTATGAATTATTACTTTATTTGTTTCAGAAGCTTTGATCAAGATGAGTTTTCTGCCACTTATATGCAACCTTCTGCCCTTTACATCATTGTGTTGAAAGAAGGAGTTATTACTGTAAGAATAGGTTATGTATTGACTTTAGCTGACTTTTATTGCATAGTTTCACTTTAAACCAATGCCACATCCTCACAATGTGCGTAAAAGGATCAAGCAGCTGAAGGATTACATCAATGTCACTCCAGGTAAGCAAGAAAAAAGATGGATACAAGACCTAGTCTTTTTACATGTTGTATAGATTGGATATGTTATGGATTATTAGATGATATCACCGACTCATTCGCTCCTCTGATTCGAGCTATCGAGTTTGAAGTCGATTCAATTGATGAACTTGTGCTCATATTGAAGGAATCAGAGCAATCGGATATGTTGCGACGCATCGGTTATTGTCGAAAGCGTATGATGGGTTTGTTACGTTTATTGTCAAGTAAGCCTGATGTGGTCAAAACACTAATCAAACGAGGAGAAATTGTGCCTGAAGATGGCACGCGGCCTGCTTTAAGTAAAGAAGTAGCCCTTTATTTAGGAGATGTGCAAGGTGCGCGCGTATAGACATTCAGAGAAAGTGATGGACTGATATTTCCTTTTATAGATCATATCCTCAGCATGTTACAATCACTCAACCATTATGAGAAGATATCTTCTCGATCCCATTCCAACTATTTAGCTCAAATATCCATCGAGATGACGCAGACAAATAACGAGATAAATGATGTCTTGTCCAAATTGACAGCTTTGGGTAGTGTCCTCGTACCGATGAATCTAGTGACTGGTCTATGGGGAATGAACGTTCAAGTGCCTGGACAATATCAAGAGGACTTGACGTGGTTTGTGGGTATTATGACATCTATTCTCGCTTTTTGTATTGTGTCCACATTGCTTATGAGATATTACAACATTGTATAAAATAAATGGCATCTTTATTATATATTAAAGAGTAGCGGCGTCTCCAATATCAATAGGTGTTGGAGGGACCTTACCTCCTTCACGTACACCATACAGACGAAGACGCTTAATACCTCCATCAGGTACAATGATGATCTTGGCATGTGTAAAAACTTTATCTGTCTGAGGAAGGTCAAAGTAGAATAAACCGTGAGGTCCGACAGAGGTTGGCTCGATCAATGTGACCCATTCGGAGTCAGGCTGAGAAGGCACGAACTCATCGGAATGAATGGCCTTCAAGATAACCTTGTTGGGATAATTACCTCTGTAGTGGGATGTATCAATGACAGCCTTCAGTAAATGTCCCTTGGATCCCAACTTGACGGTGACGTGATCTGTGTGTCCCGGAGTACGTGATCGCTTGGTCTCCCATCCGTCGCCCATGTTTTGGCCACGACCAGGTAAGAGAATGTTGCTGCCTGGTGTATAATGCTGATTGGATACATCTACGGCACGGCCTCCGTTTCCGCAAAAGGCTAAATCGACAATTTGGCTACAAGAGCTTTTTCAGCTTTTGAACTTTTTATGTACGTTATCTTATCTTACTTCTTATCTTCCGGCCAGATAGGGGATACATGACCGTATGCTCGGAACCTAGCAATACCGCCGTCAGGAATATTGTTGAGTCGAAGATGTGTATAAACATCCGTTTCCTTCTCGAGGACAAACACGTTATGTTGGTTAGGTGGGAGTGATACCTTGGGAAGAATCTCTACCCACTCGGCTGAGTCGATGTTACCACCTGTAGGCACAAAGGCCGCGTCGACAGATGCAAAGGGAGCTTGGTTGCCTGTGAAATAATGTGTGTCGATATCAAATCCCTTGAATGATCCAGCATATCCAAGTTTGATAATGGCCCTAACCCCCCACATCGGTTAACTTTTTCATACACACAAAAATGATCTTTTTTCTTTTACCAGTCGTAGTTGGGGTTATGTCTCTTTGTTTCCCATCCGTCCATCCAGGCACCGGTTTCTGTTAAAGTGATTTAAGAAAGAAAGAAAACTTATTAGCTGTATAACTTACCAACAAATTTTCCTGGAGCGTGGACAGGAGGAGCAGGGTTGATCATGTTTGTAGCAGGAGCAAAGAATTCATCGGTTACTTCAACAATGGTTGAACCAAGAGCAGAAGAAGCGAGATCTAGACGTGTATGTGTAAGCATAGAACGTGGACTAAGAATCGAATATTACCAATGCAATCGCCCAAAGCAGATTGTTTTAATTCTTCAAAAGAGATGCGGTTGTAAGTCATTGTAGAGTAGATAGAGAAAAGAAAGAGAACCCATAGGAAAGAAAAGGGTCATATTTATAAACGCATTTTAGGGCCTGCTTACAATAAGGGAAGCATCCAATCAGTGGATAGATATACCGCCTGTTTCCAGAATTGAAAATATACCTGTAGAGTGATATCACATGTATTTGATTTAAGCTCAGTTGAAAGAGAGAGAGAGAAGCCTTTAGTTGTTATATATATATGTTCTTTATCTAATTTTGGTCATTGATGATAAAATAACCGAGTGCATTCTGTTTTAATAATAGATTCTTCTATCATGGTTCCTATTGATGTCTTACTTTTTGGTTCTTTGTATCATCAGCACAAAGGATGAACTCTCAGTTTTCTGTTTTCCCACGAATGTTTGCTACACTGTTGACACCACATACAGAAAACAAAGAACAAAAAGGAGGGGATCAAATATAGGGCTTTTATGTAACATACGCTATAATAAATGAATTCTTTCTTTTCTTTCTCTCTCAAAGTAGTACACACAAGAGTCGAATTTGAGATCTTGCTGGAACCAAGGGCCATTTTTTAAAAAACCATGTCTCTTCAAGAAAAAAACACAACAAGAACAGCTTTTTTATCTTTGAAACAAAAACGTTGGACAGTGTATGAACGATTTTGAAAATATGGGTTTTTATTTTTTGGTTTTTATGCAAAAAGAAAGTATCTTGAGCAGCTATTGGATGATTGAAGGAATTTATTATATCAAAGATAGGAAAGTGCGCGAGAGGGGGGGGGGGAGGGGAAGGATGGAGAATTAATACGGAGGAGAAAAGGGTGAGGATGCTATATACTATGTAATATGTGTGTATGTGTAAAAAGAATGTAGGATCTTTCTCGTCTATGATTTGTTCAATTGAATGACTTGTAAAGGATCATTGAGACCATATCTTGACGGCTTCGTAGGCATTGTTTTCGATCTTTTAATTTTGCCAGATTTGTCGATGGGCGACCAGTCCATGTCGTCATCTGTTTTATCGCTGATAGCAGCTGGACCTGATATATGAAGAGGTAAAGGTGGAGGTCTAGTTTGAACTGTAGGTTGAGACATATCTTGATTGGATGTAGGCAGCCAAGCTGATTTGGGCATCTTGAAGCAGTGTTGATGTTCTACCAAAAATTGGACTACCTTTTGGGATAGTTTGTACTGTGCTGGGTGTAGTGAATTATCAGGGTCTAACAAAATGCCTGGAGTGAATACGGCAGCTAAATTAAAAGCATCCATCTTGGTTGTATGGGCATGTTGGGCAAAGAGAGCCATCAAGTCAAGCAAGTAGAATAGCAAATATTGATTATACAATGGCAATGTTCCAATCAAGTACTGATATTGTTCGACTGTCTTTGTTTCATTATCCAAGTTTAGTGTGTCTCTAAATGCCTGATAAAGTGATGGAACTATAACTGGCTCTGGAAGGTAATTCAAGTATCTTCGTAATACAGTTGCTGCGTCATGAATAGAATATCCTTTCCAATCTAGGCCTCTGCCATAATCTGGTGCTGTACTAAATATTTGTTGTAATTCTCCTATGCGTTTTGCACTATGCATTTTAAAGTATGTTAATTTCAATTGGATGATTCATAGTGTCCTATTCTACCTTCCACTAACGCGAAATACACCTTCAGTATAAAGACCTAGAAGTTATCGGGAAATTATTATTATTGTTATAAAAAAAAAGACTGCATTATTTACCTTGATCTTTCAAGAATGAACCACATTTAGCAACAATAACTGGAATAAAGCCAATGTACTGAATGCCATTATCCGCATAACCTATTGTTGCCTTTGCGTTTTGCACGCTTTCCTCTAATGGTACACCAAATATATGATCCTCTACTACTAAAGTACATAAATAATCTATATAGAACAATAACAGTTTTGTGTATTTGCCTTCTTTTGGAATCACTTGTTTGCTCAAATGAGTGAATTTTTTCCACCAACTTTTAATCGAAATGCCACTGTCTTTATTATTTGAATCAATATCCATTTGTTATTTAAAGAAAGAAAGGAAAAAAAAAAAGAGAGAGAAAAAGATAAAAAAAAATATCATCAACTTGGGAAAATCACTAAAAATATACATTGGTTTTTATCTATTTTTAAAATCCAGCAAAAACTTTTTTTTAAATAGTTTATTTAGAAATGATGATTCTCTATTTCTTCAATAGGCGTAGTTGGGTCTGCAAACGGATCCAACTCGTCATCATGTTTCTGTTCATGGTTTATGTTTAAATTTGAGAATTCAAGTTGTAATGGCGATGTTTGTCTCTTTATGGGTGGAGGAGGAGGAGGTGCACGAATGGCTTTTCTGTTATTATTATTGTTGGGAGACATTGGACTCCATGAGGCAGGTATTTCACCCACCAACATGATATCATACATATCTAAAGCCTTCAAAAGATCTTCATTCGCTGCTAATAATGTACCTATCCATTCTTCATCTTCAACTAATCTAGCATATCGTACAATCTTCTTTTTAGATTCTTCACATTTATCTCTGTACTCTTGTAAACGTTTATCATGCTGTAAATCAATCTCCCACCTATCCTCTGCTGTATTGATAAGTCTTAGAGCATTAATCAAATTGTTGGAGTTTTGATTCGCCAAAGCGATCTCTTCCAATATTTTAGGTTTCGTCTTTTCAAAATTGAACAATGTCGTGTTGTTTCGTGATGTTGAACCAGCGTTACTCTGACTGCGGGGTTTATTCTTTACTTTTGGTTCAGTAATAGGTGATCGAATGGGCATAATGGGCGGTGGTAAAGATTGGTGTCTTTGATGTTGTGGTTGTTCTCGTATAGGTGAAGTCATGGGTGATTGTGTATTAGTCGTAGGCGATCTAACAATAGTATCACTAGTATTTGATCTTGATGATTCTGCTGTATTGGTTCTTATGCGCAACTGTTATAATGTATAGTTTAGTTTCCCTCCCAATCATTTCACAGTATTCGTTTACCTTTCGTCCTCTACCCAATTCATACAAATCAGCCATGGTTCTCATACCAGGCTCGTCTTTATATTTTGATATCCATGCGCCCAATAAGGACAAAAGCTCATTCTTGACTTTGACATCTTCAGCCTGTAATAATAATAATAATAATAAACATTTATGTATATTTTTTTAAAAGATATATATTATTACCTGTGAAGTCAATATCAGCTCAAATCGTTCCTTCATCTTGTCATTCATAAGAAATTGTCCTATACTTGTGTCATCAACCTATGAACCTCTCCCACTCTTATCAACCGTGTTTATGATCTTACTATGAAACTGTTGATTGCTATTTTCCATTAAAAGTTTCAAAACCTAAGATAATATATGTTATGCTTTTCATCATTATTAAACCCTTTCTCTTACTTCTAATGCACGTAATTTTTGCTGTGTTCCACCATGTTTAAGCTTCTTTCTTATAGTTTCAATAGCTTCTCTAGCACCATTGGATTGCATTTGAATAGATTCTATCAACTGCTGTAACAGGTACCAATCAACCTCTTCCAGATTGGATAATCTCTCTGTTTAAAATAAAATACAATAAGTACAAGCTTTGATTCAAATAAAGAACAGAATTTTGCCTATATAAAGAGACACTGAAGTCTTTTGTGGCTCATCAGTAAAGATTCCCATAATAGCTTTAAAGAGAAAAAAAAAAAGAAAAAAGAAAGTAGATGAAATGATGTCAGCTGAGCACTTCCTGTCGTGTTACAGTTAATCTACACTCAGATAAAAATCTATTGAATTTTAGACACTCAGATAAAGTACAATGAGACACTTGTACTCTATTGATTAAATCGATAATCAAATAAAACACAGTACACTCTATTTTTTCTGTTAGGCTTGCCACTACTTTGAAAAAAACAAAAGTAGGGGAAGAGAGAGAGATTGAGTACGGGTCTTATTTGTAATAGCTTTTCAGTACTCTTGAAAAGGAGGTTTACTCTTGTAAACCAGCTGAAAACAAAGAGTCCATGTCAGCAACATTGATCTTGTTGCTATATTATCTAGATACTGAAACCAATGATCCTCAGATGGTGCCATAATCCCGAGCAACACTTCATAATAGCACACAGCATGTCTGTGAGTGTCTTTGACAGCTTGATCTAAACACTTGTCCGTTTTAACGTTGTTTTGATGCTTTCCAAATTCGGCATCGGTACACAATATTTAGCTCAACTGCCTCTGGAGAGCGAGAAAAGGATAGATGCAATGCAGGTAGAAAAGGAGGCAAAGCCTAGTGGTGATGCCATTATGAGGGAAACTTCAGTGAAGCGAAATTATACACGCTATTCTGATCAAGACAAAGTGAGATTCTTCAAGCTGTTGTTTGAGAGGCATTTGAGAGGTGTTTGAGTGCGGCCACTGCTGCAAAGCAACTTGGGATTCATGTTCGTACAGCACAAAAATGGGCTGCGCAATACGAAAAAGATCCTGACAGTATCTTTGAGAAACGGAGAAAGACTGGCCGTCCATGTGTTCTCCATGACGAACACAAAGACGCTGTTTTCGAGTGCATTGATGAGAATCCTTTCATCGTCCTAGACGAAGTAATGAAGAAGCTAAAGCAAATGTTTACCGAATTAAAAGTATCCAAAACCACTTTGCTCGATTTTGTAAAAACAACATTGCAATTTACCTCTCAAGAAAGCTCGGCTTCAGCCCATAGACCGGAATAGCGAAGAAAAAATTCAAGAGCGCTTGGATTGGGTCCATAAATGGGAAAAAACAGACTTGGATTTTACGAGAAACTGTGTCTTTCTTGATGAATCTGCTTTCCATATTAATTTGAAACGTAGTATGGCCTGGTCAAAGAAAGGTGCACCGTCAGTGGTCACAGTTCCCAAAACACGAGCGATGACAACAACCATTTTGGGCGCAATTTCCGCTGAAGGTCTAATTAAACGCAGCCTTAGACTTCCTCAGCCTCCATCTAATAAAAGGAGAAAACGGAGAGATGGTGTTGGGCAAATAAGCAAAGGAACGGTTACGGGACACTATATCAGCTTTCTAAAAGCTACAATGGATGAAATGGGCCAGTTTCCGCACATGAAAGGTCACTTCCTCGTGATGGATAATGCTCCTATCCATACATCAGACAATATAGCCAAATACGTAGAATCTCGCGGTTACCGCTGCGCTTATTTGCCTCCATATTCTCCTGAGCTCAATCCAACCGAGCAATTCTGGTCAATGGTCAAAAGCAAAGTGAAGCGTAATGAATTTCTCGAGAAGGAAACTTTGATGACCCGGATCAGTGAAGCTTCCAATAGCTTGAAACTAAGTGATTTTAAAGGGATTGTTAGACGTTCTCATAAATGCTTGGACAAATGTCGTAATGGGCAAGCGCTCTGAAGAAATGTTTATTCTACAGACAAAGGCGTTTGTGACAACAACAATAACAACAAAAACTTAAAAGTACGTCCAGCCAATCAAAAATGTGACCCTTTCAACAAATGTCTTCCCAAAAAAAAAAATTGGACTGGTACATGTTCACCTCCTTTTTGTATGTTTCTCTTCCCACTGCCAGACATTGTTCGCTGATTGTTTTATTTCTTCCCCACTCTTTTCAACCAGAATCTCAAACACGCCGTTCCGCATAACAGTTAGTTCCCTATAGTATACACTTCCCCCTATCTATCTTCACTAGTTGTATCCGAATAATGGCGTTTATTTACCGATAGGAATACTGCAAATAGGTGACCTCAATGGCCTTATCATTGATTCGGAGCCACGAAACAAGAGATTCTCACTTTCAACTCATTTTACTTATTATTGTCGCGAGAACATCAACGATACATGGTGTTCTTGATAAGATCGATTTTTTTTGTCATTTTCTCGTTTGTTGCTGATTCGATGAGCCAAATCCACCAGTTGGTTATTCAATGCTCTATTGCCAATGATGGTTATCGCTTGTTCTTCGGCAAAGAGAAGGTTAATTTTGCCCAAAATGGCGGTAATGATAGAATTTTTGGTGAGAGTGGTAATGCGTCTGACATCTTTATGTTGCAATACTGCATTTTCTCTATCATTTATGACTTGGATAGCAATGGCACGGAACATAAGCGAGCCAACTTTTTCTTGGGACATTCCTGCATTGTTGGAATCTTGATCGGAAAGCGTCCATAGCGCTGATGGCTGGAGTTCCAGAGATGATATCACAGCTGATGATGCTCTGCACATGGTATAGGTGGACGTATGATCAAATTTACTGCGAACCTGTTTCAATGGGTATAATGATGGCATGCTTTGAGAGCAGCGGGACGCTTGGATCATTTAGCAAAGGCATTGCGAGATCGATTGAATGGATGTCCAAAAACACTGGTTGATTTCGTTGGCATAAAATGGGAAGTCACAGGACCAAGATTCACCAAGGAGGTGGTTCAGGACTACGTGTTTGCTTCGCGCCCCCGTAGTCCTTCTTCATGTTTGTAAGTGGGACCCCATTCTTTACCTAGTATCAGCCATCTGTGTGTGCTGTGTCCAGGTGGGCGGCCTTGCTTTAAAAGATCTCTGACTATAACTTCCCAAACGACCTCTCACATCTTGGATGACCTGTAATTTATGTGTATAGCCGCTTGGTCCATGCCTCCCCACCTACAAACATGGAGAAGGGCTATGGGGGCGCAAAGCAAACACGTAGTCCTGAACCACCTCCCGATTGTTTGTCGAGGCGAATGCTTGACGTAATGAGGAAATTGCAAGCGCGTGCCAATGACAAGCTTTTCGCCACCTGCTGTGGAAAGTAAGAGTATTGACAAATTTTCATATTGACTGGGGACTGAAGGGAAGGAAGATGCTGATCCGCTAGATCTTCGTTCATAATGTGCATCAAGGAGTGAATCTCGAGAATATGGTTCAATAGTATTGAGCAAGATAGCAGCTTGATCTTGAACCAGTATCGATCCAGCTAATAACTGCGAACCATAATACCGTAATTGCGGGTATTGAAGCCAATCCTGATTTAAAATGTTACATTGCTGTTTGGTCAGTTCAGAATGGCGTGTTGTTGAAAGGATTTTAGCAGCCTCACTAATAATAAAAATAAGAGTCAGATTGACAGCCATCTTCCAATCATCAAACCGCTTACGATGTGGCCTTGATATGTTCGATCAACGTCGTACTATCGGTTTGATTTATTGAGCAAGCTGTCGTAATGAAGTCATCAGCGGGACTCTCCCATGTACTGTATGACTTATTTTTAGCATGATGGAAGATGCTGAAGATAATGTTAGAAATCTATGGCTTCTGTCCTCACAATTGTATACAAGGGCACCCATCGACCGACTTGAGCGAGCTTGATTTTATCTTGTTGACTTCGGTTGTCTGTTGCAATGGCATCGCTGGCTGCGAGGATAATTTCCGTGAAGCTAAGACTTGTCCTACAAGCAGCAGGACATATGGCTTGTCAGCCAAGGCGAATTTATATTTCGTACAATACGAATTTTGTTCCTGTCATCAGATGAATTGATTTTCCTTCAGGGCGAATGCATTTTTCGTACAACCTGAATTTATTTTCGCCACTGAGTGAATTTACTTTCCGGAAAGAGTGTACCCAAAAAAGTATCTGAGACCCATTCACTACATCGAAAGAAAGTTCGACATCAACTTTCCAAACTGTGTCGAGTCATGAAATAATTTGTTTATAGCATCCTCTTTCTTCATTTTTCTTGAGAACGAAGGGTGGCCGTCGTTTGTAATCACCTTGTGTAATCCAGTTTTCAGAATATTCGCTGCTGCATTGTTTTTCCTCGGTGGAAGACATACCTCACTTCGTCTTTAACTGTCCTAACAAGCAGTTCATCTGGAAAACAATCTGGGAACAACATTTTGATTCACATTTTTCTGCTACAGCCTTATCTTGAGCGCTCTTCAACTTTCAGTTTCCAATACTCAAACAACAGTATGATCCGCCAGCGCCCGTTATCTAAGGTCATGTTCTTGCTTCTGTTTGACGGCACCATTGGGCTATGGTCTTTGATAACCAGTCTTTTAGCTCTGTGACGATACCCTGTGATGTTCAGCACCGTGTACAAGTGTCTATCTAAGAAGCGCTGTTGATCTCATGTGTCTCCCCGCTTCTTCTACCTCATATTGTTCTTTAAGTTCTTCACTATCACAGCTGACAGCTGCCCATATAAATCTTTATACATTAACTTAAACCACACAACCCTAAACAACATCCACAAAATAACAATAACAAAAACAATGGGCCATTTTATAGCTCTTAATAAATCCAGAGTTGTCTCTGGTGCTCCGTATAAAAAAAGATATTGGCTTGAAAATTTAAAAAGCTGGAAAAATGCAGTACAAGTAAATTTTGGTGCTTCAAGTGACGGTAGCAAAAGGCTACTTAATAAGAATATAAGCTTTTTCCTCCTCTTTCTTTCCATCAGTTTTCGCTATAGTTAACTAACAAAAAAAAACATATTCATTAATTACCAATCTTTAAGTATGTATTATACTATTTTTAACAAAGACAATTTACTAATAAAAACAAAAGCTTCTATAAGAAGCACAACAAAACTTCAGTTCCTTGTATAAAATTCAATATTATCTGAGATTGAATAAATAGAGGGATTGCATAAAGTGAGCCGCAGCTGTTCGTTTGATACTTTGTAACCATATTTTCTGATATCCGATCCAAGTCTCTCTACAAGCATTTATATTAAGTTTTCACGATATTTTTTTGCTGCTATGCGTATACTATATTTTTTATAATCCTATATAAAGTCAATCTGTTTGGATAGGGAAGGATTAATTAAAGAAAGGCAGCCAGAGACAACGAGACAAAGTAAAGAAAAGCCATTATGAATTAACTTCCCGCTTTGAACACCATCTTTTTCTCTCTTTTTTTTTCTGTCAGTTTGAATTATGCCGCCAAAACATAGAAAAGTACCTTTTAGTGGAAAAAAGAAGAAACAGCAACTACAGCAAAAAAATGCTCGAAAACAAGAGAAAGGTTTTTGAACACTAATTGTCAACGTTGACTTTTAATAACCATTCATTACAAAAAAAGCTGCCAACATGGATCCAAGTTCATTTGACTACCTTGGGAAAACAAAGCCATTAAAAGCCAACTTACTCGATCACTTCGTACAGGGGACCGAAGGTGTGCTTAAGAATAGTTCAGATCTGGATACTAAGACAAAGTAAGTCGAGTACAACATGTGTCATTGTAGTAACCTATTATTTAGGCTAGTATCGGTCTTTGACAAGTTGACACCGCAGGCCATTGAACAGGAAAAGTTGGCAAGTATGCAGCCATTGAATCGCTTACCCAAGGAGTCATTGGAATTGAAAGAAAGCGACCTTAATGAATATATTGAGTTTCCAAAACGACCTTTTTGGGATTATGATATGTCAAAGGAAGAGGTCGAGCAACACGAAACAGAAAGTTTTCAGAACTGGTTAAAGGATGTTCAAGAAAAGTATGCTGGGAAGCAGATAAGCTGGTTTGAGCGTAACTTGGAAGTTTGGCGTCAATTGTAAGAAAAAGAACAAAAAGAAAATAGAAAGGAGATGGCTGACAATGAGTATTCAGGTGGAGAGTATTGGAAATAAGCGATGTGATCCTTATTGTCATGGATATTAGAAACCCACTACTACATTTTCCTATTTCGCTGTATAATTTCATCACGTATGAGAAAAAGAAAAGCATTGTGGGTGTGTTTAATAAGGTATATAGAATATCAATTGCACGTCTTTTGATAAACTAAATGCATAGTGAAGGTAGATCTTGTTTCTGAATTCACGGTATTTGCTTGGAAGAAGTATTTTGAGGAAACATTTCCAAACTTGCATATCGCAACTTTCAGTTGTTTTCCAAGAGATAAAAACCTGATTGACGACACTGTAACCTGTAAGTGAATTTTTGCCAACAAAAACACATGAATAATCTCTTTTCTTTTTTTTTATGTAGATGCCTTGAAAAATCAAGCCAAGAGACCGCGGAAGCGCTATTATCATGCACAGGGGGTCAAGAACATCTTGTCGGTTTGTCGTGATGTTTTGGACAAACCGGATGTCCCTGTCAATTGGGACTCAATCATTTCTCGTTATGATGAAGATTCAGAACACGACGAAGAAGAAGAAGAAGATAGCGACGATAGTGATACTGAAAGCATAAACGGATTAGGTATTTACAACATCTGCACAGGTCCTTTTTCATGTGAATTAACTATAAGAAAAAGATGATGAGTTTAGTGGGATTTTGAAGGTCACAAGTCGAGCAGTACATCCTCATAAGGATTATATCACCTTAGGACTTGTTGGACATCCAAACGTGGGCAAAAGTAGCTTGATTAATAGTATCATGCGAAAAACAGTTGTAAGTGCCAGTCGAACTCCAGGCCATACCAAGCACTTTCAAACCATTTATATTGCGGATAATGTTCGCTTATGTGATTCGCCTGGCTTAGTTTTTCCTGCGCTGATACCTAGAGCGCTTCAGGTAGGAAAAGGGGGACACTGTTTTAGTTGAATCGCTCTAAAATGTGCCTTTTATATATATATAGATCATCTCTGGTATGTATCCAATCGCCCAGGTACAGGAGCCATATAGTGCTATTCGATATCTTGCCGAACGTATTCCTCTCGAAAAAATCCTGTCACTTACGCCTCCTGACTTTAGCCGTGATTATCAATGGAGTGCGTGGACTATTTGTGAAGGTAAGTCAATTGTGACTGAAAAGGGGAGGATTTTTATGGAAAAATCTTTAGCATTTGCAGAACAAAGAGGGTTTCATACAGCAAAGGCAGCTCAACCTGATGTGTATAGAGGTATATGTGTATATAACAGAAAGTGAACCTCCTTTTAACCTTGTTATATTAGCTGCCAATGCTATACTACGTTTAACAGCAGATGGTCGAATATTGCTCTCGTTTAAGCCTCCTGGCTTCTTCACAAGTAGTAAATACGAGATTTTACGTGTGACCGAAGCAGATTCAAATAGAGACAACAGTGATGATGAGGATAAAAAGGAAGAAAGGCCAATGGTTATCACTGGAGGAGGGTTCAGTGCACTTGCGAGTGATTCTGAATAGAAACAATAAATTTAATAAATTGTAAATACAGTTATTAAACGCATTCGAAAAAATTTGGTTTCACTTAAAGACAAAAACCATGAACTGCCCTAAATTGTCCCTTCATCTAATGGTATACGGAGTCAAACCTATGTTAGCCCCTTGAATCTTTGTGGGCTATTGGACTAAATAAAAATTTGGCCTCTTTTTTGTTAAGACACGCGATCAAAAAGTTGGTTGATGATTTTTTGGCTAGTCCACATAGCATTTTCAGATTGGTAATGTATTGTACACGAGCCAAATTTTAATGCGATGGCTGACAGTCTTAAATTGTTGAAAGAATAAAGTACTATGCTGGAAGCTTTGCCACATACATCAGCTGGAGAGCCCTTCTTTTCTAAAATAACAAATCAAAAGAAGCCCAATTTATTTACATTGTACTACCATCAATGTTATTCTTTAAGTCAGTCTACCAAGATAGTTTGATGAAAATGAATCCAATATAGACATGCTAGATCAAACGTCATTAAAGAAGTGCTTACTGCTATTCAAAGGTAGGACTAGAGTTTATCAAAGAAGGTTACTTCAAAATAAACTACTGAATTTTTTTATTGTGCAAAGCCTTAAAGAACGCATTAAAAGCTGGCTTTAAATTATACGTGTCTTTTGCTTATTCTTTTAATTATGGCTACACCTGAAGAAGAAGCAAGGAAAGCAAAATTACTTGCTGCTCGCAAGAAGGTAGCAAATACCCTTTTGTTTTATGTTTTGAATTTTAAACAAACTCTTGAGTAGTTAAAGAAATATCAAAGTAAAGCAGACCAACACCACTCCAAGGAATCTATAGAATCCAATTCACCACCTCCAAAAGAACAAGAAACTCCTGAAGATGAAACTAAAGTAGAACAAAATGATACTGTAAGTAAGCTCTTTCCATAGAATTTCTTCCTAACTAGTCTCTCTCTCTTAGACTCTATCTTTTGAAAATCAGCTAAAAGAAGCCAACGCAATGCTAGAGAATGAACGTTCGCAGTCTAGAGAAACGGTCAAGAAGCTGCAAGAGCAACTGAGAGCACAGAAAGAAGACACGGAAAAGAAAGCACGCGAGGCAGAATCTTACCAACAAAAGATTGCGGAAGTGGAAGCAACCTTGTCAGCAACTAAGGAACAGCTAGAATCAGAACGTAAATCAAGGAATGACTTAGAGCAACATAAAGACGAAAAGGAAAAGGAGATTTCAAGACTCGAAGGATTGATCGAGGCAGAGCGTCAGGAGCTTGAAGCAAAGTCGAAACAGCTAGATTTTCAGCAGGAACGGAATCAAAATATGCTAAAAGAGCATGAGTCACAGTCAAGAGAGCTTCAGGCAAAGGTAAACGAGCTCGAGAAGCTCAAGGGAGATATGGCAAATCACGAATCGAACGCAAGCAGGCTTGAGCAAGAGCTAAACTTGGAGCGTGAAAAGACAAGAGAGGAAAAGGAATCTGCAGCTAAGCTCCAAAAGGACGTAGATACGCTCAATGCAGAGTTGAAGCAGAGAGCAGACGAATTGAGTGCCCTCAAAAGGGAGATGAAACAGCAGGAAGAACAAAGGAATGCGCTAGAGTCAAAGCTTGCAAGTTCTGAAACAAGCAAGCTGGATGAAGTCAAATCATATAAATCCAAGGTCGAGAGCCTCGAAGCTGAATTGTCCGAAATACAGTCTCAATTGGACGCTGAAAGGTCAAAAACGGATCAGCTACAGAATGAGAGAAAGGATACAGTGCAAAGCTTGGTAGACTACCAAAATAAGAATGCAAATATTGAGAAAGAGCTATTATCGACAAAGGATGAGCTCAAAAAGCAGCAAGAAGTAGTCGCTATGCTTCAACAGGAGCGTGACAGCATAAATCATCATAAAGAAGAGCTGATAAAAGAAAATGAAACAAGCGTGAAGAGGCTAGAGAATGAACTGTCCAAAGCAAAAGAAAGTAATAAAGCAGAGATAGACAGCAAGATGAAAGAATTAGAAAACCTAAAGCAACAAATAGAAGAATTCAAAGCAGAGCTGTCGTCAACTAAGGAATCATTAGAGAAAGAGCAGAATAGATCAGGAAAGCTGGAATCACAGCTAAAGGACATTGAGGAACAGGATCGTGAAAAGATAAGCAACCTTGAAAGTCAATTAGCCGCTACGCAAAGCCTTGCTGATAGCGAACAGGCAAGAGCTACAGAACTAGAATCCAAGTTGAAAGAGCTAAAAGATGAGCTAGAGAATAAATCAACCGAGCTAGAAGATCAAGTCACAAAGATGAAGAAGCAATTAGATGATGAGCGTGCAGAATCAAAAAAGTTAAAGAGCCAAATCAAAAAATTGGAATCCAACAAGCAAAAGGAACATAATATAATGGTAACAGAGCTCAATCAATTAAAAGAACAGCTTGAGAATGAACAAAAGAAGTTATCTGATACGGAAATGGCTGTCAGTAATGTAAGGGATGAACTTGCTCTTACCAAAAAAGAACTTGATGAAGAGCAATCTAAAGCCAAAAAGCTTAAGGACCAAATCAAAGTTCTTGAGGAAGAGAAGAAAAATACATTAAAAGAATATGATGACAAGTACACAATCCAATTGAAGTCACTTGACGACCAACTTGAAAAAGAACGCATCAGATGCAAAGACCTGGAAGCAAAAATAAATAAACTGGAAGATGACCACACTGAGAACATCAAGCGTCTTGAGAGAGAAGCTGAAACAGAGCGCTCCAAGTCGACAAGCTTGCAAGAAACGATCGACAGCCTGGAGAAATCCAAAGGAGAGCACAGTGAATCCATAAACCGGCTTCAACTCGAGCTTGATGCTGAAAAATCCAAGTTACAAGATAAAATAAATACGCTTGATCAGTTGAAAGAGCAGCATGATACAACAGAACAAGGTTTAAGAAAAGAACTGGAAGCCGAGAGAGCTAAAACTGAAGAGCTACAAGCGATGCTCAAGACGCTTGACGAAATGAAGCAAGAGCACACTAGCACTTTATCCATAATGCAGCAAGAGCTAGATGCTGAGCGTACAAAATATACTAAACTTGAACAACAAGTAGAACAGCTAGAAAAGTTACGATCTGAACAAAAGGAAGCCTTATCGACTTTACAGACCGAACTGGATACAGAACGCGAAAAAGTACAGCAAAAGGGAGTAGCTTTAGGTAAAATGAAATTAAAGCTCCATAACACGATGAGCGGCCTGCAGGCAGAAATAGAGGCAGAACGTGCTAAAGCATTAAAGCTGCAAAACAAGATAGATTCATTGAACCAGGAACACGGTGATGCTATATCAAAACTGAAAGCCGATATCGATGTTGAAAGAGCCAATTTGGAGAAGCAACTAGAGGATGCTAACCAATTGAAAAATGAAAATCATGGAAAACTTGTTCAAGAGCTTGAAGAGATCAAGCGTACCCTTGAGGCTGAAAATGAACAAACGGTTCAGTTGCGATCAGAGATTGAGCGCTTGAAAGACGAGCACAAGACAAACATAGCCTCTTTTGAAGCGAATGTTCAATCACTTAATGTACAGATTGAAGAAAAAGAATCTCTCATATCTGCTCTCAAGACCACACAGAGCGATAGAGTATTGGAGCTTGAAGATAAGGTGAGAGAACAAACTGACAAGTTTCAAGGTCATATGCAGATGAAAGAACAAGAGTTGGCTATACTCAAGGACAAATATACTGCTCAAATAGAGGAGTTATCCAAACTAGAAAAGAAGAGTAAAGAGTGGCACGATGAACTGTCTGAGGAAAAGCAGATGAGGAAAGAGATGAAGGAAAAACTGGAAAGCGCTGAACTAGCCAATAAGGAACTTGAATCACATCTTCGGTCTATTACAGAGAAACTAGATGCTGCTAATACTGAGCTGGAAAACAAAAGGTCACAATTAGACAATCATGCAGCTACGTTGAACAAACTTGAACAGCAAGAAAAACACTACAAGAAAGAAATGGATCAGTTAAAACAAGAGTACGAAGAGCGCCTTGTTGCTGAACGAAACAAAACTGAAGAGCAAAACACAAATGGAGGCGAGGAACTCGAAAAATTAAAGTCAGAGTTGGAAAACAGTAAAAAGGAAATTAAGAAGCTACGGGGACAAGTAGCCTTGGCCAAAAATCAGAACAACCGTCAATCCAAACAGGGCACAGATGAAAGGACAGTAGCCAAGGATAAAGAAATAGAAAGCTTAAAGCAAAGAATAGCTGAACTTGAACATGGCAGCAAAGATGCCAGTGAGAGAAAGAAAGCTGATCTTGCCTCAGCAGATATCAAACGACAGCTTCAGGCACGCGATAAGAAAGTAGAAGAACTGCAGCAGCAAGTTTCTAGACTCTTGACTATAGAAAGCGAATATCAACTATTAAAGAAAGATTTAAAGGCAAAAGAAGAAAGATTAAATCATTTGGAAAAAATCGAAAAACAGGCACTTGAGGAAGCATTAGATAGAGGCTTGAACCCTACAGAAGCTGAAAAAAGGATCCAGGAGCTACGAGAAAAAGTACGTGAGTTGGAGAATAGACTTGCTTCTACACCGGAAAAGGAAGAACTAGAAAACAAACTGCAACGACAGTTTGAAGCCTTTAACACTATACGAAACGAATTAACTGCTCAGCGTGAGCGTCAGTTTGACTCTGAGACAAAATTACAGAAGGAAAAATCATTAATTGATAGAGAAAGACAAGGATTAAGGGTCACAGTGGAAAAATTGAGGAGTGAATACGAGCAGCAGCTTGAGACAATGTGGCGTCAATATGAGACAATGAAGGAAGAACTCTCGTTAGGGCGCTCAGCTTTAGATGCTGCCCAAGTGAAGTTGATGATGAATGGATGCAGTCCTGTAAGTGAAAATGGCTTTGACTGGAATAACTCAGAGCATGAAGAAGAAGAAGAAGAACAGGAGGAAGAAGACGTGAGTGTCGGAAGGCAGTTAGTTCCTGAAGTTGGAAAGCTACCACCGTTGGAAAAGCCTGGACTAAACGCATTCATGGAAGTTCCAAGCTGCAGTGGATGTTTAAGCGATGTCATAAATATTTAGACTAATTTTGTACAAATTGTAATCATATGCTTTAGCTGTAAAATAAAGTATTCCTTTTTCATAATGTCTAGATAACCTTTATTAAGGGGGATGCTTGACCATCTGTAAGGGAGAGGCATCTTGTTCTCCTGCGCTTGATAAATGCAAAAAGAAAAGCATCAATTGAATAAGTAGCTGGTCTTACAAATAATGCACTTTAATAGAAATGAGACATTACTTGCAATAATACCCTTAGAACTCAATGGAGACAAGGCTATTAGAATATTTGGACCTTTATCGATTAAAAAGGAGCTGAACACTAAAGATACAGAGAGAAAAAAGAGGGAGTTAAGGAAGCATCTAATTTCCTACATTCATAAATAAAGATGCATACTATGCCCTCCCTTGAAAACTCACGTGCAATTACAAGAATTTGACAGATGTACATCTATTATATGCCAATTGTGGCAATTAAAGATGCTATATTTCAATAAGCTAGAAATGAACCTGTCTGGTTAAAATGACGATAAGTGCGTACACTTTATTACAGTGATTACGCCTTTATGTTTATATCCATTTGACTAAAGAACAAGCAAACTCGTGGCAAGATGCAGACCCTGAAACTTTAATATTGAAGTAGCCACATGTCTTGTCTCCTTGTGTCTAATTGTTAATCAGTCAATGCCATGTTTTCTGATTAGACTACCGCGGATATCCTTTGAATTTTTACAAGTGTTGTGAATCTAAACAAGTCGAGGTACGTTTTGTATACGATAGAGACGAGTGTGTCTAGATAAAAGTGCCTTGTTTCTATATAGTGTTACAAAGCAAACCTTGCTGAGCTACTGCTCGAGCAAATAGATTGGTCTAGACAAGATGACAACTGAAATTAGTAAAGTATTACAGTGAACTTGTGAAAAACTATAGAATTAGTGAGAAAGATAGTACGTAAACTACTGGAGTATATGAGCTGACAAAGACACCAAAGGGTCCATGCAATTAGGTTTTTTTTTGCCAAGAATAAAGGTGTAGCAACACCATGTGGATGTATTCTTTTTATTGCTTATATCAATCAGCTAAAAGAAGCACAGGAAACATAAAGGAACAATTGAAAAGCAAGCAGGATATTTAGATATGCGTAGGCTTCAAAAGGGTACTGAAAAGCCGTTGAGCATGTATGTCAAGCTTCTAATGTACCAAAAGTCAAAATATGCCCAAAACAAGGTGCTCAAGACATTGGCAGCGTAGAGAGCGATATGAATGAATAATGGCTTTAAATGCTGCTCAAAGAGAGCAATAGATATATTCGACATTCACCAAGTAGCATTTTATTCCTTAAAAGTTAACAATGTACAACCACGCTATCGATATCATCAAGAGGGTATTTTGTCTGCGTTTATAGATGTACAGCTTAAGATATTATCAAAAGACAAAGCAAAGCCCTTGGAAGCTATGGCAAATGTTATTATCTTTTAGGCCACAGAATGTGTTATCAGATCAATAACAAAAACATAGTCAGTCAGTTTAGGAAATATATCCCTTGAACACAAAATCGCTCTGTGTTTGACAAGGTTCTAATTCGCACACACGTGTTATGTCTACAACAAAAATTAGATGCATTACCAAAGTCGACATGAAAAACGTGAGGCCGTCATTGCAGTTGTCTGCCAAAGGTTCCTTCACTATTGTCCTTTGGTAAGGATTATCGAATAGCAGAATGACAGTAGAGTTTCTTAATCTCCGAACATAAGCTCTTTGGTCATACTTTAAGCAGACAAGCTGGTCTCAAATTAAGTTTGTATCAACAAGAATGTATAATATTGTATTAAGGTAATAGGAGCATACCTTGAGCAAATAGCATATATGAAGGGAGAAAGAAAGGTTATAGAAATGTCAGAAGCAAAGGAAAGGAAAAGTTAAACTATGAACGATGGATAAGGCCAATCAAACAAGAGATATGCATCAAAGAACTATTGGACAATTCTTGGATAAAAATATAAAGTGCACGCTGCATTGAAATCGACTTGGTCCATGTTATTACGGATACACTGAGCTGTTTGTTTCCTGTTGGCTGGTTCTTTCGCTTTCTTTTATCGATACCTTGTTCGACTCCTTGGCAAACTGAAATGCACTTGAAGGATATCATTAGTTCCTTGACGAAGAGGAAGTTGATAACAATGTAGTTCTTGTAAGCAATCTAGATGATAGATTATGCATCAGTGACATTACCTGACAACAAATACATCAAACCCCGCCTCTTTCCCTAATGTTTACTTTTGCACTAAGCATATTGGAAAGGGGAAAAAAAAAAGAGTAAAAAAAAAACCACAAATACACATACATAATCAACCAAAGTACACATTTGGAACCAGAGAGCTTTTGCAATAATGAAAAAGAGGAACAGCTTGCGATCATAGGATCGAAGAAAGAGGATAGGCTCTGCATTCAGTAAATATAAAGTGTACTAGCCTCAGCCTGAACAAGCAAAGCTATAAGCACTTTTATTTCTGTTGTTTAACAACAATCATATTTAAAGAGAAAATAAAAGAAAGTGTAAAGATAGATTAAAATCCTGTCATTTATTGTATTTATAGGCTGCTTGACAACTTGTGTGTCGATTCTTGGCGGAGAGAGAAAAATGAAGTAGCGCAAAAAGATTCTGCCGCCAAATTTATTTTCAGTAACATATTCATATGAAATGATGTTTAAAAATATAAAATGATAAAAAAGGAAAAGGATAAAAAAAAGACAAGGGAAGGGGAAGAATAATAAGAAAGGGAGACGATAATAAGAAGAAAAGCCATAAAGATAAGCCTTTCTTTTCTTTTTTTGAATTCGCAGTTACAATGAAATTAAAATGAGTTTATTTTTTGCTCCCCTTCTAACTTTACACAATTTCCATATAAAGAGTCTTTTGCGTGCATTTATATTTAGTGTAATTGTAGCCTTTTTTTCAGTTCAGTTCCACCTTTCTTTCTACTTTGGAACTTTTTTAAAAAGCTTTTTCTTCTTTACTCTTTTTCTTTATATTATTATTACTATTATTATCATTATTACTTTATTATATTTTACGAACTAACGAATTTTTATAACATCATATTATTACTCAAATGAGTGGAAGTAATATCAAGGTCGTTGTACGTTGTAGACCTTTAAATTCTCGAGGTATAAATATAGATAATATCTGTATTTATCACTACATTTACACATTTACAATAGAAAAGGCTAGAGGAGCACCATGTCTTATTCGAATGGAAGGAAATAAAACCATCATCACAAAGCCAGCAACCCAGGGACCAAAACCAACTCCGGAAGATGTAAAAGCTTTCACATTTGATCAATCCTATTGGTCTGCAGATAAAAACGACCCAGATTATGCAGATCAAGAACGTGTCTATAATGATCTTGGTAAAGAGCTTTTGGATCATGCATTTGATGGATATAATTGCTGTATTTTTGCATGTTGGTATTTGGATGATATCAAATGACTTTTTTTTTACTTATAATTTTTTACTATAGATGGTCAAACAGGCGCAGGCAAATCATATTCAATGGTGACATAAACTATTGTGACCATAAACATTCACTAACCCAGATATGTTGTAGATGGGTTATGGTGAGGACAAAGGTATTATCCCAAGAACTTGCTGTGAATTATTCGAACGTATCAACCAAAAGTCAACCAACAATCTTCAGTACCAAGTGGAAGTATCTTATATCGAAATTTACAATGAGAAAGTAAGAGATTTACTCAATCCTCGCAACAAGGGAAATCTTAAAGTAAGAGAGCATCCTGTTTTGGGTCCCTACGTACAAGATCTTTCTCGTCTGGCTGTCAACTCATATGAAAACATTGATCAACTGATGGATGAAGGAAATAAGGCTAGAACAGTCGCAGCAACCAACATGAACGAAACATCATCTCGTTCCCATGCAGTGTTCACCATTTTTGTCACTCAACGTTTACATGATCCACAAACAAAGCAGACAAGTGAAAAGGTGGCTCGTATCAGGTAATTTTTTCTTTTTTTTTTAAAAAAAAATGGATAAAAGTTGTATGCTAAGCCCAAAGAAAGCCTCGTCGATTTGGCTGGTAGTGAAAGAGCAAACAGTACAGGAGCAACAGGTGTCCGTTTGAAGGAAGGTGCCAACATCAATAAATCATTAACAACACTTGGTAAAGTCATCGCTGGACTTGCAGAACAAGCATCGGCTGATCCCAAGAAGGGTTCCAAGAAAAAGGATGCTTCATTTATACCCTTTCGTGATTCTGTAAAATAAGCTTTCTTTTGTTTTGATTTTGACGTGATAGATGTCTAATTAACGTCATTTAGGTACTCACTTGGTTACTCAAAGACTCTTTGGGTGGTAACTCAAAGACATGTATGATCGCAGCTATTTCACCAGCAGATTATGATGAAACGCTCAGTACCTTGAGATACGCTGATCAAGCCAAAAAGATCAAGACAAAGGCCGTGGTGAATGAAGATCCAAATGCCAAGGTTATGCGTGAACTCAAGGATGAAGTGGAAGCTCTTCGTCAAGCTCTGATGGTATATGCTCCTGCTGAAGTTGAAAAGATCACAGCCACAGCAAAAGGAAAGAAGGCACCAGCCAAATCATCTACACCTCCTACAGCCGCAGCACATCCTACAGGCTCAAAGTCAACTGTGGTCTTCACAGATGCTTCTGGACATACAACTCAGCTCACAAAAGAGGAAATGGTCGAGCAGCTGCAAACAACGGAAAAATTACTCGGCGACCTGAACCAGACATGGGAAGAAAAAATAAAAAACACCGAAAAAATTCATCAGGAAAGAGAAAGTGCATTAAAGAGCTTAGGTATCACTATCGAAAAGAATCAAGTGGGCCTTTATACACCCAAGGAAACTCCTTACTTGATCAACCTGAACGAAGATCCTCTCATGTCAGAATGCCTAATGTACAATATCAAACCAGGTATCACTCATGTTGATCGTTTCACAGACGAAGGCGAGGCCTCGGTCAGCCACCCTGAAGGTGAATGCGTCATTCGCCTAAGTGGATCTAATATTCAGGACAATCACTGTTACTTTGAAAATACAAATGACACAGTCACTCTCTATCCTCGTGAGGGCTGCACAACCATGGTCAATGGATTACGTATCTCAGAACCCAAGAAACTCAAGAGTGGTTACCGCATCATTTTGGGAGACTATCACGTGTTCAGATTCAATAACCCCAGCCAAGCGTTAAAGGAACGGGAAAGCATTATCTCTACAGATAGTGCCGCTGCTCGTATTGAGGCTAGTGGACCTCCCTCACCTGTCCCATCCTCAGAGGAGCGCGAGATGGCCATGTCTCCTCCCTTGGCCTCTGAAGTAATGGATTGGAACTTTGCAAGACGAGAGGCAATGCTTAACACCTACATCAATGATCCCAACTTCAACAACTTTACTGATGAGGATTTGGACAAGCTATTCGACGAAGTGGCCAAGGTGCGTGTGATGCGTAAACGACAATCGACTGGCTCAGATTCTCTCTCTCGCCGTACCTCATCCTCTTCTGTACGTCGAAGCGTTTACTCAGCTACCGCCTCTTCTGTGTTCATGGACGACGATGGATACTATACCACTGACACAAGTACGACTATTTCCTCGCTAACAGAGGATGAGCTCATGCACATGGATGATAAACAAGTGATGGAATATGAACGTCACCGCAGAAAATACGAAGCCAAGTTACGCCGACTCTCTCGACGCTTCTCCTCAGCCCCTCCTATTCTGCTCTCACCTGCCGAAGCAGCCATTGGCAGAAAAGTAATTGCCCACTGGAAGAGAAAGCGAAATATAGCCATGGCTCAAACCATCTTGAGAAACGACATATACGTACAGCAAGCCAACCAGTTAGCAAAGCAGTCCGGCAAGGACGTCTTTTACCAGTTTGCTGTTATCTATCATGACGATATCATATCCGCTTCTCACTGGGAAGCAGCTAACTCTTCTCACCATCGGTATGGCATAGACACTGACCTGCTGAGGGAAAGGAAGCCCTGTGTGGGCATTCAGGTGATTGACTACAAGCATCAATCCACTTATATTTGGTCGATCGAAAAGTTTGTCACTCGCCTTCGACACCTTCAAGGTTTGAACTTTGTCACGGACAACAAGAAGCATCTGAAGGGTGATGACCTCTTCTACAACTCGAATGTTCCCTCCTACGTCCTTGTCGGTTTAGCCAAGGTGCCACTTCAAAACTTGGCTACACAAGTACCTGTCGAGAGTCACATCTCAGTTCATTGCCGAAACACAGGTCGCTTGATGGGTAAACTCAAGGTTTTGATTGCTCCTATTGCTCGATCTGTCCGAAACCCTTACCGGTCCGAAGGAAGCGAGGATGGCCATTTTAGCTACGACGAAGAGAACCCACGTAACCTGCTACACATTGGGCAGCAGCTTGTGTTTGAAATTTCCATTGTAGAAATGACCGAACTCGATCCAAAACTCTTCTCCCGCGTTCATGCTCAGTTCCGCTTGTCAAACTTTGGAAGCAATCTCGAAGGTGTCTTTGCCTCTGATTCTGTAGAGCATAGCCAAAAAGACAAGCCCATTGTGTTTAATTACCATCAGACGCTTTCTATGGCCATCACGGAGGAAATGTTGAATGTCATTCACGACAAGGAAATCGTCTTTGAAGTCTACGGCAAACCTACACAAGCTTATCTTGATTCACTCATGATCCCCACAGAACAGCAACAGTCTGCCGATACCGGCATCATTCCTCCCAAGAAGTTACAGAACGTCCTTACACGTATCCAAATCTGTGAGATCACAGCCGAGGGTGACTACAAGCCTGTGCCGATCGAGACTCAAGAGAATTATGGCAACGTCTTTTCGTTACAGCAAGGACAACAGCGTCGTGTGGTCATTTCATTAGAAGATGCAACTGCAGAGTCCGAACTCAACTTTGAGCGTATTGTCGAGGTCCGTATGGGTCAAGTACGTCTTGTGGATGCCAAAGATCGCATCATTGACACACCTGCCACTGCTCAAGCCGATATCAACTTGAAGCTGATAGATTCTAAACGTAACTCACAGACAAGTGAGACAGATGACCACAAATTGAACGCACAGTGCTCCTGGGACAGCTCGCTTCATGACACACTCCTCCTGAACGCTGTGACACCGAATACACACAAGGTGCTCTTAACTCTGACCTGGATTGTCCGCAACCAGAACCAGTGTGAAATTAAGTTCCAAAAGGAAATTGCAGTCCATATCAAGGATCAGAGCAAGGCAGCCAGTATCAAAAAGAAGTCTGCGAGCCACAACCCCAACAAGCGTGCATCTGTCATCCTCAACTTCTTTTCGCTCAAGTCTGGTCATCCCAAGAACCACATCTCATGTCTTTATGTGGTTGAACATCAAGCTGAGCTGTTTGGTATCCCCAATATCTGCAAGCAAGATTTACCCTCTCGTGTATTGGGCGCCTATGCCGATCGCAGACAAAAGATGATTCAAAGGGAACAAGTCGAAGCAACAAGGTACAAGCTGTACTTGAACGAACAGCTCGATCATCTGTGTGATGAAGTTCCGAATCCAGTTTTGGCAAACAAGCCCGACTTGGATCGTGTCTTGAAGATGTGGATGAAGAAAGATTATGAACCTGCTTTGTCACCATCCACGCCTAACCCTACCATTCACCGATGGACTGCACATGTCCATCAGGTTTTGATGAATGAACGTACAATAGCCAAGAAGGGATTTTTGCAGCGCAAGAATGATACTCAAGGCAAAGAGTGGGAAAAGCTTTGGTGTGTGCTTGTAGGGTAAAGTAGATAGAATCATTCGTAAGATATCACAACTGACATTCATTAGAAATTATATGTTTATGTATGACGATCAATCAGAAACAAATGAGGTTGATGTGATTCGCATAAGAAATGTACATAAGGAAGATGGAAATACTATGGTAAGTGAAATAAGATTTATTATGGAATGTATTCTCACGTGTAGTGTAGAAATCAAAAACGTTTTTTACAATTGATACCCTATATACTTCGCATACACTCCAAGCACAGGATAATGCTACTATGATAGAATGGGTGAACACGATTGATAAATTATCTCGTTTCTATGGTTAAGGCTCTTTTTTTTATATAACATATTAGAGATTATGCTTATGTTTGTATTTTTACATGTTTTCCCCCCAATTCTATATTTTTCATATCATTTAGATATGGAATTTATGAACCCCTTTTTATATCGAGTGTATTCTTACTTTTTTTTTTAAAGAAAAGAAAAAACTACATATGTTATTCCCTTTTAAACTTTTAATATATATCTTTTTTTAAAAAAAACTTATACCAAATATAATGATTAAAGACTCATCTGTTACTCTTTATTATTCCAGAGGTGCGTATTTTTAGCCTCTTCAGGTATTGCTACAGAAATAGTTTGTTGTATCTGTCAGATAATATAAGCAGTGAATTCTTTGTTTTAAAAGATGATTTACCTTCTTTTCCAACTCTTGCTCAGAATCATAAAGTTCCCCTGTAGATTCGGCTGCTCCTAACAGCTTCTTTTTTTTTTTTTTTTTTTTTTACAAGTGTCACTAACTTTTATTAAACAGCAAGTTTGACTTACTCTAACTTGTCTGCGTTTCTTTGCAGGTGGTTGTTCTTGAGATGCCAATTCATTCACCTCTTTTTCTTCTGTTTCTTCTATATATTTTGTATTTGTTCTGAGTGCTCTTGAACATCGTCTGGCCGCGGTTCTGTTGTACGTTAATAAAAAGCATTAATGAAAAAAGATATAACTACCGTCTCTTTGGAGCTATCTATTATCAAAGTACATGAGTGGGTTATTATATCTCGGAAGGACGACTTACATTCACATCTGATTTCTTACGAGGACCTTTACTGAGGTTAGCTCGCTTTGGAGGGTTAGGATCGGTGTTTTCTCTGTTGGATATATTTGTAAAAGCATTGACTAGATCAAGTTTGTGAATGACAGAGTATAAACGAAAATTCCTAGTTACATACTTTCATTTGCCTCTTGTACACTAAGTTCAGTACTAGCAAAGATATATTGTACCTAGGAAGACCATACATAAATACACACTTACCGCTGAAGCTCTTGTCTTTCTCTCTGACGTAGCTGTTCCTTATAGTTCAACACACTGATTTGTGTAACAAGTCTTTTTTGTTCCTTTAGCCATTCTTCTTTTTCTATTTGGTGACTTTATCGAAATAAGTTTTTGTACTTGAGCTTCACAACAAGTCATCTATCTACCGGTTACGTTCTTCCAACAAGTCATCGGCTGCTTTCTAAACCATGTATAAGAAAAAGCAACAACAACAAAAAAAGGGAGAAATACCTCGTTATAGTCTTGAAGTTTCTGTATGAGTTTCGCATCTTCTTGCATTGCATTGGTATCATCTATTGTCAGTTACACGTGTTATAAGCAAAGCGTCAGAATATATAAAAATCAATGTAATCACATGAATTAAAGCAATCAATGGCCATTACTTGGAGATCATCAATGCTACGATAGGATATTGCATTTAATATATAGAACGTTCTTTTCCTTTTTTTTCTATTTACTATCCTAAAAGGGCCTTTAATGATTCTTGATGTGTTTCCATAGTCAATTTAATGTGTTGCATTAGAGCACCTTTGTTATTTGCAGAGGATGCATGGACACTCAGGTCTTGTAAAAAGCGTTTCATTTCTGTTGTCAAACCCTGTAAAAAGCATTGTTGAGATTCCAAGGACATTCTGAGACTGTCTAAAATAAGGAAGGGAAAGATTAAGTACGCCCTGTTAATAAACTATCACTCATACCAATCTTTTGTTGGTGCTCAGATAATGAATGAGTCAGTTCGATGATATCTTGTTGAACAATGATTTGAGAATGTTTCAAATTCTGAAAATTGTCCCTTTGATCATAATGTTTTAATTGAGTCAAACGCTGCTTGCAATCTCTAATCTTGGCGGTCCTTTGGTTATCTCTTTTGATATTTAACAAACAAGCTTCACGTAGACTGTTATCTCCTTCCTGTTGAGTTTCTTTTGCCTTCTCAATCTGCTTCAGCATATCCTCTAAGCTGGTAAATATGCATTTAAATGTATCCATACGCTCTATCAGTTTATCTAGCCTATAGTATGTGTGTAAATATAAATGTAGACAACATAGATGTATGATTCATTTTACTTTGTTTTAATATAATTTGATCGAATGAGTCCAATCTCGGTCAATTCCTTTGTTAACTCTTGTTTGCTTTTATATATTTCCAACTTGCTTTGCTCTTCCCTTAGCTGCCTCTTGAGCTCTTCAATTTCGAGAGACGCTTTTACGCACGCCTTTTCTTTCTCAGCTGCCTTTTTTCTGCATGAATCAGCCAGCATCTCGATGGTATTATCAAACTCTAACGGAGACGAAGGCTTAGTACCAGGTATCTTTTGCTTAAAGAGGACTTGATCCAAATGACGGCCGGATACTTTAGATGACTGTTTTACGCTTTCTTGTGAGTTTATTCTTTTGACCAATTGTTTTGGGCTCAGTAACTTTTTCATGTACTCAGCGTCATATCCTGGTTCCTTTTTCTATAATAAAACTCTAGTTATATAGTTTTCTGATTTAGCAATAGAAAGACTCATTACAATGGCAATAGACAAATTTGAAGTAGTACTTTGCTTAACTATTATATAATCAGAGTTTCTGTAATTCTTCTTTCTCCAAACTTACGCTTTCTTTGAGACAGCTTTGATGAAAAGAAAGCACTTGGTGGCAAAACAGGTGGCGGAAGGGCTTCCAAATCAAATGTTTTCATAGATTCAAAGGTAGTTTTTGGCCATGGTGACAACTTTTGTTGTAATTTATCGCTAGTCTTACTTGTCGTATTAGATGGAGGTTTCCTACGTATAAGACCAGATATCTTCTTTGGCTTATAGACAAAGTTGAAATCTTCAAGATATTTATCCCTTTTTATACTTTCGTTCGACATAAAATAGTTGAAAAGAGAGAAAAGAAGGCAATTTTTATTAGGAATATGTTATAAATATATACATTTTGCATGTCCAAAAGTGACAACATTAAACAAGCATTTTTGACATATAAGGTCCTATATGATCATTATTGTCAGTATAGTCAAAATAATATTACAACAGACACTTACCATCTAGATGATAACCAAGCTTAGCATAATAATGTCTGACACCCACACCTGAGATAACACTCAGCTTGACACTTCCATGTTCTTCTCTGGCAATACGCTCTGCTTCTTCCATCAACAATGTACCAAAACCTTGATGCTGGAATTTTGTAGGATCACGGTCATGCATGGGCACAACTGAACCATACACATGTAACTCTCGGACGATGGATGTAGGTCCTTGTGTGAGCTCAGGTCTAAATGTTTGAGGAGAGCATTTTCTTAAACGCAAGAGGCCGACCAAGATATCTTGTTCAGGGTCTTCGTAAGACAAGAATGTTTCCCAGCCACCGTTAGCTACATAATCTCGGCGAATAAGTTCCACTTGGTCTGGCTTGATCTTTTGGTGAATTTCCGTTATGCCCACTTCACGCGTACGCACATCACGACATTCTGTACCCAAATCCTTCATACGATTCAACGCCAACTCACGCAAGTTACCATGCTCGACACCCGAGGTGACCAAGGGCATAGGAATATCACGCTGAACACGGTACACACGGGTCCATGGAGGCACGAGGGCCAGGATACGAGCGACAAGGTCGACGAGGGCGTTGGGTGTATAGTTTTGATATCTCTTGGTTCTCCATAATTCGTATAAGCCAGTACCACGAATGACCAAAGTAGGGTAAATCTTCAAACCGTCTGATCGAAAGGCAGGGTTCTCAAAGTACTCCTTGAACTGCTCTATATCTCTTTCCATACCAACATTAGGCAAATCGGGCATCATATGTGATACGACCTTGAAACCAGCATCCTTCGCCATCTGGAATGACTCTGTTACTGCCTTGACCGTATGGCCTCTGTTGGTATCTCTTGCGACGTCTTCATATACACTTTGTACACCAATTTCCAGACGAGTACATCCATATCGCAACATCTGACTCAAATGAGGCTTCAGACAATAGTCCGGTCTAGTCTCAATAGTGATACCAATACATTTCGTCTGACTCTGCTGTGAGTATCGAACGGCTTCATCCAAGTCATTACTAGAGTGGCCAGAGAGTGCGTCATGCAGGTTTTGAATAAACCAGTTACGGTAATCTTCAGACAACGACATGAACGTGCCACCCATAATGATGTATTCTACTTTATCGACACTGTGACCCAAGCTTCGAAGTTGATCCACACGACCACGGGCTTGTTCATAAGGATCATAACGAGCACGAATGGCTCGCATGGATGTAGGTTCGTATCCAGTATATGACTGTGTTGAATATTCAAAATCAGAGTCAGGGCCACCAGGGCAGTAGACACAAATGTTTCCGGTCATGGCAATATGAGGACATCGATGAGGTTTACACATGACAGCAACAACTGCAATCTAAATATATATACCAAAATCAATATCTCTCTTTGTTGAGAATGTTGATCATTACTTACACCTGAGGCTGTTCGAATAGGTTTTGCTTTCAGTTTTGGAAGAAGAGCTGCTTTATGCTGCTCAGGAATGGCTGCGATAATTTCGACTAATTTAGGTTGATTTTGTAACTTATTTCTTCTGGCTGCTCTATTTTTCACTCCATTCAAATTGATGTCTTTTCCTGCCTCAACTGCGGCAACAAGTTCAGCTACAATTTCAGAACATGTTCGAACCAAGAGTTCTGCCTAAAGTTGCCTGTAAGTTATGGATATTGTCTTAAAGCAATGATATATACCTGTGAAGGACCTTTCTTGTTTTTAGTAGACATTGTAAGAAATATAAACAAGTTGGAAAAGAGAAAGAATTGACAGATTTTTATCAAAAGTGACGGCTTTTGAACTTGCAGAGCCAATAAAAAAAGGCTTGGCCTAATAGGTCTTGTGTTGAAAGAAAGAGAAGGCGATGATAGAGTTTAGGATAGTTGTGAAAAAAGAGGATTAAAAATTTATTATATATGCTTATGTTCTATGTTTTAAAAAAAAGGGGGGGGGGAGGGAATATATACTATTACACATTTCATTTTACTTTTTATCAATAAAGAGAGACGGAGAGAAAAGAGAGAATGGTTTATAGTCTTGATATGAAAAAACCACAGAGAAATGAAAATACTTTAGTATTGATGCACTAATGATGTGAAAAATAATTTAATCTTTGATGCCATCATAATTAACAAGCACCAGACTGTTGCAAGGTTTTCTAGTAAATGTAGACAGGTCTTCATAACTTCCATCAACTGCTTGGTACAATTTGCTTGATTCGTTTTTTCTACTGGTGGTAACAATAAAATATTATCTGACCAGTCTCTCATGAAATGGAAACGGCACTGGCCATCATATTTCAAATCCATTTTGTAGGTGATGGCTTTACAATATATTATCATTTACGACGATGCCTACAATTTCTGGAGCCTTCACTTTTTTTCTGACCAGTTTATTGAGAGCTACTTGCATCTCTTTTCCAAATTTTACATTGTCATCCTCTAAGTTACTATTACGATAGTTTCCTTTTCTTTATACCTCCACAAAGAAAAATTCAAAGTTTACAGCGGAGAGATTTTCAAAGTAGAGCACAAAATCAGGAATCAATACTTGCCCATCCGATGGTTTTGTTAGATGATATGTTAACCTAATGATGGCGTTAGTAACTATAGTAATTAACATTGAAAAGTGCTTTTAATTGGGAAACACTACATGTACCAGAAAATACACCAGAAGTTAGACCAATGCCTCTACTCACTACTTATGATGTTGCCCAACAAAACTTTTCACCAACTTGTTTTGTTTCTTTTCAAGAAGAAGAGGAGGAGATAAAAAGAAGTATTTCTATTGATGTGTTTATTTTAGTTTTATGTTGTCGGTTTGATCAACAAAGACCTCTTATGATAAATTCGTATTTACATTATTTAGCCCATTTTCTAGTGTATTTTCTGGTGCATATAGTGTTCACCCTTTTAATTTACCAATCGTATTTGATCATATCGATGTTAGAGACCAAACAGTGAATTGGATATAATCTGATATTCTCAATGATTAATAGTGCTTCTCCTTGTTTGCGATTATTGGGCGTGCTATTGTACAAGAACTTTGTTACAAGATCAGATATTATTTTTGATGTAGTCTTAGCAATATCGCTATTGTAGATGCTCTTCATTTTGTCTAGGGCATCTTCAACTTCATTCTTAGTGAGTACATTATTTGTTAAAACGATTCGCATTTCATGACATATCAAAGTAGCATCAATATTAAGAGGTGTCAATTGATTCTGTTCATTAATGCTCTTCATTATCGAACGCTGATTCCTTGATAGCATTTGTGAAATGACGCAATTGTCTATGGCAGATAAAAGGAAGATATATGACAATGATAAATACGGCTACTGAAGAGGTATTTGCGCATTTGAGCGCCTTCAATAGACACTTGTCTGAATTTTCTAAGTGCTTCTGTCATGTTGACTTCATCTATTATCCACTGTAAATTAATGTTATTGGTAAAACCAAAGTCAGTGTTGCCATAGAAATCACTTAAATAGATACTTAAGTACATTCTTTTCTTTTTGGGCTTTCTTGACTATTCCAAGTGCTATGTCCGGAACTGGATGCATCATCTATTTCATTGGAGCTGCGTTTTATATTTGTAATGGCACTTGAGCCCATGGGTGAATTAGTATTATTATTTATTACTATGGTGGTTTGTTTGGATTGGGGAATAGGTATGCCACCGCCATTAGTATTCGTATTGACATTTGTTCCTTTATCCTTCTTAGGAATCAATTGCTTCCCAATGACTTTCCACTCTTGTAGCAATTTTGTTGCTTTGGTTACTACTTCTTAGTTGATGCCAAAGCTTCTATTATGCTCTCTCTTATTGACCGTAAGTTCGATCGTGCTTGAGACGAAGGACCATTTTGCTCTATTTCCTCAAATGCGACCTTCACGGACCATTTGTTAAGAGTTTCTAAAAAATAATTTTTCTCAGCCATGGAAGCAGCTCAAACACAAGGAGAGAGAAAAAAGTTTAATGAAATTGGTAGTTTCTAGGTATCATAAGAGAGGCTTGAATACAAACAAAAGAGCATAATAGGCGTTGGAAGGCCAAGAGAAGAGTCATCAGGTGATGCATCATGAACCGATTATGACCAATTCGTTAGCTAAACTTGGGCAGGTAAGGATTAAATATTACTTTCCTCCTTAAGTCTCTACCATGATTCATATGGACTCTTCTATTCCCCTTTTTTTTATGCAAAAAGGAAATGATGACGTGGATGGGCTTTGATTTTCAATAGAAGAAAAAAAAAATTGTTTGTGCATAACTCGTTTTCTTTTTTCTCAAATAAACTATTATACCCTATATCTTTTTTTTTTCTTTCCTTTTTCTCTTTAAAACATGACTCAATCATCTAGTTTACGCTTCTTTGGTAATTTCAGAGACAAGAAGCCAACAAAAGAGACGACAGAGAACAACAGTTCAGATAATGTACAAGGCTGGCTTATGAATGTACATTCCTTTCAAAGAGAAGATAAACAGCAGGAAAATAATGATATAGTGAATATTGTAGATGCTGATAATAATCGGTAAAGTGATATATTTCAAACAGTTATCCTCAAACCGCGCGCCTTATACGTTCAATAGTATACCAATAGAAAAAACAAAACGAAAAGATGGTCGGCCAGAGAGCATAGCTTCAGAAGATAGTGTTAATTTAGAAGAGCTTATTAATGCCAACTATACCGCAGACATGGATGATGAAACTGACTTGCTTGATTTAGCTGATTTAGATTTGATTGATGATTCAGCAGATGACTTTTGGCAATTAAATAAAGTAAAATCATTATGTAAAAAAGATATATTAATATAACACTTTTTTTTTTATATTGCGTATATAGACAACAGAGACATTGAACTCATTCGATAGTGGATACAATGATTATGTAGCCAAGGTGTGTGTGTATGAAGAGAGAAAGAAAACGAAAAAACTTATTTATATTTTAGCCTGTCGAACTGGGCTGGAACACGCCAAATAGTACAAAACCGACGATGACGAAGCAATTATTGAATTCGCCCAACAATAAAGGTAATGAAGCAAACATTAGGAAATAAAAAAAAACGCTAATTGGTGTATCATAGCTTTACGTAAAAGATCAGATAGTCTAAGCAGCGATAATAGCTTAACCTCTCAATCAACTATTACTCAGTATGCCAAATACGGTATGACTCCAATGATCTATCCATCCGAATCATCTTCTTCGTCATCCCGTCCATTAAGTCGACTGAGCAACTACTCTGCCAGTAGTCTTGCTTCATCTTCGGGCCTCCCTCGATCAAGTGGAACGGGTATACCAACACCCAGTCGATCATACACGACAAAAAAGGAAACCAGAATACCAAATACGACACGTACACAGCTTGCCAAACGTGCATCCCATATTCCCGCGCCTGTAGCTTATTCGCCACCTACACCGCAAAAGACAACGTCGTCGTCCTCTTCTTCGGCTACGATAAGAAAAAGTAAAATACCGCAGCAGAGAGCAAGTCACATACCAACTAGACCACTATCTCCACAACAACAACAACATCGATCTCTGTTTGAGGAAGCAAAGAGAGTCAGTCCTACTTCGAATAGAGCAAGCCCTACGACGAATAGGCCAAGTGGACTTCGGGCACCCGCAACTGTAAGAAGTATAAGCAGAATTGGTACAGTAAAGAAGATGTAACATTGTTATGATTCATGACATTTATAATGAATTTATACGAGTTTATTTTATGCATTATTATTTGAAGATGTTTATTCTAAAACTAAAATTGACAATAGTAACTTACCATTAATAATAATAATAATGATCAATTTGTTTGAGTTGGTGACGCTGCTCTAAAGCTGTGATTTTCATATTCTTTATTCAGTAAATATATATGTATATCACTTTCAAGTAAGGATAACGGAAAGAGAGATAAACCAAGACACATGGTTTCTCGTTCTGTAGGGCGATTTGATGCAAGCACCGGTAAGACTATTTTGAAGCAAATAACTTGCAATACGATCTCAATTACAAAAAATTATTGACTTTTTGATAAGCTCATAAAGTCTTTTGTAGCTAGACTCTTGGTGTTTAAAAAAGCAATACAACTGTTATATCTCACTCTATCGCATCCGTTATGTATCTGTAGTCCGAATTCAGTCAACCGGAATTGACAGGTATTCGTAATTCTCCATCTTTAAAAGGAAAACTGAAATTTTACAGTGTTCACGATACCGATTTCGTTGTTTCCAAAAAGAATCATGAGTGCCGTCGTGAAAGATAAGCGTCTTTCTATGTTTAAGTGGTCCTAAAGCTTAAGCCCATACCTGAGCATGAGAATAGTAGGTAATAAAGTACTTGGAGTTAACTTCTTTTACTCTGTATGATTGTACAGAATCCAATTGTTAAATGCTGCTTTATTTTTTTTTTTTTTGAAACGTAGCTGGGAATATATGACAATAGAGTTTTGAGCAACAGTATTAACATGATTATTTCGAAAGCGGACGCCTTCAAAACTTTAAGGCTAGGCTCAACACAGCTTGCTTCCAAGTAAAAAGCTTGAGAACACGTTGAACGAGCCCTTTAAAAGTTGGGGAGTAGTGAGGCAGACAAAAGTAGCATGGATTACCCTATGAAATTTTTCTTCAATAAGCAACTCCCCAAAAAGATCAAAGAATCTATTGCTACTGTTCTGTCAGTCTATATCAATGAATCTACATCATAAGCCTCTTACCAAAGAGCTTGACGCAAAACACTTTCTTTGGAATTGAGTCTGGCAAGTTTAAAACCTTCACATTTTTGTAGAGCTTTGTGGTATCTGTTTTTTCTTTGACGTCTGTTGAGTTGAAATGTATGCCACCTGAGAGTTCTATAAAACAAGTAGCAATAACATGGTCGTTGGCCTTGATCAATACGCCATCCCATTTCCTAGTAGATGCAGAGTAATGTTGGTTCTCAATCCAGTTGAGCTTGACAACATCGTTATGGGAAAGGAATAATTTATTCATGATAAAACCAGTGGCATCAAGGCATGCCGATCGTTTTTACATTGGAAATAAAAGCGGGTTTCTATTGCTTTCTATTAGACTCATGCTATAGTAAGGAGGATACTTATTAGTAAGTTAATGTAATGTAACAAAAGCGAAACATACTTACAAGCGACGAGCTGTTACCTCAACAAAAGCCTTATCTGCATGTTGTATGTTGTCATGTTCCATTTGAGCACCATTCTGGATCAAGTTTCTTTTAGGGAAACATTGCATGCATCAGAAAACACACCAGAAGTTAGACCAATGCTATGTGCGCTACTTCCATCAATTACTTATGATGTTGTCCAACAAAACTTTTCACCAACTTGTTTTGTTTCTTTTCAAGAAGAAGAGGAGGAGATAAAAAGAAGTATTGCTATTGATGTGTTTATTTTGTCAGTTTGATCAACAAAGAGCCAAGATTGTTCACGTGTAATTCTCTGGTGCATGTAGTGTGGCCCAGAAAAAATTGCTTTATTTTTCAAATGGACTAAACAATAGTAACCCCAACTGTATTACTGAAAATAAAGCGTGGCTTGAAAAGCCTATTATTACACCCTTTGTCTACGTCAACTTTAGAATTGAGTCAACCGGAACCGACATAGGAGCGGACGATCAATGAAGATGATGAAAAAAAATAAAAGCTATACGGCTTTTGATTGTTTCCCAAAGGCGCGGCTCAAAGGAGGTAGTGCCACATATTTCGTCAGCCTTATTCCTAAATGCGGTCTTTTCTCATCCATTTTCATTGGATTTTTCAAAATTGACAGGTATTCGTAATTCTCCGTCTTTAAAAGGAAACTGAAATTTTATTTGACTCAAAAGTTTAAATTCGTTTCGGAGATTCGATTTGAATCATAGTTATTAAACAATAGAGAGATTCATTAATAATCAAGTTCTACCGTCTTCCATTTGACCATCAGCAGATTGTTTAAATCGGCAAGATAGATCAAGCATGAAACTATATCCGCGCGCGTACTTTGCTGCATAAAAAAAGTAGAATATTTCCTTTTTTTTTTTTTCTTTGCCCTTTCGTCAGATCGACCCTATTGATCCGATGAGTCAAAACTGTTTACAGAATATATTTCAATGTCCGAACTTACAATGCATAACATGTAGGTTGCCATGGTAATCAAGTCACACAAAGTGCCGGTTTTTCCGAACAAAGGCTGACAAATCGCCCCCTTAATTTTACGTGGCTGCCATATTTGGATAACTATAAAAAAAAGGTATAAATACCCAATTGGTTTTTTTAGATTTTCTTTTTTTTCAATTTTTGTTTTTATATTTATTTATTATGATGTATTCTGAATATTCCTCAACCATGCCTACCTTGGGCGCTTCACCCTCTGTATCTACTCCATATTTGGATGCAGCTATCGATACACCTTATACACCACCCTTTTTCGATATCACTTCAGACGAATTCTCTCCTTATCTTGCATTTGCTTCATTCAACAATACACCTGTTCTCAAGCAAGATCTGTGTGTCGCTGGTTATTTAAATAATAATCAAGACTCAGTTGCTGAATTCAATGGTGATCCAACTGAATTACTAATTGATAAATCAAAGACACCTCAAATGCCAGCTTCCAATAGTCTATTTGCTCCTGTTCAAAAAGAAGAAAACGAAGGGCTGTTTCCTCCATTGGGTAGTTCCCAACAGACAGTTGATACTGATATTAAGCCTGGAATGGATCAAGACCTCAAAGACCTTCTAGACTTGGGTTCTCCACTGAGTGACCAGATGGATGAAGGATCAGATGAACTGATCATCGAAGAAGAAAAAGAACCTGAAAGAGAGCAATCTGAAGAAGAAGAAAAGACAAAGCGCGGTAGGAAGAGAAGACTGACAGAAGAAGACGAACCCAAGAAAAAGAGGACGTATACCAAGAAATCAGACTCTGCCAAGACCGTCGAGCCCAAGTTGTACCAATGTCCTATTTGCGATCATGTCTCTAAGCGTCGTTATAACCTCAGTACCCATATCAAGACACATGATAAGAACCGTCTCAAGGAATTTGAGTGCCCTCAATGCTCAAAGCGATTCGATAGACGTCATGATCGTGATCGTCATCTTGCTACTGTACATCGTGGTGAACGATCATTCGTGTGTAAGGACTGTTCAATCCATTTCAGTAGACGTGATGCACTGAATCGCCACTTGGCTCAACGACATGAAGATGACAATGAATTCGATTAAAGTGTTTTGAATAGAATTAATGGCCACCCTCTCTCTCTCTCCTTCCCTTATTGCTTGCAACACTATTACAATTTAGACAAAACTGCCGGAACTGGACTCTTGAAGAAAAACATCACTATGGTTCTTATACTTCCCTTTTCTGATTTATATACATATATCTATGGGCTACAGGCAAACAGCTCTCTCTTTTTTATTATTATTTATTTATATATGATTTTTTTATTGATAACGCTGAACGATAACACTATTTAATAAACCTGCTTCTTTAATTGTTTGATTATTGTCGTCTAATTGCTTTACTGGAAAAGTAGTTTGAAGAATGTATGGCCTATTGCTACTGCCTGCATTGTTTCTATATATAGAACATAGTTGAGCTTATCTGCCTTTTATATAACTACTTGTAACTTACGCTTCAATGTACTGACGAATATCTCCAATTGTATGTGTGTGATTTAACTTGGCCACCATTCTAATATTGATTGTTATTATCTTGTTTTTATTTTATTATAGCTGACTTACCTTGATCCATCACCTAAACGAATCTGGATAGATGTCATGGGTTGACTTTCATCTACTGTTGGAGCAGTGGCACCTCCTGTGGATGGGAAAGTGCCAGGTGCCGCAGTAGGAGGCTCAACGTAAGTAGCTGGACTTCCTAACCTGTGACCTACGCCTTCAAAAGGCTTGGGTGGAGCCTTGGGAGGAGGTGTATAGTCTTCATCCTGACGTTTGATCACACGTACTTCAACTGGCTGTCCATGACGTACATTCAATAAAGAAAGTGGTGCGCGTCTTTAAAAATAACATTGAGAATGATATACACACACACTATTTTTTTTGTTTTACCCGCTGTTGATGGCTGCAAGCATCTGCTGGTTAGCAGGATCAGCATATTCGTATAAAGGCCCATCATCTACACTAAATCCGTTACGCCAGAATGTTAAGTGACGAGTGACCTATCATAAAATATCATTACGTATGTTCTCTAAGCTTTTTCTTCTTCTTTTTTACTTGTTCTGGTTCATCTTGTTGCTCAACAGGAGCAGAAGATGCCACGGTTGAAGGTTCATCTTCGCTTCCCAATCGATATCCGGTTCCTGTATAAGTATTAGGCTTCTTTTTCGTCTTTGCACGTTCATCATGAGCATGTTCTCCTCTGTAATTATATAAGTTCTTTTCTTCTTTATTCTTATCCTTAAAAACTTACTCAACTGCCTTTTTCAAAATCTCATCCACCAGGCTATTTCCTGCTCCAGATCGTTTGTTGGGTCCTTGAACGACCATGCCACTGCCACACACAAAAAGAGAGGTTAACAAAGTATAAACAATATATATATATATTTCAATTACGATTTCTCTCCACCAGCATATAAATTCTCATGCTCGTCATCATCACTATTGTCCTCATCCTCTGCTTCATTACTCAAGTCTCTAAACGTGCGAATTCTAGAACTATATAAGGATTAACAATCAAGCTTGGCTCCTTTTCTTACAAGTTTAGCTTACGAAGATCCACTGGTAGGCCTTTTATTCTGAACCGTACTCGAAACGGGTGGTTCGGCTTGTTGCTGATTATTATTATTACTATTACTTTCAAAGTATTGGGATATGGCAACCTTTTTGAAATGATTATTATACGCGTGTAATGTCAAAAAAAAAAAACTTGCCTGTAAATCCCAATTGCTCATTTCAAGAAAAAACTGTGCTTGAGCTTCGTCAGCTTGTGTCATGGTAATAAATTGAGAGACTAATTCGCTTTGATTATTCATTTTAAAGAATATAAAAAAATAAACAAAAAAAAGAACGAAAATTATCCAACGACACGTAATACTTCAGGTAAATCGGAGTAGGAAATAGCATTATGCTAATGCCTGCAAAAGGCTCTACATATCAATTTGAACTATTGTGGGTAATAATGCGTTGAAGAAAGCATGTATTATTTTTATTAATGCTAGTCAAAAAGTTATAAATAAGTGCATTGGGTTTACTATACACATCAACATCTAGTTTCATCATTCAGCGTGTGCATGTGTAAGAGATGTTATTGCATATCTCCTGTTCATCCCCCCTCTTTTTTATGCTATATTTACAATGACGTAGTATATAGTAAATATATATTCTCAAAAATAAGTATCGTGTATTTAATAAATAAGAGAGATTGCATTTGTTTTATAAGTGTTTCTTGATACTTTATCAAAAGAACAGAGTATGTTTTGTGTAACATGATTCTTAATTGTTACATAAACTCCAAATCCGTGCTTTTCCTACGGGGTAACCAGCCACACGTTGAAACCCGAAGAAGTCTTGCTTTTAATAGACCATTTTCATAATACTCTTTTTAGTGAACAATAATATAGAAATAAAAAAGCAACAGACTTTTTTATTCTCTCCCTTTTTATTTCATATTTCAAATGTTTGCATTATAAAAAGGAGGAGGAAACACAAAAAGATATAAAGAGATGTCAGTAAACAAAGAGTAAATGGCATCATATGGTTACTAAGTCAGAAAGGGTATGACTATTATGCCTACAGATAATAAATACATGCATATGAATTTCATTTAATAGAATGTAACCTAAAGAGTTGTTTACATTGTAAACAATGAGAACCCTTTTTCCTATATGCATCATCAACTGATTGTGAACACATGTGACTTGAATAATGTGATGTAAAAAAGTACCTGATACGGAGTTCATTTATGAAATACACATATATAAAAGAGAGAAACTGCATTGTTCTTTTTCTTTTCTTTTTTTTTCTTTTATTTGTTTACAACGCCCCTCCCCCCTTTTTTTTAAAAATGATGCCCCCAAGGATCGATCTGAAGAAATCAAAAGCACTTCAAGTACCAGCAGGACCACCTTCACCTAGTTTATCGACCGCATCCTTCATGTCATCTATCTCATGGATGGCAGAAAAGACATCAAGTGAACTAATACCGATGCTAAAGAATGCATACAGTGCTCTTAAAGATAAAGAAAAAGGTACTTTTTAAAATAATATATGTGAAAATCAATATATAACATGTGATTGTCATGTAAAAATTAGATTTAGTCTTAGCAGCTGAATTAGGAAAATCACTACTAGAGCATAACCTTAGACTGAAATCTAGCTATGATTCATTATTACAACAGACACATACACCGCCCATTACACCTTCTAATTCGATAACGATACCAGAAGAAGAAGAAGAGCAAGAGTTTAGATTTGTGCCATCGAGAACAACAAGAGAAGCAATGATCGAAGTACTAGAAAAGAAGAATGCAGAACTAAGTAAAAAATTGGAATTAGCCGTGATAGAACAAGAGAACTTGATGAAGGATAATTCAAAGAATACGATTAAACTAGAAAAGGAGATCAATTATCTAAAGAGTAACCTCGAGATTGCTACCAATAAGATACAAGAATTAGAAGAAATGAATAAAAGACAGAGGAAACAGGAGATTGTTAAAAAGGACGAAGAAGAGGTTAAACTGATAGAAGAACTTTATAACGAGATTGACAAGATGGAAAAAGAAAAAGAAATGCTTGTTCAATCCAAATTAGAATTAGAACAAAAGCTAAGCTTGACTTTAAAAGATTTGAATGAACTGAAGAAACAGTTTGAACAATTTGAATTCACTCAACAAGACTTTAATGAATTACAATTGGCTTATGAACGACAATTTAATCATATTGAAGAATTAAAGTCATCTCTAGAAGAACATAGATCGATTATACAAAAACTAAAAGAAAATGGAGTAGACACCTCGTCTGTCATATTCAACCACACTTTAAAATCAGAAATACAGCAAAAAGAAGATGATCGTCAACAGGCACCTCATCTAGTAGAAATGGCATTTGATGCCATCTCCAACGCTCCTTCCTTAATGAGCTTAGAATCCGTTCTATCAAAAGCAACTGGTATGGATCAACAATTAATCGATGACGCTATTCAGTTTATCAATCAAATCGAAGCCGAGCATTATCAAGAAAAGAGCTTGGAATTGTATAAACAAGGCAATTATAATGACTTGGATACAGATGAAAATTTTGGTATATTTCATGACCATCACCTCTATCCTGAATCAGGCCTTTATCCTTCTCTTCGTAATGAATCCAATCATCAACAATTACAGCTCGTTATCCATGAGCCTACAACTCTTGTAGGTAAACTTAAACAACATGTAAGAAATTTATTCCATCTTGTCTGGAAATGGTGTCGATTTTCAATGATCCTTACTGCTGCTTTAATTATCAATGCTTCAAAGGGTCCTGATTCTTTATTGATTACTTATTAAAGACATATTTATACATATATAAATCCATATATGGTACATACATACACATATATATACACACCCCATAATACATACACATATATAACTTTCATTGTTTCGAAATAAAACATTAGGATACAATAAAAATGTAGACCAAAGAGTTCAAACAGACATTATTCTTTTTTTTTTTTGTTACCAAGAATTTACAAAGAATGTAGTAGTAGAATCTTTTATTTCTTGGCAGTCGATGCCAATTTTTTCAAATCGCTACCAACAACTTCACTCTTGCCACTACTATAGAAATTCATCAAGCACTCCAGCTTCCACTTTTTCCAAACCCCTTCATTCGGGAACCCCATCTTTTCCCATTCCTCCTCCTGCTCCATATCCTCATCTTCTTCTTCTTCTTGTTCAATTTGATCTTCATACCTTAGTAAGAAATTAGAACGATGATCATTTGACAATTCAGCAACAAACTGCGCTGCATCAGCAGCTAATCGATCATGACGATCCCTAAGCGCGGTCCACTGATCGAGTTGGTCCTTGATCAGCTGCTCGTCGTCCATCCGTGTGTTATGATTTGCCTGAGGATCGACTAGCTCTCGTGCGATTGCAGCCTGTGTTTCAGCTTCGAGTTTCTCTATATCTGGAATCAATTTGGTTCGAAGGAGAACGCTCAATATGTTTGTCTCTTGTTCGGTTGTTGTGGGTATATAAGGGTGAATCATCAACTTGGGTAAGGTCGCTGTACTCGCCTTATCTGTATAATGATAGAAATCTTCCGAGAGTGAGGCAAATTTGGCAGTGAGCATGTTGAATTTGTTGAGCAGATCGGGCCATGTAAACGGATACTTGGGCTCCTTTAAATAGGTAATGTGTGTTGCAAACGTTTCTTGTAGTGACCATAGCTTGTTTCGTAATGTTTCTAATTCTTGGTATGTATTGGGATCAAGTTGAACTGCTTGCATTAATAGCGATGAATAATAATAAAAAGAAAAAGAAAAGTATTTATTTAAATTCTTTAGCATAAACTAACCCAGACGCAAGTGAATACACTCGACTGTCAATGACCAATAAGCCATCATGTTGCTTTTCTAAATCTATAAAAAGAAATTAAAATGAATAACTAAAGCTTCATCATTTAAACTGATTTACCTTCCAATCGTTCCAAGAGTCCTTGTAATGGTAAACTAATTGTCTGCAAACTCCATTCATCTATCTCAGGTTCAGGTGCTGCACAATCTACCATAGTTGGATCAATGACTGTTTTGGCAACATAGCAACAAGAATCAGTCAATCCAGGTTCATAGGCTAATGGTAATTTTGTCAATCTCATTTGTTCCTTGGGGACTACATATCCTGTTTCTTCTTTTAGTTCTCTCTGTGCAGATATCAATGGATCATCATCATTTGCATCAATAAGCCCTATTTTCAAATAGGTTGGCATGCTTTCTTAATTAAACCTTTTTTTTTTTTTTTCTTTTACCAGACGGAAACTCGAGACAATAACGCTTAATCGCAGGTCTATTCTCTCTCTCTCAGTTTAGACTTGGTCCCCTAAAGCTTAAATTCATTACCTGTACTGAATGACCAAGAGTAACTCAGGCTCAGGTGTTAAAATGATAGCGTGAATGTCGACGGCTGTTGGTAGATATAAGTTGTAATGATCATAATTAAGAACATTTTACCATCCACTTTGCTCGAATGAGTTTTTCTTCTTATACACCTTTCCCAACTTCGCTTCGTTCCTTGCTTATCTATAAACTCTATACGTTCAAGTGCTAGCCAGTCACCTTGGCCTAACGTTTCACTTGACTTGCTTGTCTCTATTGGCACTAATGGTTGCATAATGAAGAGGAGAAAAAAAACACCTTGTTTGTGGAGCCATGGTTTACTATTGTGACATCACATTGACAATATCTTATACTATGAACAGCATATCTAGTCAACTGTTGATTTCATTTAATGCTTATTTAAACATTGACACCCCTTTCTACATGTGTATTTACTCCCCCCCTTTCAAAATAAAGAAACAGAGAGAATAAGGAGCTATTTTACTGTTCCTGTTCTGACTAATTATATGCAGCCTCTATGCAATCGAGATGGAAAGCTTCTTTTAGTTTTTACCCTCCTTTTTATATATTCATGTTTGATCATTTTCCCTTTTTTTTTCCTTCTCTTTTTCTTTTTTTGAAAACACCCGTAAATGACCAGTCGAATAGCTCGTCCCACCATCTACAGCATAAACAAACCCTCCAAACGTCGTACAGACGAACCCTTAATCTGCAACCGACGGAAAACACCGTTCATCCTGGGTCAAAAGGTGCGCATCCCCAGTCTGTCGCTTACAGGCACTGTGCGATATATAGGTGAAACCAAATTTAAGCCCAACGAGACCTGGATTGGCATTGAGCTCGATGTGAGAGGGACAGGAAAGAACGATGGATGTATCCAGGGGTTAGGCCATTATTTTATTTTTCTTTTTAAAGACTCATTCATTCTGTAGTGTTCGTTACTTTACTTGTCCTCCACAGACAGGTCTGTTTGTGTCGGCGCATAAAGTGGAGGAAGCAATGAAACCACGAAAGAGTCTGTCGACAAAACCGATAACACGACAAAAGGCGCCACCGATGGTGCGCAGTAAAACAAGTGATGATACCCAACAAGCTCAAGAGGAAGAACAAAAGGACAAACAGCTCAAACGAGCACTGGCCGCAGCACATACCCAAAGCGAGCAGTACAAGGAAGCGGCTCTGGTCGCAAGACAATATACAGACACATTGAAAGAACGTATCGACAGATTGGAAAAGGAACGAGCGCAGGAGGAAAAAGAACATGAGCAAGAGATGCAGCAGAGTGCAGCTCAGATGGACCAGTTGCGCGCTCAGCTATCTGACCGAGACCGCACCTTGGCGACAGTCGAAAGAGAGTACGCCGAACTGAGGACGGCTCATATCGAGACAATGCAGTCTTATCAGCAGCTGGTGATCCGAATGAAGCAAGAACATACCGAGGCAATCCATCAGAAAGATCTTCAGATGCGTGAGCTCGAAAAGAAGATGGAGCGGTGGGAAGAAGAACGAGAAGAAGCGGAGAACGAGCCAGCATGTCGTCGTCTGCAGGCCCAGCTCGAACTGACAACCCAGGCATTAGATCGTGAGCGTGAGCAGGTACAAGCCATGGCGGCCGAGATCAGTCGATTGAAAAGCGATGTCAAGCGTGTCCATCGATTGTCAACGTCGTCCACACTCGAGTGTCACAGGCTCCAGTCCCTTCTCGATCAGGAAATTCAGGATAAACGGCGGATGATGGACGAAGTCAATGCGGCAGTAGAGACACAAATGCGACTCGAAGAAGAAAATGAGCAGATGCGGATCAACCTGGATAAGTCTCGATGTGATCTCGCAGACGCTCTCAAGCGTTTGGTCACACTCGAGAAGCAAAAGATAGGTTCAGACGACGGCTTGGTCGAACAATTGCGTCAGGAGAACAACGCATGGATCGAATCTTACCAACACGCTGAGCAGGAATGTCTTCGTTGGATGAATGGGGGCTTAGAAAAGTGCCCGCACGAATGGTTTTTGGAACAGCTCAGACGCGAAGAAGAGCGACATCAGCAGGCTCAATACGCCTTTCAACAGACGATCGAGAGACTGACAAAAGAGCTGTGCGACGTCGAGTCCCTGGTGGAAATTAAAGTGCTGAGAGAAACAGAATTAGAGGAGCGACTCGAGCAGGAGAAGAGAAAAGTAATGGCATTAGAAGACAGAGTGAGACATGCGATCATTCCGACGCCTACTTCCCCTGTGTGCCAACTCAAAGATTTAAACGTCAATCCTTATTGTGAGATCTGCGAGGAATACGGTCATGATCTCATGCAATGTACTGCATTAAGTGACTTGTCAATAAGTAAACCAAACTATGTATGATCTCTTTATAATAACATAACAATACTAACATGTAAAACATGTAGCTCTTCTGTGTCAATTGCGATGTATTTAACGAGCATTCAACAGATGCTTGCCCAAATCAAGATGAAACGTTTTGATTTTTGTGTATTTAGTGTACATCTACGTCCTCCTTCAAAAAAGACTTTTTTTATTATTCATTGTAGCAAAGTTATAAAACAAAGAGTTTAACTTCTTTTTTTCTATACAAATGCAAACATTTTTTTTTAAAAAAAAAAGGACACAAAAGAAGAGGGGGAATGCTTAGTATATATATATGTATATATAAATAATTTATGAGCTTTCTTCTGCAACAGACGAAGTGACAATCATTGGAGGACTATATGCAACGTTAGTATCTTTTAATATGTATCAGCTTATGTACTTTACCTTGGTCGTCGCCCCTTATTTCTCTGGGCCTCTTGAATCTTTGCCGCTGAAGGATGTTCAAGTGGCGTGAGGAGTTCAAAACTACATAAAAGCTCTTCATTAATGCTCATAATAGCACCAAAATTATCAAACTCTCCACAATAATTGGGAGCACTAAAGACAGTGACTAGTGTCCGTTCATTAAAAAACTGGTATCCATCCTCGACTACCATGTGAGCCCTGCAGACGAGATCCAAATCATGCTTTGCCAAAAACTCATTGACGATTTTCTTGCCAAAGCAATAAGACACACCTCGCTCGTTATCCTCCCACTCAATTGCTGTGTCTGATGGATCAGACCAGAGCAAGTCGTTGAGTAGACCATACTCTGGCACATCGGTCGGTCTCATGATATTTCTCACATCATCCATTGAGTGTAATGACGGACTGAGACCACCATGAACACAGAATATTTTCCCTGCAACAAGTGCTGCGATAGGTAATGTGTTGAATACGTCGACAAAGGTTTTCCATACTTTTGTGTTTGTACGTCGTTTACATTCATCATAAAATCCATATACTCTTGTCACATTGGCGCACTCGTGATTACCACGTAGTAAAAAGAAATTTTCTGGGTATTTGATCTTGTAACAAAATAGCAGTAGGATCGTTTCTAGGCTTTGTTTTCCTCTATCGACATAATCTCCCAAAAATAGATAATTTGCATCAGGAGGGAATCCGCTCTATCAAACAATAAGAAAAAAAAAAATAGATTTCCAGTACGACTTTTATTACCATTTCAAATAATCGAATCAGATCATGATATTGTCCATGAATATCACCTAATATTTTGACAGGTGGATTTAATTCTATTAGACTCTAGTCTATTATCAGTAACAAGCATCAACAAAACATAAATAACTTACAGGTTGACTAAGAAATACTTGTTGAGCTGCTCTACAAATAGCCATTATTTCTGAATTTCTAAAGCATGTCGATTTGGTCACTTTATTCTTAGTACCAACATCCAATAGGCGGTTGATACATTCATCAATATCAAGATTCCAACCAATAGACCTTATTGAAGTTGCAGTTAACTGGTTTTGTGAGTTGAATGTGAGCTGGTTTGAACTGTGTACTGTCTGTTGCTCATTCACGTCATTGGTCTCTATGCTATTTGGGTGTTGCTGTTGCTGTTGCTGTGGTGGTGATTTCTGTGGTTGTTGTTGTTGCTGTTGTTGCTGTTTGGAATTAACCAAGATAGAGTTAACAGAAGTAGCGGTTGCTGTTGAAATCTCATTGTCAGGTATGTCTGCGCGTACTACACTTGGTCTTGCACTCTTTCTTCTCTTTGAAGCAACGTTTCCCATATCAGAATAAATTAAAAAAGAAAAAAGAAAAAGGAAAAGGAAGAAAAAATATGACACCTTTATAACATCACGTGTGTGAAAATAACCCCCAATTCCCAATGGTTTTTTTAAAGAGTGATCTGACTTGTTAGGAAGCAGTGGCGAAGAATGGCCTTTGCCTTTTTTGTAGAATAATACATTTCCTTTTGGCTTAGATCAGATTCAACCAGACCATGAAGCACAGCCAGGGTAATATGAATAGCTTGTGGTTCATTGATGGTCGTCTGTCGCTGCTGATCTAAACCGTAAATATCCATATATGAAATAATCGTTCGATCTGTATACTTGATGGCTTGAAACATGTAATTTTCAAAATAACATCCTTGGCTGCATAAATGAACGTCATGAAAATGTTGAATGGGCGCCATGACGGAGGGCACGATCGTGTCATTGTTCAACTTGTCGACCAGCTGTCTAAATTTGTCTTTATTACCTGTTTTGACGCATAATAGTACAAGTCCCCAGAGAACAGACAGCGACATGCTTGGATCAGACTGCCACTTTCTTTGCCACATTTCAAATGCGAGCTGGCTCATCTTTTCGACAGGTTCCCTGCTACATTCATAGATGAGGGTACATAACATAGGTTCCAAAACTCGTTCATCGCACAAGAGCACGCGCAGATCAAGTCTGGTCAAGAGGTGGTATATACTCATCACTTTGGTCAATCTCGCTTTTGATTCAGCGCTATAAGCGGCGATCAAAAGAAGATCATGGAGAAAATTAGGTGTCTCGGCTGCTTCTGGATGCAGGTACTCTGAACACATAAACCGAGAGTACACAGACCACGCGCGTGATTCCCACTCGAGCCGCTGAGAGACCTTTGCCTGAGGGATTTGACTGAAGGCTACCCAACAGAGATGCATGACCAGACAAGGCGTGATTTCGTCCACAGCGTTGTCCATGGCTTGATACACATGCCAAGCATACTCAAACTGACGGTGAATCATAGCACTATAGATCATAGCATTGTCATTCTGTGTGCTGGCTCTGTCCACTTGCTCTCGTTCTGATTCCATGTGAAGCAGTTGCTCAACTGCCCAGTCTTGAATCATGGAACTCATGCTCCTTCTTCGTTCTTTTAGCTTTTGAACATACTCTCTTCTTTGGTTTTCATACAAGCTCTTTCGCCTATCCCATTCCTTGTTAGAAGATGCTGCCACCTGATAGAGCATCCAGAGTTGCTCTTTATCACGCTGTGTCACTTGCTTCATCAGTGGCATGTCAATACGCACAGGCGGTAAATCGTCAGGATCATTTGGATTGGCCATCTCCAAATAGGGTTTACCAAAATCGGAGAGTAAACCTTCTGCTTCTTGGATCTGTTCTGGTCGCTGCATGAGATGAAGCAACACTGCGATCCGATAGCACTCGGTGTCCCATTCAGTTCGTGGTAAAGTGTACATAGCCTGTAATGCCACCGACATATGACCACAATCCACCAAGTAATTTACAAAATTGATGTGCGCATCTCTCTAGAGTTACATATATGAGTGATTCTTTTCGACTATAGATCAAAAAATGACGTAACCTGTAGGGTATAGCCTGACTCAATCACTTTGGTAAACAAGCGCCAGAGAATAGAATGATAAATGTCTGGATCGTCATGAATGAGCATAGTCATCTTGGTGTCGCATAATGATGTAAGAATCTTGGAGTAAATGGCAGACAGTTCCTGCGGATCCTCCTGGCCCAGGTTGAGATCATCCATAGCTTCTCTAAGCAATCGGATAGCGTTTTTGGCACGATCTGTTTCTATCAAATGGCTGATCTCATTACCAATGGCGATGCTGCTCTTTCTTTTGATATCTAAATCTGATGCTGTCATATATCCTTCGCTACCGACATCTGAAGCAGGCGGTGTAAATAACGACGATATGCCATCATAAGGACTAAGAGGAGGTGAAGCACTATTGAAATCAATGATTTTTGTCTCCATGAATAAAGTGCGGAAAATAGATACACACACAAGAAAAAAGAGAGGCAGAGTGTGTATTCCTTTTTATTTTATTTTTTCGCAGACTAGGGTCTTTTGATACGGGTATTGGTGAAGTTTTTGTTCATCTCATTGGTCTCTTGAACGATCTTTTGCACGATGGCGATATGGATATTTCCAATGATCTGATCGTTTATAATCCGATGGTACGTTCCCAGCTTCACGAAAGGGTCGATCTCTACCTCCAAATCGAAGCTGCCCGCTTTCTTTTCTACCACCGTATCCACCGCCTAGTCTTCGTGGTACCCAGTGTTTCATGAGTCTGCTACGTTCATAGTCAACAAGAATCGTATGATCATCAATTCGCGCGCGATTTGCTTGACGGTAGGCTTGGCGTGTATCCGATTCTGATCTAAACGTAACAAATCCGTATCCTTCAGATAAACCAGTGACTGATAGAGCAAGTCCAAAAAAAAGTAATGAGCATACACACATGGTTTGTATATAGGTAGAAACATACCATTGTTTCTTATAATCGATACATTCACAATATCACCAAATCGACTAAAATAGTCCTGTAGTGTAGACTCGACTGTATCAAAGCTTAATCTACCTATAAACAGTGTACAGTTTGCATCGGTCTTTAAATGCTGAGGTGGTTTATCTGGTGTACATAAGTGAATAAAAGTGAACACTACATACCAAGTTATACTCACAGTGCATATTCATGGCTCTTTTAATAGCATTATCATGAGGCACATCGCCATTGCCGTCAATAGATCCTGCTTGAATAGGATCGTATTCCTTTGAATACCACATGAGATATACAAATTTGTTTAAGAAAGGGAGATATAAGCCACTAGGATCCTTTTCTTTTTTTTACAGGCTAAAGAAAAAAATATTACTGCCCGCGCCCACACTCAAAGACCGAATATAGAACCGCAGTTTCAACGCTATTTTTTTTTCTCTTCTTCCTTTATAAATTTTTTTTCCAAATGGTTAAGAACAAGGGAAAAGTAAGGCAATAAACATGACTCAATTGAACAGCCATTAAAAACATGTCTCTTTTAGGGTGGTAAATCCAGAAGAAGAGGAAAGAACGACACTGAAAACGATAAGCGTGAACTTGTATTCAAAGAAGAAGGCCAAGGTAATGAAAATCGGTCCTGTTATTTTATGTAACTAAAAACAACATATAGAATATGCCCAAGTCGTTAAAATGTTGGGTAACGGTCGTGTGGAAGCACAATGCTTTGATGGTGTGAAACGTTTAGCTCTCATTCGAGGTAAATTGAGAAAGAAGGTTTGGATCAACCAAGGTGATATCGTGTTGTTGTCTCTTCGTGATTTCCAAGACGAAAAGGCCGACGTCATTCAACGTTATAATCCTGACGAAGCTAGACAGTTGAAGGCTTATGGTGAATTACCCGATAATGCCAAGATTAACGAAACAGATGCCAACTTTGGTGGCGAAGAAGACGATGAAGTCGAATTTGATTTTGATATTGATGAGGTATGTATACAAAATAGCATGATGGTTTTCTATATCCTAACCATGTCTATAGATTTAAAATCAAAAAAAAGCGCATATATTCAAGAAGGAAGAACCGGGCCAGTTCAGACCCACACACTTTTTTTTTGTATTTAGAATTTTGTTCAAAAAAAAATAAAATATCAACAACACACACACAAACATGTACATGCACGCACACAAAAGGGGGGAAATTCATGCCTTGGGAGGATCAGTTTATTCTGTTTTGATTCTATTTTCAAAGGCTCGATTGATGTGTTTATAAGATTGAACAATCCAAAGCAAAGGAACCTTAAAGTATTGATTAGTTATCAGTCATACATTGCATCTATATAAAACATACTATAATCCAAGGTGCATTCATTGAAAGAAAATATCCCCAAAAGTAAGCCGGATGACAATGGGCAGCGTCTGGTAATTCAGTTAGAAAATAGAGTGTACAACTCAACAAATGACACATGGAAACAACGAGTTGAAAGAAATACTGTTTGCTTGACTTGATCCAAATAGTATAAGCCGTAAGGAAGCAAAGGGGTCCATAGATAATCTACTAAACCAAGTCAGCAATCTTTAAAAGCTATTGTTCAAATTTACTATTGTCATGATTTCCAGTGCCAAAAGTGATGTATCATAAATCACGTATCGAGAGTCTCCTTTTGCGTATTCTTTCCAGAGTTGTGCAAGAAGATTGTTTTGACCAGCAATATATCCTACATTCAAGGCATAGTATAGTTCAAAACCACAATGCAACAGTCCACAGATCATAAACCATATGAATTTCAAAGGGGATCCACTACTCTGTCCTAATCTATAAAAGACAGCCGCAAGACAGACAAACACACCTCCCATAATCAAGAATAGTTCTAATTGACTTTTTAGATTAGGCACATAATCAGGAATGGACAAGTCTTTTGGGTAATAAGGATGACTCATTGCGCAACAGGGTTCCTTTTTTTTTTTTGGTTGTTCTGACAGAAATAAAGCCGGAGCTCATAAATTTGCTTCTATTTGAATAAAGATGGTTCTCTCTCTCTTTTTCCTTGAGAATAAAAAGAAGAGATACGTATTTGGTCTATTGCCCTTTTTGTTTATTTGTGGAAATGGACAATACTTGATTACACTAGTTGTGTTTTACACTTTTACAGAAATAGCTGTCGTTATCCAATCAAATGTAGAAATTTTTGCATTACTCTTTCTGTGTTGCCCCAACAGTCTACAGCCTTGATACATTCCCATCCACTATTTTCTCACCTTGAACTATTCTTTATTACTGGTCAAACAACTATGGATAATGAATAGAGAAAAAGGGAAAATAACTCAGCCAACCAATCATTTGTATTTTTACTGCAAATATTTTCGGTAACCCCGTCTAGTTCTTTTTTTATTTCCATTTGACAATTATGAGCTGTGTTTATCAATCGTACACTTCCATAACAAAGGAAGAGAACGAAGAAACATCCATAACGGCCACAGTAACAATTCATGAAGTAACAGAGACAGAAGCCTCTAGGCTGCCTTTGGAAGAAAAGGCACAGTATGAGATTCTAGACGAAGATAGACTGACCGAACATGATTTTATTTCACTTATGGACGGTGAAGACACAGAGAGCGAGGATGACTCGGATGTAGAGTACACCTGGTTCCCTTCGTTGATGAAAAGCTCAGTGATTCAGTTTTTGGAAGATGAAGACGAGAGTTTGGATAATTTGATGGTAGATGATATCGACCACACAGACGAGGCTATTGTTGAGGAACATGATGGCATGGAGGATATAGAACAAGTTGTGTTTGATCATGGTAAGAAGTACATTTCTTAAAACAGCCTTCTCTTACTTTGTGTATAGTTCCCGTTGAAGTTTACCATATCACTGTTTAAAAGGCATTTTTCTCATTATTTTCATATTTAACTATTTTTTTTGTTCATTTCGATTTAGATGATAAATGTATTCATTCTAGTAAAATCATCATTCAATAAAAAGGTTCTATTCTTTTCTTTGCATCCTTTTTTTTTGTATGACCCGTCCTTGTACAACTGTACTTTGTACTCTTCATTATGCTTGACACAGACAAAAAAAATCTAAAGACTACAATTTAAGATATATTTATGAATTATGTATATTAAGTATGATGTGGTAATATAATTTAAGAGAACGATCTAATAAAAAGATAGAAAAACAAGGGGGTATATATTCTTATTTTCAGTCTAACAAGCGATCAGAAACCTAAAAAGACAGATCTCTTCTTTCCTTTAGGATAAACAACCAAATTGGCCAAAAACAGACCAAGGGTGAGTGATAGAGCAATACCGAGCACTTGGAAGACAAAACTGCTTCCACCTTCAACATTTGATCCATCAAACAAACTGATAGCGCCTCTAACACCTGAAATAGATAGTCAGTTTTAGCTTATTATAAATGCATACATATACACTTACCAATACTTCCAGGCACCAGAATAATCGTACCACCCATAAGCGGGACAAAGGCTAGACGCTTTGTCACTCGAGCGTATAGATTACCAAATAACCCTAAAGCAAATGCTCCTACGCTTGGTGTAATAACGGCAGAGGAATTGGTGTATTTGTCGACAAAGTAGTAAACAGAATAACCTACGGCACTATCAAGTACCATAGGAAACCACTGATGAACGTCTGCGCCGTAAACTGTGCCTAGGCCAATCGTCGAGAGCGGGAGAAACAGAAAGGTCCAGTAGGGGTTGAGGCTGTTTTGACATGCGCCTAGCACGTTAAGGTCAACATCTGGATGTGATAGCCGCCATATAGAACAACCATAGCCAATACCAAAGGCCAAAAACAAGACATAGATCAATGCATACACAAGATGGATACTCCCACTGACAAGGTTTCTAGCAGACAACTCCATCACGGAACATGTAAGCGAATAACCTGGTAAAGCAATAACAATCTTTTGAAAAAAAAAAAATGAGATAAATATATATAAATCACACAAACACTTACAGCAGATATGGCAACGGCAGCAAAGCATATGTATGGATGTAGTGCAAGTGCGATGACAGCAATGGGAATAGTAATAGCCATCTCGAATACGTTACTAAACATGGGTATTTTTTCGGATATATAAGTTAATGCGCCGACTGTGGTCATAAAAAAAAAAAGGTTACTTGTCAGAAAAAGAAAAACGATAAGGTTTGTGATCCTACCGGCTAAACCAAAGATGGCACTCACCCAGCAATCGGTCCATGATCCGTTGAAAAATAAGGGAGCAACACAAGCAGACGAAAGAGCGTAAGCCAAAATGATCGATATTGGTTTCCAAGTAGGTGGACCTTTGAGGATATCATCGAGCAAATCAGCAGCTTCGGGGACATCGGTTTCGCCTCTGGCAAGACAACTCGCAATACGGTACGCCCTTTCTAGTTTACCGATATCGAGTGATCGCGAACAGCGGATAAGATGTGTCTCGGAAGTATGTGTCTCCACATCACCAAAGGTGACAATAATCAAGCCAGGCAAAACGGCATAACTTCCAACAATATCTAATCGCTTGCTTACCTTTTCCATCGCCGCTTCCTGAGCAATAAAAGTTAAAATAGGTCAAACGCTTAGAAAGATAATATTTACAATTCGATGAGACGGAGCCCCCGTTCTGACAAGCGATTTGCCGAGCTTGATAATGATATCCTGTCTTTGCAAAATATCGGCTATCTCTGACGCAATGGCCATTCGATGAGCAGCGATAGCAGCGTCATTGGGGATACCCAATTCAGCTCTTTGCAGGTCTTCCAAATACATGCTACTACGAGCCGAATTCGAGGCGTTGAGCATATGCAAGAAGGCTCTGCTGGATGCAATGGTCTGAAGTTGCTGCGTAGGGCGAGTGGGGCGAGAGGAAGAAGCGATCTTGTTATCAAATACATCGAGTTTCAGCAGGTTCGAAAGAACACCTGTTCGACTAGGCCTTCGTCTGTTATCTGCTCGAGTAACTCCATCTACAATCTGTATTGCATGATCCGTATGGCTCATCGTGCGTTCTAGGGTATCTGGCTCGTTGCTCTGTGTCTCGCCTACTTCTACTCCCACTGTCTTTTCGGATGAATCCTCACTGCTGGCTGATTGCTCTGAATCTCCCGACATTGGATGCGCACTCTGCTCATAATGAAAGGCTTTTTCCATATAAATAATAAACTGACAAAAAAGAGAGAGAGAAAGAAAAAGGTTTTTTTTTTTTGTTGAATAGGGCGGCGATCTTATTGAAGGTGAATAACCATCTAAAATCGAGAACAAATCGAAATTGACAAGTAGGACAATAAAAAAAAATTTCCTGCGGTGATCAAATCCATTGACACATTGTTGCTGAATGGTCAGTTCACACATGGCATACCAAGAGATGAATTGATGGCTATCTTTTTGCAGTAGACTTTTACAGTATACAAGAGAGTGTTTTCTTGGTGATTTCCAAGTTTATTTAATTTTACCCTTGACAACGGGTCAATTATATTCATATATTGTTACTCATGATTGGTCACCTTAATTCCGTAATTTTGCATTTGTATTCGTCAAAATAACGAAGGACTTTAACATCTTGTTCAAAAGTAAAACCCAAAATATGTGACTTGTCCTTTTATTTACGTCGTATTATGATAATTGACCTTTAATGAAGTTTGTCATGTCAGAAAAACGTTGAATGAACAGTCTGTTTGCTTTTTTTTAGAGTGCTGTGGTTGTTTATTCCTATTTTTTTAGAGACAAAAGAAAAGAATGACAGAAAGCATATTTAAATGCACAATAAAAAAAAAAGAATAACTTTGTTGTCATCTGGAATAGCTGCAGTCGTCCTACCACCGTGAGAATCAAGCCAGCCTTTCAATGGTTGGCTCTATCATCTTATCTGTGTAACGTTTCGCTGAAAAGAAAAGGTTGAAGCGTTTCTGTAATGCATGACAAGCCACTGCCTTGTGCAATGGTGCCTGATGGAAGTTTAATAAAAAAGGAAATAATCTGAGCCGAAAAGCGGCAAGGGACAACTGATAATATCTCTGTATGTGATTAAAAAAAAAAAAAAGATGCCAAGTGAGCGAATTTATTGCTTTGTTTTCCTCCTTTTTTTTTTCGTTTTCCCTCAAGTCATAAAAATGTGTTTCCATGACAAAAAAGGTACAAGGATGAGGTCATCCTTTCGTTCTTTGTGACTAAAAAAAGATTTTTTCAAAATGAAAGAGTCCTCATAACTTTTTCATGATAACCGCTTAAAATCGAGACTAGATAAGGCTTTCTTGTAGAGAGATATGACCAAATAGAGCTTCGTTTTTATGAAAAAAGGCTGATTGAGAAATTTAAGGGAAAAAGAATGAAAATTTTTCTTTAATGCCATGCAATTCAATATTTTATAGAAAGTCCACCTTTTTCATTTATGAATGCTTGTCTATCTCGTACTAAAAAGCTAGTACTAATGCCCAAATAGTCAGTGTTTTCTTTCTTCTTATTTAGTTGGAACTGTAACAACGACAGGGGGGGTACTTTCATGCGTGTAATATCACTTTGGAAGCATCGGCTAAGAATAAATGATAAGAGGGCACATTTCGTCATTTAAACTTTCGACCTACTTCATACATGTTGTAAGTCTATAAGCCTTTGGCTGTAATTATCTCACTTTTAGTCAATTTTATTTGCCCATCTCCCCCACATCTTCAATGCACCCAAGTGTTGATCATATGTGAAGTTTTTTTATCTTCACTTTTAATGACATAATTATAAGAATGTGCTTTTTGATATAATTTCAATTTAATTTTTCATATGTCAATGAACATTGAATTTATTTTGCTGTGTAAATCATTAAAAAAGGGGGAGAAGGGAATATTTAATGAAGAAAAAAAATGATATAGAGGTATATAGATAATAGTAATTATGCTAAAAATGAAGAGAAGAAATATGGTACAGAAGGTATAATTAGATATGATAATAGTTGTGTGTAATCTGCAGCTATTCAGCACATAATACGGCTTGTTCCGACAATCAAAGATGGCTGAGGGTGACAACCAGTGCTTTCCTCTTGCTCCTCAAAAGCGGGAAATGAGACGTACATGTCTTCAAATAAACTTGGAGATCTTTTCTCTATATCCTCTTGTTTTGAATTACTGTTGTCATGGTTGTTTGAGGGCGATACAAGTAATAACAAGCTCTTTACAAATTCTGAAAAGGAATTGCGACGCACATTGGTGTTGCTATGGTTATTGTTGACTGAGGTGCAAGTAGTAGAGATGGTTGCAATCATTTGTAAAAGAGAGAGAGGGATAAAGAGAAAGAGAGAAAAGGAGGAGATGAAAAATTTTTTAGACAAGAGAGAAAAAAACGGTTGAATTGCCCTTGAATCATTTATACTTTTTTATAATTGTACAAGTATCGGCAACTCCAAAGAAAGTAGGAGCCCGATCCAAGTCTGGAACAAGCATCTAGAGTTACACAGTTGCCCAGCTTCAGTCAAGCGGCAACCTCAGATTCCTTCTCAACCACAGCAGTCATTGGCTAGTGTTCTCAAAATAGACCTAATCCTCCAAAAGACACACAGAAACAGACCACTTAATAATTATCCATGCCTGATGTGCAGCGTTTCCGGAAGGTTGAGATGCACCAATGTATAAATAATTCTTTATTTGTCATTGACATCCTTAGCTTATTAATAGCTTATTAAATGTATATGTTTTGTCAAGTAATACTTGTTAAAGTTCTGTAAGCAAAACATAATGATTCATTGCTGAAGGTCCAGAATAAATAATTCTGTATCTTAATCCTTTATTTGTTTAAGCCAAAGTATACTAAAGCCAATCGTTTTCATCTATAGATAAATAGCATGCTGAGTCACGTTTTGCACGTCGGATAAAATCAATGTATGATCATTTTGCTTGGTGCATTATTTCAAACACGAAAAACAAAATCAACCTTTGATGATATACACATAAATTCATAACAATGTTATCTTTACATATTCAAAAGCACTTCTTTCTCAGTTTGGGCTTTATTTTTATTATTGTTGTCAGTATGTTTATCTAGAGAGCATATGTTTGCAATGTAGAAAAGGGTCCACTCAGCCTTCTTTATATCGATCGTAACAGGTTCAATACCAATCCTCAAAAACAAACTACTCTTAATTCGTTTACTGGAGTCATCTCTCTTCCTCTTCTTCTGTAATGCTAGCCTTTACTCAAAGAATGCGCAAAACAAAAATAGCAATTTGACAATGGTTTAGTTATTACGGAGAATTTTTTGTTATACACTTATAAGCCTCTACCATCTCATCTTTTTCCTATGTTTCAGCAAAAGAACGGTTCGCACAGTTCGCATTGTTTGTGTGTCGATTTGGGAATATTGAAAAAGATATAAAAAGCCTCACAGGTAGAGTAATGACTGTGTTACACAGTACTTTTCATAAACAAATAACAGAAAGGACACCGATTGTCCTTATCATGCTAAGAAAGAATATGTATATAACGGTTTGAACAACTGTGAGTATATGATTTGGTCTGCTCTCCATGTGTATCTTGGTTAAGGACAGCTATGATTCAGCTTTCTGTACAAAACACTGAAATAAAAAGCAGTAACAAGTAGTTTCTTTTATCTTGAACAGTGCGTCCGTAGAACATTGACTACTAAATGCCTCTTTTCTGCTTCTTCTCAACAAGTTCAAACCATAATCGTTCTCCGTTATGTCACTCATGAGCAAAACGTGTTCTTCATTATAACTCTGCAAAAGATTTAAAAGGGATAATAGATTAAAAAAGAATACGAGAGTTGTAAAAGACTGCATTATTTAGCTTCTTGATGTATTGAAGTTTGACAACTAGCCTTTTAAAAGAGTATGCAATTCACAGGATACTCTATTGAATTAAAAATACTATTGTATATGTGCACTGCACTCTCTTTATTTGACATCCTTGTTATGACGGTCGTCAGTCATGCGTACTCTATAATGTAAGCAAAAAAACAAGTTCATATGTAAACCAATGGCTGCCATTAACTGCATGTACTTGTACGTAACAGGCAATTCAGGGCGTTCACCCCCCAGGATGTATGGTGAAAATTATATAAACAACCATTTATACTTCCCTTTCTTTTAGCGATTTATATTCTTTTCTTTATGAAAAACATGATTACTATCACTCCCTCAACCCCTCCTTCTGAAATCAATGCTGAAGAGCATATGACCCTCATCAACTATCTCAACAAGACTTGCAAAGACAATGACGATCGCATCCTTGCGTATTACCATTCGAACAACAGTTTTCATTCTTTGACATATGCCCAAGTAGACCTTGTTGCTACTAACTTGGCTTGTAAATGGTCAAATATCATCAAGGACACACGAACAGTATCCTATTTAGCTGATCATAGTATTGACTACCTGATCGTCGTTTTGGCTCTTTTGAAGCTCCGTGTAACTCCCTTTCTGATCTCCCCAAGGAATTCTCAGGCGGCCATTGCTCATTTGATGAAGACCACAACGTCTAAGTTTCTTTTAGCAAGCAAAAAGTATCAATCGATAGCCATGGCCATCAGTTCCTCAGTCAAAGGCATGAGAGAATTAATCATGAGCCCACTTCAACTTGATGTGCTAACAATGGAACCTTATTATCCCAACTATCAAGATGTTCTTAACCACACCTTTATCTCTTCAGATATTACAAAAACTGCACTCATCATGCACAGGTAAACTACTCTTTTTTTGTATGTTTAACCAAGATCTCATGCCACTTTCTTTGCTCTTAGTTCAGGAACTACTAACTTTCCAAAGCCCATCTATTGTTCCAACAGGTACATGTTTAAAGCTATCAATGCCTTGAATGCGCTACAATCGAGTGAACATGCCATGCTGCCTGTAGATCATAATGATGTATTTCTTGTATGCGCTCCTATGTAAGCTTTTTTTTTGGACCCCTTTAATCACGTATATGTGAAAACTTAACCTTATATTCAGGTTTCATTCCTTTGGAATCACTTGTGTGCTTCAAATGCTTGTAGCTGGTGGAAGTATTGTATACTTGGAAAAGCTTCCACCTTCTCAAAGTGAAATTGCCCAGGCACTACGTTCTGTACAATGCACCATGATGTCAGCACCTCCACTCATCCTCGAGCAGATGTTGAGCGTTATACACGACGATCTAAAGTACCGTGAAAATCTCGCAAGGCTCAAGTACATCTTCTTTGGCGGCGCTCCTCTCCGATTTGACACTGGCGAGAAATTTCACGAATACGGTATAAACGTCCGCGCGGTCTATGGCTCTACAGAATTTGGCACTATCATGGCCTCAGATCTAGACCGCAAAAGCAGAAACTGGTATGCGCTTCGTCCATTTATAAAGGACCCCAATGGTCAAGAATACTGTCTGTTTGAAACGGTAGATCGTGATGTAAAGCATATGGTTATTCGAAGAGATTGTCCCAACCTGGCTATAGGTCTTGCTCAAGCTGATGGGTACAGCTCAAACGATTTGTTCAAGGAACATCCGGATTTTCCAGGGTATTATATCTATATTAATCGTCGCGACAATATTCTGATTATGGAAAACGGGGAAAAGACAAACCCGGCTCCAATGGAAATGGCCATTGCAAACTGTTCAGTAGTCAGCCAAGTGATTGTTCTGGGCCATGGTCGACAGTGCACTGCTGCTCTTGTTGAGCTGCATAAAGAATACATGAAGAATGATCAACAAAACGACGCTATGAAGATAGTGTATGACGCTGTTGAAGAAGCTAACAAAGAGTGTCCTAGTCACAGTATGCTTTTAAAACAAATGGTCAAGATACTTCCTCCTGGTAAGACATTGCCGACAACAGTAAAGGGTGGCGTATCGCGTAAAGCTGCTGAAGAAATGTATAAAGATATAATTGAATCCATGTATAAAGCATTTATAGATGGCCCACAAAAACGAAGCGCATCTCCAGTATCACAGAGTCCCGAAAAGGTCAAGGAGTTTTTGATCGACTCTGTTTCAGCAACGCTTAATATGTCCAAGGTATCTCTACAGGATACATCATGTTCTTTGTTTAGCCTTGGCCTCACGTCACTATCTGCCATTCAACTTCGCAATCTTGTAGCTTCAGAATATAGCTACATTCCGCAAGACTTTGTCTACCAGTTTTCTAATATCGATGCCATGTGTACAGCTCTCACAACAGCCAATATCATCAACAAGCCAGTTCAAAAAGAACAACAGTATGAACAAACACAGATGCTGGCGAAGGCTTATATTAAAAGAGCAGCAGTAGACTTTCCTGTGGTTAAGGAGCTCTGTGAAACGAAGAACAGAGATCTCGTCATTCTACTGACGGGTGCTACAGGTTCTCTTGGGTCGTTCTTACTATGCGAGCTGCTAAAAAGTAGAAAAGTCAAAAAAGTATACTGTATGGTAAGAGGCAACAGTGATATCGAACGGCGACAGAGAATGGAAGAGGCGCTCTTGTCTCGCAAGCTTGACGTTTCTTTACTGGATGATGCGTCACGTATAGAACTGTTACCGATGGATCTGAGCGATCCCTACCTTGGTCTCTACCGAGATCGATACTTGGAACTTCAATGGGAAATCGACATGGTCCAGCATTGTGCTTGGATGTTGGATTTTAATCGAACTGTCGCTGACTATGATAAAGAATGTATTTCATTCTTTTATAACCTATTAAAGTTTGCTTACCGTGAATCTAACCCGATGCGAGTCCATTTCATCTCGAGTGTTAGCGCAAGTGTCAAGCTTGGAAATCTCATCGAAGAAGTTCCGCTACCGTTTAATTCACGTGTCGCAATGCCAAAAGGTTATGCTCAGTCCAAGTTTATTGTCGAAGTGCTCCTTAACTACCTTGTGACCAAGAAAAAGTGGCCATGCTTCATTGAGCGCTTAGGCCAAGTCTGTGGTGATACGGAGCATGGCGTCTGGAACATATCTGAACAATATCCTCTCATGTTTATCGGTGGAGCACGCATGATGAAGAAAATGCCCAAGCTTGATACAGTCATCGATTGGATCCCAGTCAATTATGCCGCGGCGTCTATTTCTGAAATAATGCTGCATACTTCAACACTGCAAGCTTGCACGGACACGTCTGTGTATCATGTGGTGAATCCCAAGATAATTACGTGGTCTGACATTCTTTGCGTGATGAAGAAGGCTGATATGGCCTTTGATGTGGTTTCGCCTTCAGAATGGGTTCAGGAGCTTTCACACGATATGAATAATCCGGCTTATCGTCTGTTGTCATTCTACAAGACAAATTTGACAGATTCGTTCAAGATGCCCGTTTGGCAAACTGAAAGGACAAGAAAAGTTTCTCCTACTCTCAACAAAGTCCCGGCAGTGGACGTCATTTTATTTAAAAAATGTTTGGAATATTGGGAACAAAAGGGATTCTTGAATTCACTTTAGAACATCATAATGCCAAAGTCTTTAGAAGCACTGATAGCCATAAAAGGGTCTTTAGACTTTGTTTGCTCTAATAAACTACTTGTGTATTAGTAATTTAAGAACTCACTTCTACTTTTATAAAATGTATCACTATTGTCTTCTTTCCCTTGTATGCAAAAATGCATCCATATACCGTTACAAACTGTGCCTATGCAAAGTGCTGCTGTTTTGCATATGCTTTGAATAATCAGCAATACACAATTGATCTAACATTGAAAGACACTTTTCTACGCAGTTAAAGAAAGTTTCGGCATGTACAAAGGTTTTCTGATCATTATATGGCCAAGAAAAATGTTTCAACAGTAAGCGTTATCGACACTTTTTTATTCATACCAGCCTTTTGTATGCCTTATTTAGTCGATGTTTCTTTTCGTTTTTTCCTTTAAATTTCTACTAGATTTCCTTTGTAAGTCCTTTGGTAGAATACCAAAGTGTACTAAATGAAAAATCTTGAGTTTGAGAGTTCATTTCCCTTTGAAGACTGATCATTTGCTTCTAAAATCCAACTTAATGCCGACAGTGCAACATTGGCGTCGCTTTATAAAGTTGTTTGTCGAAAAAAGCTACCAATTTCAATTTATCTCCTATTATTGGAATATTACAAGTACAAGGCTAGGTAAATCCCCAAAGCTCTTCAAAGCTGATCTTTTGATATCTTTTTTAATTACAGATCACTGTTGTTACACAATCACCTATAGCATTGTCCTTTTGATTGATAAAGTCATATGTAAAGTAAGCTTTTGATTTATTCTTAAGCTAATATAAAGAATAGTGATTTTATCAAGGATGGATCTATTAAGTGCACTTGACATTTTAAAACTTTAACATGTCAATATGACGAATTCATAACTAGTTTATTGAATAGCAGTCGTGTAATAGCATCAGCCAAGTCTTCCTTCTGGATATGCTGTATCATTTCTCCTATCTTTTTCTTAAAGTTCTTTCTTAGCCTAAACCTTCCTACAGGCGTACATGAGCGCCGATCGAGAAATTGATTAACCTCTCCTCCCCTGAGGATCCATCTTAGAAAAGGACAATTTTTAATTTGTGTAACTTGCCTAATTTATATTTTATCGGATGGCCGATTGGTTTCCCATCTTGCATTTAGGATAAAAATTACGTGTTTCAATGGCATTTTTTTTTAAACTGGTGACTAGGGAAACCATTCAAAAAGAACCAACAAAAAATTAGCTTTAAACTTTATCGTGTCAAAGTCCTCTTTAGTGTCCGATGCTAATTAAAATCTAGACCATACGAATGAAACCCATCAAACTCAAGAGCAAGTTATTAGAGTGCATGCATACTAGCGCATATCATAAAAGTATGCATGTGATAGAATGGAGATGAATAGAAAGGAGAAATAAAAAAAAGAAAGAAAGCAGAAACTTGTTATTTTGTTTGTAAATTGCTCCTTGCCTTTATTAGTAACTACTTTTTTCCTAATAAAAAGTTCAGTTTGTTTGTTTTTTTTTCTTTACTATTTCTTCTTTATACAAAAACATGTCAAATATCGGTTTGCTGGATCAACAAGATGTTTATTATGACCTTTCTTCCTATAAAAGAAATGTACTATCTTCGACTCTTCGCCGAAAGAATAGCAGTAGACGATTTTGGTCAAGGTCTTCTTCTTATGCGTCATTAGATGATAAACCACAATTTATATCACAAAGATCACATACTGCTCCAACAACAGGTGTTGATGATCATGCTTATTTTGATGTGAATGATGATGATGATGATAACACTACGTTCTTTGCAAAGCAGCCTTATAAATCATCTTGGAAGGCATCTGTATTACGAACTGTTGGTTTAAAAAATAAACAATACTTTTGATCATTCTGTTTCTCTTTTGAATGACTTAATTCACAACGTCAATTCGCGTCATTTTCTAAATCATCTTGCTCTGTTATTCGGGAATAGTGTGTGCAATAGCTCGGTTAGTTTAATTTTTTTCTGTCAAAAAGCAGTTTTATTCCTTTTTAGGAAACTGATGCTTCTTGGATGCATCTCATCATATTATCATACTTGTTACCTCCCCAACTCAAATAGCTATCTCATAATTCTAACAGTTTATCTCAGTCGTTCCGGCATTCAAAGGATTGTTCAGAAGAGAACATCATAACTGAACTTTCAATTCCAGTGAATCTTTTGTACATTCCTTAGAGTTCATATAAATATCCATTTATTTTATTTGATGAAACTCCAGTCAATTATTCTAATGACTGCTCTCCTTATAAGAAATCTTGTGTTTCCTATTTAGCCTATATGTCCTAAGCAATTTGATATAGGAATAATATGTCATCTAAGTAACATGTCTAACTAAATTAAAGGTAGAACGATAAAAGAGAAAGCGAAAGAGTGTGTTAAAAAATCATCAAGCTTTACGGCTCTTTGATTCAAGCCATTTATGCAGCACTAAGTGACCGCTTGTACCTGAACTGTGGCTTATCTTGCCATTTATGTCCCTACTGGCTTTATTTTTTTTTTTTTCCACTTTTGATCAATCTAATGGGTAGACGCAACAGAACCGCACTTTTACCTACTCATTTACCCCAGCTTCAAAACTTGATAAAGCGAGATCCAAAGTCATATGAGGCTGAATTTCTTCAACAATGGCGACACTTTCAGTCTGCACTTTCAATTTTTTGCTTAAAGCCCGATGAAGAATCAAAGGAAGTATCAGATCTAGTTACCTTCATCAGTCAAGTGGCACAGTGCTACCCCGAAATAACCAAGGATTTCCCTCAGCAACTGGTCGATCTCTTACAAGAGCATTACATGGCTCTTCATCCAGAAGTCAGAAAGAGTTTTGTCCAAGGGCTTATTCTTCTTCGAAATAAAGGCATTCTGGATAATACCCGGTAAAGGAAGAGATGACCAAAAAAAAAAAAAAAAGAAGCTAACTTTATCCTCTAGTCTTTTACCTTTGTTCTTTACCTTGTTTAAATGTAGAGACAAGCAGCTTCGAGAACTGCTTTATAGTCATATTGTCAACGATATCAAGAGCGCCAATGCCAAAGTGAAAAATAACAAGTTGAACAAGACACTTCAATCCTTCATGTTTACCATGCTAGAATCTGCTACAACAGGAAATAGTGATGAAAATGCTATTGCTGCTAAAAAGAGTGTTGATGTCTGTATTGATTTATATCACAAGAACGTCTGGAACGATGCGAAAACAGTCAATGTGATCGCTGAAGCTTGTTTTTCCCCTGTTACAAAGATTTCGGTTACTGCTGTCAAGTTCTTTTTGAACAGCAATGAAGTCAATGATGATGATGAAAACGATGATGATGATGTAAGGAATTTAAAGAAGAGAAACAATATGGAAACTGAACATTTCTTGCTAGATCCCTGATTTAAAGAAGATACAGATGGCCAACTTACACAGCAAAAAGACAAAAGCAAAGGACCGCAAATTAGAAGCAGCCAAGAAAAAGATAAAGAGAAAGTCCAAATCAAAAGACAAGGCAGAAGGTTTCAACTTTTCAGCACTTCATCTCATAAACGATCCTCAGGGCTTTGCTGAGAAACTGTACTCTAAGCTATCCACCAAGGAGGATCGTTGGGAAGTTCGTCTGATGAAGATGAATCTTGTGTCTCGTGTGATTGGTATTCACCAACTGACCCTTTTGGGATTCTATCCTCTGCTCATCAAATACCTTCAACCTACACAGCGAGATGTCACCATGGTCTTGGTCTGTGCCGCACAGGCTTCTCACTCGCTTGTGCCTCCTGACGTTCTCGAACCTGTCTTGAAAGCGATTGCAAATAACTTTGTTACTGACCGTGTGGCAAATGAGGTAATGGCAGTTGGTATCAACGGTATACGTGAAATTTGTGTAAGACAACCATTGGCTATCGACGCTACTTTACTGCAGGATTTGACTCAGTACAAGCAGCATCGTGACAAGGGCGTTCTTATGGCCGCTCGTTCTTTGATTGCTCTGTACCGTGAGATCAATCCAGAACTGCTCTTGCGCAAAGATCGTGGTAAGAGTGCTTCTATTCGTCTAAAGGACGGTACGATCAAGGCAGTGCAGTATGGTGAATCGACAACTAACGTAAACGCACTTGATGGACTCGAGCTTCTTGATCAGGAAGATAAAGAAGAGGACTGGGGTGATTGGGAAGTTGAAGAAGATTCTGAAGAGGAGAGTGATGAAGATGGTTGGATTAATGTGGCAAGTGATGATGAAGATTTTGTTAATGTTGCTTTGAGCGATGATGAAAAGGATGACGAAGAGGATGAAGAAAAGAAGAAGAAGAAGATCCAATACAAGGTTGGAGAGAATGGTGAAATCGTCAAGGCTCGTCGTATTGGTAAACGACAGTTAAAGAAGCTTCAGGACGCAGAAGAGCATGCAGAGATGTCTGAAGAGCAACGTCAAAAGCTTTTGGAAGCTGTTCGAGCTCGTCAGGCAGAAGAAAAGGCTAAACAGGAAGCAAATCTCAAATTAGCTACAACAAGAATTTTGACGCCTGCTGATTTTGCTCGTTTGAACGAACTTCGCGCAAATAAGGAATTGGAAGTTGCTACAGGCAAGAAACGTGCCTTTGATGAAAGTCAACACGAAGAACAAGTGGATGAAGCGACTATTCTTGGTCCTCGTAAGAAGACTAAGCAAGATTATCAACAGAGAATGGCATCTATTCAAGAAGGCCGTGAAGGAAGAGAGAAGTTTGGATCCAAGAAGGGCAAGAAAGAAAAGGGAAGTACGACAAACAAGGAAAAGGCTAGAAAGAAGAACTTCTTGATGATTGCACATAAACAATCTGTTGTTTGTAAATCAAAACGTAGTTTGTTTGATAAGCAAAAACAATTAAGAGCCGCTATTAACAAGCAAAAGAGACTCAAGCATTAAAAAATAGATTTTGTATTTATATTTCTTGGCATTTTAAATAAAATTGCATTCTACAGTCATATATACCTATGTCATAACAAATACACCAGAAGCTAGACTAATTCTACCGGCACTACCCCTACCTACTACCTATGATGCTGTCCAACAAAACTTTCCAATGTGTAGCGCCAAGCTACACATGGCTCTATAAAGTCCCCATCTTGGTCTGTTTCTTTTCGAGAAAAAGAGAAAAAAAAAGAAGTGTTGTCATTTATTCTAATTTTATGCTGTCAGTTTGACCAACAAATAACCAAAATCAACTCACGTGTAATTATGGTAAATTCGTATTTTACATCAAGGATATCTATTCCATTTGACAGCTTTACATGTAGCGCCTAGAGGAAGAAGCGCTCATAACATTAGTCTATTTTCTGATGCATATAGTCAGGGCAATCAAACGCCACCTAGGCAATATATTTTTAAATAAGGTTCGTTAAAGCAGTATTTCGAATACTGTAGAAAGAAGAACTAATGAATGATGGTATGACCTGAATATATACGAGGCGTGCTAACTGCGAATATCTGGCGTCGTCTATTAACTGAGAATGAATAAATAGAGAATTAAGAGATACGTGATCTACACTATTTCCAGAAAGTATCGTCCCTTTAAGATGTCGTTTTTGTATATTTTGTATTACAAATTTTTGAATTATATGACGCTGCTTTTAATAAAAAGCTGCACCTTCACTATATTTATCGCTTAAAGTGTTGTTAAGCGGCTTTTCAATGAGTGGGTTCCGATTGGATGGCCATCCTTGTTCATGCACCTGTCAATTTGCCCCCTAAAAGGTCTACTGTCTGTATAAGGAGATAATAATAAGAGACAGTTTAAGGATATTACAAAAGATAAAATCTTGCTTTTTATTATTAATTTACACCAAGTCAACGTTAACGCTCTTTAATGCGTTAACAGCCCAGATTGGATACTTTGACTTGTCACCAAAATAATTATGGAAGAATTGTTTGATCCATGCAGGAAATTCATCTTGCTTGATGGCCTCTCTCATTTCTCGCATTAACCTCAGTTGGAAAGCAATATTATGAATAGACACAAGATGGCATCCTACAGTGTCTTTTGTGATTACGTTTAGATGACAATAAGATCGTGTGTAATTCTTGCAGGTGGTACACTCGCAGCCTTCTTCAATAGGTCCAAAATCAGTAGCATACTTCCCTGATTTAAGAGAAAGAGTGCCTTTCATTGTCAAAGCATTACCAAATCGCTAATAAATAGTTAGTAGAGAGAAGTTTAAATGGCAAATAAACTTACAGCAGTTCTAGTAGGGAAGACACAATCAAACATATCTACTCCCAATGCAACACATACAACCAAATCTTCAGCATACCTAACCGTCCTATTAATATCGCCCTGTACAATATAACCTTTTTTACCCTACCCAACACCCATACAATAGATTGGCTTATTTTTTGGTAGCAGATCTGTGCAAAGTGTGACACTAAATATAAAATTAGGACCTCCCCAGATATAGTTTATCAGCCAGACTTACATCTTCCAAAAGACATCTTTCTCTTCACCACCACTTAGACCACCTACTGCATATCCGGGTGTATCCCGCTTTACCATTTCTTCTACGCATTTCTTTCTCAAGTTAATATCCAGACCGCCCTGGATGATTGCAAATAAGTTTTGGCTGTCGGGTTTTTTGTGTGCCTCGATACAACGATCGAGCCAACGAATGGATCTCCACATAGCCTCTTCAACACGAGGTCCAGTAGTCAAAGAGGAAATAACATCGTCCAATTGCATCATGATATCAGCTCCAATGGTATTTTGAAGTTCAATAGAGTGCTCTGGTGTCAACATCATCAATGAACCGTCATGGGGAGACTGAAACTCGACCCCTTCTTCTGTGATTTTAGCTAGTTTTAACAGAGAGACCATTTGAAATCCACCACTATCCTAGCGTCAGAAAAGGAAATGAGTACAGGTGATATAATTAGGAAAAATATCTTACAGTCAATAAGTTACGTTTCCAGCTCTGAAATTTGTGAGCACCGCCTATGAGGTCCAAGGTTTCTTTTCCAGGTTTCAGTCCCTAAAGGAAAAAAATTAGATAAAAAAAAGAAAAGAAAAGAGTACGAATTTACCAAATGATAAGTATTGTTTAACATTATTTGACAGTTTAACTCTTCAAGCTGATCAGGCAACATGCCCTTCATTGTTCCTTGAGTACCAACAGGCATAAATACAGGTGTATCAACAGGACCATGAGGTAAGGTCATTACTGATACTCTAGCTTTTGTCGTTGAGCATTTAGCTACAGTTTCAAAAGTAAGCGCACTCTTCATTTTCACAAGTGATCTTATGCTGTCTTTTAGTAGTGGAGACACTTTTTCAAATAAAGAAAAAAAATAGAAAGGGCAATTCGGTCCCTTGATTGACCCAGAGTGGCTGTCACAGTAGCAGTCACAACTAAGATTTTCAAAGAATAATCCATCCTAACTTTTTTCTCTTTTCTTAATCTCTGTTTTAATTAGAATATAACAAAATGGTAAAGACTACGAAATGAAGGGATTTGGTTCAAAAATTAAATCATGTTTACTTTAGGGCAAGCAAAGAACAACAAGAAAGTTTGCTGTAATGAAGCGCATGATTAGCAACAATGATACTCGATTGTAATAATCCAAAAAATTAAAAAAAAACAATAGATCTAATCCATATTTTTATTAGAAAAGAAGCTAAAGAGAAACAAAAGAAAAAGGAAGAAAAGAAGGAAGAAAAATCAGTTCGCCACATGTATGTGAATATGATCTGTAGTGATTTTTATATCTAATTAGTTTCTAGTCCTCAAGTGGCATCTTCCATGTTCTTTCAATATAATACAGCACTTGGTCCTCCATACCATGTTTTGGTAGATACTAACTTTATCAACTTTTCTATTCAAAACAAACTGGAACTTGTCAAGTCAATGATGGATTGTTTATATGCCAAATCTATTCCTTGTATTACAGACTGTGTTATGGCAGAATTAGAGAAATTAGGACCAAAATACCGTATTGCGTTAAAGTAAGTGGCATAAAGAAATGATTTTCAGTCGGACTCAATTATTCTTAGGATCGCACGAGATCCTCGATTTGAAAGACTTCCTTGTAGTCATAAAGGTACATATGCAGATGATTGCTTAGTGGATCGAGTCATGCAACACAAGTGTTATATTGTCGCTACCTGTGATCGTGATCTAAAGCGTCGTATACGTAAAGTGCCTGGTATTCCCATTATGTATATTGCTAATCATAAGTATACGATTGAACGTCTTCCTGAATTCGGTACAAACGCACAGTAAAAAGATCATTTATTCATACACAATAAATATAAAGCATTTGCATTTTTTAAAAAAGGAAATAAAAGGTGACGTTGAGTAGTATCCATATTTAGAAATCATGTAAAATACAGTGAAGGCATCCTCGATTTACGACATATCTGGCGATATCTTCATGAGTATGAATCGGAACATTATCCATAATAAGATAAAAGTTTCTGAACTGTTCATGTTGATCCATAATAGTAAGAGTATTCGATATGAAGTTGAAATAATGGCCAGTGACCGTACCGTATTTTTTTAACTGCTTTAGAAGTACCAGGAAACTTTCTTTTTTTAGAACACTTGTATGGTCTTCTTACTTTAACATTGATGATTCCCATTCAAACGGTGATATGGCGCCTAAAATCGTTGTTATTTGTGCTCTTGTTTTAGGTGTCTCAACAATAGCCCTCTCTTCCTTTTTGGACCAAGCCATAGTCCTTTTCAAGTTGATATGAAGTGCTGATTCATCAAGAAAGACATAGTTATTTTCGAATCCAAGCTAGTATTTGACCCATTCATATTTCTCTTGAACCTTTTCAGATGAATTTCTTTCAGTGGAATAAAAATAGGCTTTTTTGAAGGACAAAACACATTCATTTGTCATAAATCTATAATTTTTTAGCTCAACCAAAACTTCTAGTTGCAAAGTGGCTCGAGTATTATATAATGGTGAATATTGTTTTTATTTTTTTTTTTAAAAAAAAAAGAAAAGAAATAGCAATGCCTAACAATAAAAGGTATACAAATATCACAAAACAAAAAACTAGTTAATATCATTCTAGTATAAATACTGGAAAGCACAAGTATTGCTTTGAAACTGTTCATCGCGCCTTTCAAGACATCTGCGATGATCCTGATGAGCTCTATTTGTTTGGAGGGAAGCCTGTTGTCCTTGGTGGTGATTTTGCTCAGATCCTACCAGTGATCAGAAGGGGTAACAGAGCTGATACTGTTAGTGTGTCAATCAAGCAGCCATTTTTATGGTCAAGACTCCAGCTCTTGAGGCTCACCCAGAACATGCGTTTAACAAACCTTTTTAATCAAAATGATATTGCATTTGTAAGATTTATAGCAGACATTTCATATAACCATACACTTTATGATTCAATTAAGTTTCCTGGCTATATCTTTCAAACCAAACAACTGAATGAATTTATCAGCAAAGTCTATAAAGATGAAGAAATCAGTAACTCTATGTCGATAAACAATGGTCAATTTTTTGGTGAAAGGGCCATATTGACTACCAGAAACGACACAGTTGGAAGAATCAAGGACATTGTTCTCGATAAGATGGCTGGCGAAAAGGCTACGCTTCTGTCTACAGACTCTGCTGATGTTAATGAAGCCGATAGTTTACACACTGTTCCTATAGAATATTTACACAATTTAAACCCTACCAGCATGCCTCCATCTAAGCTTGAGCTCAAAGTTGGCGCACCAGTAATGTTATTAAGAAACATTGACCCAGCAAGAGGTTTATGCAATGGTACTAGCCTGGTTGTCGTACGAATTGGCAGCTATATGCTTCAGGTTCACCTGATCAATAAGCCGGATGGCCTATTAGAGCTTATACCTCGGTTTACACTCTCAACGCAAGAAGATGATTTGCCATTCATTCTAACAAGCAATTTCCTGTCAGACTATGCTTTGCTATGACAATCAACAAATCACAAGTACAATCACTTAAATATGCAGGAATTGACTTGTGGCGTCTATCGTTTATGCATGGTCAGCTATATGTCGCTCTTTCAAGAGTTATCTCTCTTTCTGGCATCTCAGTTCTTCTGCCAGAAAGCTCAAATACAACCAACAATGTTGTTTACTCAGAGCTTTTGCTCAATTAATATACGCATTATGCCCAACTCATTTATGCTCAATTATACTTATGTTCAACTATACTTATGCCACTTTCTTTTTTTGTAACTATATGATTATCATTTAATAAAATTATGCGACCATTACTTTCTCTTTAAGTGCATTAACCTTTCTACATCTCATTCAGGATTTGTCCTTACTCATCACAAAGGGCAAAGTCCTTAAGCTTGCGGCAGCACAACAACGTACAAAAACGAGCATAGCGAGTTGTAAGCGGCTAGTTTAGTTAAAGGATTTTTATTTATATTTTTAAGGAGTGTTTTCATGCTTGGTGTTACTATCTTGTTTTTAAAGAGGCGTAACAACGCCAATAAAGTATAAAAAGAGTGGGTGTGTTGCTTGTTTAGAGCACTGTTCTTCCTTACGGTTACGTATTACAAGCCTTAAACCGTTTAAACGTTAATATGTATGAAAACATTTTATTCAAAGAAGGTAGCTCAAAGTCTATTAAATATCTACTTGCAAAGAGTGAATCTTCTCATTCCGTCCCTTAATTACATTCAGAGATTTCGGCCTCCATCACAAAACCAGCTAATGAGCAAAAAGAAGTGTCCTGGGAGAACCTTATTGAGGATCTAACAGATCTTATTAAAAAAAAATTATGACGGAAAAAGCTTTAAAATGTACAGAGGAGATTGGAAGCGTAGAATTAAACAAGTCGTAAAATCCATGGGTTACAAGCTCGAAAGGTTTGATGATGACGTGTTTGTTCCCTTGGAACCTGTCTTTAAGCAATCAAATAAATCTTCAGGCTCAAATTACAAATTAGCAGTTGTTGAAATCCAACGCGTTATTGAGCTTTACAACAATATTCCTGATTCGGAAAAGTGGAAACTTTCAACTGGTAAAGTCGTTGACGACGAAATGAAAAAGTTAGCAGACAGGTCCAATTATGAGCCCCAGTGCATTCATTGATTCTTGAAGTGGACGATCCTGTCTGGGAGAACTATTTTTCAGCAGATGAGTTGGCTGAAATAAAAACCTATCGCTTGAAAGTCTTACCATCGATTCCTCGACAAATCGAAGAATATCTAAATAAATATAACAAGGATTGGGAATCAGGAGAGCAATTGCACAACTTTGCAGATAGCCAGAAACATAATCCTATCACTGAATTTGATTTTAAATGAATTCGCGAAAGCTTTGTTAGAACATCTGAATTGTTCTTATATGAAGATGTACTAAACTTAAATGAGTATTCAGAATCAGATCTTCTTCATGATGTATGGCCGTTCGTATACCGTATCTTCAAGGATAGAAGTATAAAGACAGCACTTGGTGAAAAGTCGAGTGTGGCAGTTGCTTTAGGAAGAAACGGGGATAGAAACCTGGAGGCTGTTTATAGAAGACCAAGAAAGGCAACCGGATCAAAAGTCGATATCTTGTTTAAGATATGCAAAAAAGAATTGGGTTTGTGTGAAGTTGGGCTAAATGGTGTTACAGTCGCAGACGATAAGTACTTAGATGATGGGTTAATGAAGTTACCGAAAACACTTCGAGATATGTTTTCTGTCTTGGGTGAGAAAATTCCTACGAAAATAAACGATCTTAGAACCATTGGGTTCCTAATGATGGGCAAGTCAAATATAAAAAATAAAACGTAGGTAAAAAGGTTTAACAAAATAAAATTTAAAGGACTTTCCATGGAACTAGTGGTTATGGATTGCCCTGTTGGCAATAACATCGTTAGGGTATCAAGAACACAAAAGTTCGAGTTCCCAAGTACTATTAGTACCATCGCTGTCGATCTCTTGCCTCTTCTTGAAGCCACCTGGAAAGCAAAAGAAATCATGAAGAAGACGGTTGAAATTCTCAACCAAAGAAAAAGAAAAACTGTTGAACTCAAGGCAATTATTACAAATGAAGAAGAGTCAGTAAGATTACCTTACTCTTTTGCCCGTAGTCCATCGAACTAAATCTTTTTTTACTTCTCTTTATCATTATTATCGTAATAAATTTATATCTTTTATTTTTATTAAAAACAATATAATAATATATATCTTGTTCTACTCATTCAAAAATTCAAACAGCAAAAGTAGTATTAACGGGAAAAAAAAGTCTTCGCGCATCCAGTTTAATTGTGAAGTAAAAGGTCCAGTTAATTGTCCCGATTAGTGAATGTTATTCAAATCATTAATGTATATACTCCACACTGCCTCTTGTCTCAATTACTCACTTTTTGGCAAAATCTGCAAAAACTCTCGGCGTTTTTTAGTTTCATCATTTTATTTCAAAGCCTCTGTTGTAAAATTGCACGTTTTTATTTTAACCAATAACAGCAAAGTATTTGATTAAAGAGAAGACGTGTACCTTTATTAAATGGTTGTATTGGTAATAAAAGAAAGCGAAGAGGTTGACTTTTTATTTCATAGTTGAATAAAGAAGCATTGTGCTTATTTAAGGAGTATTGATTGTTGTGCGTAGCACTAGAAGCAGAGCAGCACATTGGAAAATGATGCCAATATGGCCCTAAACAACTTCTTTTAGTGTTTCATACAAGAATAAATGTAGAACATTTTATGTTTAGAAAATAGCACGATTTATTTGTAAAAAGAAAAGTTATATACTTCTATTTCTTCATTACCTCACAAATATTGATGTCCTCCTAATTGCGGGAGAAAACGGAAAAGTCGATCACTGCTAAGCAAATACCTTCTTGCTACTTTTGATGTACTTTATCATTTCTAACATCTAAGAAGAAAGCACTAATTGCATTGATTTTGTGAATAAACGCATTATATATCCTGTGCATTGCTAATTTTTTTATAAGAGCTTTACTTTTCTTGTTTCTGTCTCTTGAGTTAATCTACTCGGTGCTGTGCGAAAAAGGAGAAGCATAAATAGATTTGATTGACCATCGTTCTTGGAGCCTTGTCGCCATTGTTTGCAAGAGGCGAATACGTGCTTCTTCTTTCTCATCTCCTTTAGACTTTTGTATATGTCCTATTATTTCATGCCCTTCTTCTTTAAGGTTTCTTAAGAGCTGTTCCTGCCTTTCAGGGAAACTTCTGATTTCATGCATGCATTTTGTTATGAGTAAAAAATAAATAAATATAAAAGTAATACTTGTAAGGCTCGTAGTTAAATATTACCGATATACTCTTCCTTCATCACGTAGAGCACACGACTTCTTATTTGATCGGCACTGTCGTTGTTATTTCTTTGACGCTTTCGCGTCTCGTCCACACCAAGAAATAATGTTTCTTATTGTTTTGTTATCAAAATAATCAGCGTGCTTTGAAACCATAAGAATACAACAAGGTGGAACAAGTCACTTTGTAGTCATTTATGATGAGTGAATGAAAGAGAGTGATGTTAAAAAGGGGAGATTGGCTTTTTAATGCAAGAAAAAATGTTGTCAATCAATCGCGCCTATAGATTATATTAATATGGCTGCATGAATCGGCATTCGCTCTGCAGATCCCCCAAATATTTTAGAACGCAAAAGAAGATGCCGCAGTTGATTATGTATAGAGAAAGATAGAATTCATCGATATTATTGAAAGCTCTACCAAGTAAACTTGGGGTAATAATTGTACATCTTTGTTAAAAATGCTGTAGCAGTTCAAGCCGTATCTTTCTTTTGACAACTGACTGCTTTTTGGACAAGTTTTATAAACAGGCTACTGCAACTACCATAATATTTACTGATTATTATTTAGGAATATTTTTGTGCTGTATAAGAGTATGTAAGCATTATTGAGGGTTTCTTCATGGTATTATCTATATATACTCTAAGCTTCTTTGTTGTGTCAGTCAGTTGTTTATCTACACTATTGGCTTTATAGTAATTGATAGGCGTGAGAAATGAATGGCATAGCATAGATCAACATAAAGAGCTGCAACCAGCTTAGTATGTACCATTATCATTACGTAAAATATTTAAACGATGGAAAAAGAGGAATGTAAACCTAGTCTACTATATGCGTGTTACACCCGTATTGCCGTGAATTCTGTTTCCATATCGCTTTTTATACCAAAAAGACCTTGTTCAAGCATAATTATTGTAGACTATTGTCATCTTTGTGATGATAGTAGAACTACAGATGAATTCTCTGTAATTCACAAAGAATCCATTTGATGGTTCGAGTGTAACCAGCAATGTAAGTTTATCCAACTTGCAACATTCAGATCACCACTATCAACTGTATGTCTCAATAAAAGCCAATAATTTTTTGCATCATCTATCGAACCATATATAAAACCACAATACGATCCATAGTGAAAAAGACGACCTTATGTTACCAACATGTATGGATATACTGTTCAATCATCCTTGATGCCTTTGAGTTTGAAAGAGAGTTATTTTATATCTGAGAAGAATCTCTTTTTATGATATATGGTATTGTAATCAATAAGAGTCATAACAATAGTCTTGGTTGTACTATGAGTCATTGAGAGCTAGTTTTTACTGTCAATTCAAGTTGATATGAGTCAGTTAAATATATCTTAAAAACAACTTTTCAAAAGCATTCCCAAGATCACATTGTTGTATATGTTTGTTTCTTGATGAATTGCATACGATAAACAGCCACTAATGACATAATTTATTCCTTTTAAGGATTTCTTGAACGCTAATGGATCCAAGGGCCCAAAAGCAATAGCTTAATTAGAACAACCTACAACTACATCCATTGAACGGCATGAGCTTCTTTCATAAAGATATCCTACGATTACTTCCTTGTCCGATCTTTATCTAATGTGAATGATAAAGATATAACAGCATTGATTTTTAAATAAACACCACAACCGATATTTCGGATTTAGTTATATTCACAGCCTTTATCTATAAACACATGAGTTACAGGCTGTTTTTAGCAAAATCTTTTACATTGGGTACTTGTTATTCACGTATATTTTTACTATATGAGTCACTCTTTACTACATGAGCCAAAAACTTTCTTTTGGATTCTTTTTTAAATTGAAGTCAGAACTGCGGCCAAGATCCATTAGAAAAAGTCTACGAAATCCTAATCTTTAAGCAAGCGTGAGAAAGATATACGGTTGAATGAATAACTTTAAAATTGTATAAAAAGATGAACGATAAGCGGTAAATCTTAGTTAACTCTACAGTTTTTCTTATCTTTCGGATTTAAGATAATTTAAAACTGAGTCGACGTGATAATCTCTCATTTCTTTCTTCCTTCTTCTTCTTCATAACATGGATTACTCCAAACATATCAGTAAAGCCAGTCAAGACAGAAACCCATCTGCAAGTATGTACAATTCATCATTAAACAAAGGGGAGGATCAATGTTAACCAAATCCTTAGTTCGCGCTTTGATGCCGTATCTTAATTGTAAAGACATGGTAACATGATTATTATGTCAAAAAAGGGAAGCAATAATAATAACACGTCAAAAAAGATTTCATTAGGGGCTGGTCAACCTAATCCTGCAACTTTCCCATTTGCCAGTTTGACATTAACTCTTAAAACGGGGGAAAAGATTGAAGTAGATGATCAGTTATTTGATCGCTCGTTGTCCTATGATCTGACAGTAAGTAGTACATAAACCACGTTTTATTTTCCCACGTATCAACCTAACGTCATAATTAGTCGGGACAGCCACTGTTGAATCAATGGTTAACGGAATTGCAAAGGATTGAACATAACCCTCCAGTTGAATTTGATGTCTCCATCGGCTCTGGTTCTCAAGACCTCTTAACAAAGGTAAATAATAATAAAAGATATCAAAGGTGGTGTTTATACTCATTCTATTTAAAAGGCCTTGGAAATGATGATTAACCCCGGGGATTCGGTTTTAGTAGAAGAACCTACTTACACAGGCGCATTATCTTTTCTAGAAACAATGCCTTGCGATTTAGCGCCCGTTGCCACTGATGAATTTGGTATCATTCCGGAATCTTTGGATCACTTGCTTGCTCATTGGCCAGAAAGTAATCCCAGCGGTAAAAAAGATCAACCGAGACCTCATGTTCTCTATACTATCCCAAGTGGAGGAAATCCCACAGGAGTCAGTGCCACCTTGGAACGTAAACAGGCTGTCTATAAGATCTGCTCAAAATACGATGTTATCATTCTTGAAGACGATGCTTATTATTACCTGCAGTTCGATGAGAAACGCACACCTTCGTACCTATCCATGGATGTTGACGGACGCGTTCTTCGCTGTGACAGTATGAGCAAGATCCTTTCTTCTGGTCTCCGTATTGGCTGGGTCACTGGTCCTCAACCCTTGGTTGAGCGTATCAACATGCATACGATGGTAACAAATCTTCAGCCTTCAGGTGTTTCTCAGGTTGTGGCCTATCAATTGTTGGCCAAGTGGGGTCACCAGGGATTCTTTGATCATGTCAAGCGTGTCGCCAATTTTTATAGAGAAAAGAGAGACGAGTTTCTTGAATGCCTTAATAAGCACATGAAGGGAAGAGCAGAATGGAACGTTCCTAATGCTGGTATGTTTTTCTGGCTTCGCTTATTAGGAGGCATTACGGACTCGTATGATCTTGTGATGACAAAGGCCATTAAAGAAAATGTACTGGCTATTCCAGGTTTAGCATTCATGCCTAGAGGCAATAAGAATGAATACATTCGCGTTTCTTTCAGTAATGTGTCGAAGCAACAAATGGATGAAGCACTTCGTAGATTAGCTAGAGTCATTGACAGAGAGGCAGAGCTTCATGGATTAAGGACCAACAACTCGTCTACACAGTAATAGAGTCATCTTGAACACAAAAAGAAATCAGAAAGAATGAAAGAAAGAGGAAGGATGGATGTAGCCTTTTCATCAATAGTTGACATGTATATGTTAATTCTTGCTTTGTATTTATAAACTTCATATTATATCGAATAAAAAATAAAAAGGACCTAATAGCTTTCATGCTCGTAAACTTGTGATTTATTTGCTTAAATATCATCAAACATATTGTTTGACCTTGATTCATTAGCATCATTTGTATAAGGGTCATTATGCCTTATAAAAGGTGAACTAGAATGATTCCTTGCTTGATGAGTACCTAAAGCAGAGGAGTTATGTGAAAAGTGTTCTGAATTGGCCTCGTTTGATGTGGGATGATATTCATTATTGTATCCACTAGCACCAGCGCCTCTATTGTTGCTCTCGGTACTTCTGCGACCAAATACACGGCCTCTACTATTATTGTTACTACTACTACTGCTACGGGGTGACATGGGTGGGGATTGAGCAAATGCTGCTGACGAGGACTGATTCTGACTAGGTAAATCAGTATTGCTTTTGAAGGAATTGTAGAGGTCATCTATTTTCTGTTTCATTGTGTCTCCAAATGACTTTGTTTTTAATTTCACTGTATCTGAATAAGCAGATTCACTCGGTAAGGAAAGTGTCGATGAGGCAGCACTATTGTCACGGTATCTCTTGGCTGTCAGTCGTCCTTCTAAAAGTTCATTTATCTTTCTATTCCTTTCGTCGCGTGAACTCTCTGCTTGACCAAGTCGACTATATTTGGCCGCGAACGCCTGTATATGAGGCTATACTCTGAAGTTGAAAATTCATGCATCATACACTACACATATGGGTTACTTACTGGACTTTGTGGCCGACGCCTACTACTGACTCTCAGTTCCGGATTAATTTCTTTTTCTCTTGCCGTTCGTTCTATCGTTGACAGGTTATTATCGCTCTTTTGTCTATTATTTTCAAATGCTCTTACCTTCAAGCACCAAATATTTTCCTTCTTCGTAATCTGCATCTAACAATCTCCCACTTTCGTTCGCTCCCACGTCTTCGTCATTGCTTTTATAGACATTCTTTATTCCGAAAACAGAAAGGAATCGATCTTGGAGATTGAAGAAGAGTAGCAGTGACGGGATCAGTATGACTACTGGAAACCAATCTACAAAGGCACCCAAAAATTCGAAAAGATCGGCTTTGCCCATAAACTATACATCAAAATCGTTAGTACATCCTGCGATCAGCTGTAAAATCAGTGATCTATTTACTGTGCTGAATACAGAGTCACTTGCTGGTGCCTCTTTGAAGGGTGCGTCACCTGCAAGATTGATAAAGTTATAACATAAAGGTGCCCTTTACTAACCAGTTAGCTTTTTGTAACACGTTTATGGTTGACTTTACATCATTTTACACATGTATCCTGTAAACCACAATAGACTGTTTTCGTCTGTATGGTGATTTGGAATCAATAGATATAAATTGAAAAACCTAATTTTAAACAGGGAGGAATATACGCATACAAACATGTATGTGATCGTAAGAAATGCCATAAACTATATGTAGTGTTTAATACAATGTCTATTTCTTATATGTTCTTACCTCAACAGCTGCATAATTTGTACCACATGCTTTAAGGGCCCAAGAGACAATGGATAATGTAGGCGATTTAACATTAAATGTCAATTCTGACCATATGATAAACACACTTATGACAGAAAATAGAATGGCTAGGATCCTATATAACAGCGGTGCTATACGAATGGCCCACCACCATTCTATAACATTCATTATTATTTAGCTTCTCTATAATCCATGTTTCTTACCAACTGCTGATTGGAATATGTTCCATTTGGTATCATCTTTCTTGACTCGCAATGTCGAAGTAAATCGTCTACCATACGTTACTATTAGCCTTGATAATGACTATATGTTATGACTACCTCTCTGATGTATCCTTGTTCTTTATGATATCCTGAAGATAAAAGGCTTCTTCCAGCAGATTATTCCATAGTCTAATAGTAATTTAATATAACTCCTTTTTCATAATATTGTCGCATCTTACGCCTTTTTTCTGTTTCTCATTCGGATTGCTAGTATCATACGTCTAGAAAGCTTTACAAGGTAATCTTCTGTAAGCTGTGATGGTATTCTCCCAGATGTACTGGTTCCAGAATAACACTCTTGAGTTACAAACGGGAACCTTCCAATCATTATATTGATGCATTCTCTTATTCGTGGTATTTCTCTATGTGTTCTTTTGGAAATGACATTCATAATCTATCAATCATTCACGTTAAATTCTGAAAAAGAGGGCACATTGATGCTACATACTTTGGCCACCTCATTTAACTCTAATTCACTGTCCATATACTCTTCTTTTAATTTTGCTGCATTTGCATAATGTTGAAGTAAGTGACGCATAAAATCACCATGATGCCAAAAGTGACGAGGTACGGAAACAAGTCCATAACCCATAAAAATAATGACTAAGAATAGGCCCCAACTGTTGGCTGCTGCCATCACGTAGCTTTGGATTTTATCTCTATCAAAGCATATAAATATTTCTTATAATGTTATGCATATATATATATATATATACCTTGTGGTGTAGCCATTGCCGAATATCAGATAAACCAGCCCAAAGAATCCTACGACAACATAGATTGAATAAAATCGTAGATTGATATGCAGAGCTGATCGTAGTCGTCTTGATATCGTAAAATCCCCCGTATTCATATATGCTTGCATCATAGGGATCAAAAACCTATAGCTATTAATATAAAGCAACTGCAAGTCAAGTATATGTTGTGTACCAAGTCAGGCAAAATGAAGTCCAATAGATAACTCTCCAAGCAACAAATAAGAATGATCGTGATACATATGCAAATGGTAATCTGCCGTCTAGTTTATCGTGAATAGTCTTTAATGTGTTAATTGTTGTTTTTTTTATATAGTCGCGTTCAACTTACAGACGCTAAATCAAGTGGTAAAAGAATGATAATCCAAAACGGAAAGAACCAACCGACGATACAAGTAAGAGAAACAAACCACGGTTGAGTTTTTATGTTTCCATATCTAAACAAGTTGACAATGACAGTTATGAAAAGTAGGATGGTTACGATAACTAAAGGTAACCAATTACTTGTCTCAATCATTAACTGTTGCATTAGCAAGACTAAAAAGAGAGACAAAAGAAAAGGTAAAAAAAGAATGATACTCTATTTGGTAACCGTTTGTCATACAACATACACTTTCTATCTTTTTATGCAAACTTTTTTTTTATTGTACTTTTCTCTTTTGTGCCGTTGCTATTTGTTGATGAACGACGATACAAGAATCTATGACCATGATGAGAGGTAAAAGAAAATACGGAAAGTAGAATCCAAACAATGTCAGACGTTCGCTGGTAACAAGTGGATATTTGGGATTAAACATGATTTCGGCAATCGTAGGTATTACTGTAGTTGCTACATGTGCACCATAAACTAATACCAAGGTTAGATATCTATTTACAATGTATGTTATTGAACTTACCTGCAAGTGGAAGACGAATACGTTTACAATCTATGTTTGGGAATAAGTCACGCGTCTACTTGATATGTATGTTTAATATTAACCTTTAACAAGTCCATAGCATGCATAAAAAAAGAATGGAAGTTGAAGGATTAACTCACAGACAAGAAAGCTGCGAAACCAATAAATTGGCTCGGTGCTGCCCATGAAAGGATCTTTAAACGTATTCTTATAAAAACTTAGGGTGTCGGCTAGAGCTTTAGGAATCCAGTGTGCAGGTAAGAGTGTTTGAAGGTCAAGAGTTAGTGTCACTGGAATGTGTGAAGCAAAGTATACAAAGTATATCAAATCTAGAGGTCGAGACAATAATCCTTTCTTTGCCATTTCTACTTGTTTCATAGCAAAAGAAAAAAAGTGAAAAAAAACGAGGTTACTGAAAACTGACAACCAAAAAATGAGTCAGCCAATAAAACCATTTCAATTATTATTATCTGACTTTCTCCCCTCCCCTTTATTTAAGCTTTTCTACATTGTGTTATTGGATCTAATGTTGACAATCACTCTAGTTCGACACGGAAACACAAATGCAAACAATGAACGATGGATTCAAGGACAGCTGGGTAAGAGAAAAGTAAACAAAATTCATGTCCTGAACGACTTTTATCAGACACTGAGCTTAACGATAATGGACTGAAGCAAGCAAAACAATGTGGTGAACGCTTAAAAGACGAACGATTTGACCACGTTTACTGTAGTGACTTGAAGCGTTGCAGACAGGTAAGGAAGGGCATGATTTCATGACTTTTATATTGATACAAACCCTGTGTGTGTGTATGCGCCAAGACAGCAAGTGAAATCCTTGCTTTTCATGAATCTCTTACGATTGAGTATCGCCCAGGTCTAAGAGAAGCTGACTTTGGAAAACTATCAGGCTTGCCCATCAAGGCCTTGAGTCATGAAGCTGCACGGCTAAAGGTCTCGTATGATCAAGCGGTTGCTGTACACGGAGGGGAAACCCGGATGACTTTTGAAAATAGAATTATTCAAGCATTTGAGACAATCGTACAGGACGCAAAGGAAAAGGGATATACATCTATTCTGATAGTCACTCATGGCGGTCCTCTGCGTTGCTTGGCTGCATATTGGGAGCAGCAAGAGTATCAAGTGGTGGACACGTCCATAAGAATATCAACCGTGCCTCATGGAAACACGGCTGTGACAAAAATAACTATAGATGATCATGGGAAGGGCTTTATCTATGAGTTTAATGATAGCAGTCATTTAGATGCGCAGAATGCAGCAAATGATCCTCCTCCTGCTGTATAATGACACATACTATCGAAGAGGGGGCAGTTGACCCTTGGAAAAATTTATGCACACATGTCGGGCAAAGCAAAAAAGGTTTATTTGAATAAAAGCTACATCAGTTCATCCTCCCCAAAGTAAAAAGGCAATTCACTTTTTGTTTTCCTGTGGTTTTATTTGTTATCTCGTACACACCAAGGAGAAGGTTAGTGACATTAGTTCAGGAGCTCAGTGGCAACAAGAATTTCGTTATAGAGCGACAGTAAAGGAGAAAACAGGATTTTTTGTAATGAAGAGCAGAATGCTTCAGTAATATATTTAAGGCAAATCATTTGATGGACTTTATTAGTATATTTCTTTATTCTTTTCACCCTTTGCAAATGATGAAAACATAATATATAAATAACTCAGATACTCTTCTTTTTTTAGAACATTTGACAATTCACTTTCTTTGACCTAAGCCATCTTCTTTATGAATGAAAGTCTAGCCACAGCTGAAAGAAGGGCTTTACATTCTGTATCCAAGAAAGGTAAAGTGACAATCAACATAAAGGGGCTGCCTTTTTTGGATACTTTAGCTGCTACAAGCGATTGAGACTACACATTTAATAAAAGTCTCCTTATGTCAGTAGCAGAGAAAGAGAGAGAGAGTCTTGTCGTGTATTAGTGTCGTAACCGGATGATGAGTATTGGTGTGATTGAACCAGTGAGCTAAACAATGAAGTGGGGAGTTTTCCTTATAAGCGTCAGAAGAATCATGTTCTGAGAAGCAAAATTCTGATCTGCTGAACTATTTGCTGCAATTGAGATAGATTGTCGGTATCTTTCCGGCTATTGGATTCTCCTTCATGCTTAATTTAGAGAGGCTGAAGGGACTCAAGGTGGCTTATGTGTCCCCTCAGGAGACATTTTCCATATTTAGAAAAAACAGAAAAATGATTTGACACTTATTTTTAGATTCAACTTCCACTAGGGACGACATGACTTTCCAGAAAAGTGTTTGATACATCTACACAAGGAACCTTGCCTACTTTAGCACATAACAATTTGTAACAAGGGGGTAAAAAAAGATCGAGTTTATTTTAAGCAGGTTAAGGAGAAAAAAAGGGATAGAACACGTCTATGGTTTAGCCCGCCTCTTTCTTGTGCTTTTTTTTTTTCTCTTTAAAGTTTAGACGAAAAAGTAAATAAATATCAAATCAATTAAAAAACAAATCTCCTATTTTTCTCTTTTTCTTTCTTGTCTTTATTTATTTCTGTTTCATTACTTCATTGATACCATGACGACCATTGTCCACTCCGATACCATCACCAAAGAAACCACATCCAGCAACACACCCTTTCTGACAAAGAAGGATCAAGAAATACAAACCTCTTCAAATACGATCTCAGACATTACATACAGCGACGACGACGACAGCACATGTACTTTTGATTCATTGGAAGACGACAAATTACTTCTTACACCGCCTATGGAAGAAGAAGAAGCTTCAATTGAAGAACTAAATGAAAAAGAAGACGAACATGATGTTGATTGGGGTAATAAAAGTAATAAACACAAACGAATGGACATTTATTTTATTTGCACCACCTAGAGTTCTGGTCAAAAGTTATTTCAAATTACAGTCAATTCACCCAATCAGAAACAAAGCGACTATCAGCTCAAGTTGTACAACACGGTATACCCTCTGCACTACGAGGCACCATTTGGCCTCTGCTCACAAACACATCCAACTTACAAGGCTTACAAGAAGTATACATTCAATTGCTAAGGCAGGAATCAGTATATGAGAAAGCAATCACCCGCGACCTTCATAGGACATTTCCACATCATCCTTACTTTCAAAGCACTCAAGGACAAGAAGCATTATTTAATGTCGTAAAGGCATACTCGATTTATGATCCTGAAGTGGGCTACTGTCAAGGACTTGCATTTGTAGCAGGTCCTCTCTTATTGAATGTAAACAATTGTTATCTACTTTTTTTTGTGTGCTTATTCATGTTGTTTTTAATAGATGCCAGAAGAGGAAGCATTCTGCATGCTTGTTCAGTTACTTGAAAAATACAAAATCAGAGGCCAATTCACGCCCCAGCTTGATTTATTAAGACTTCGATTACACCAATTTGATGGACTCCTGCAAGATCACTTGCCACATATACACAGACACTTTAATGAGCAAGGGATACGATCCAACATGTATGCATCGCAGTGGTTTCTAACCTTATTTGCTTATAAATTCCCTCTAAAGGTGGTTTATCGCATCTACGACATCTTATTTACAGAAGGAGCCAATTGCCTATTCAGGATTGGATTAGCATTGCTGGCAAAAAACCAAGCCAATATTCTCTCCCTAGACTTTGATTCACTTGTCACCTATTTGAAAGATGATATGCTTGATGTTTATGAGGTAGAAAGAATGATGCTTTTTCTCTATTAGTTACTTATTTTTTTTAGGGCAATGTCACTGATCTACTAAGTGAATCACATAGCATTATCATCTCTCAAAAGCGTCTTGAAAAGCTAGCCAAAGATTATCAGATCGAAAGCACAAAGGCAGACAATGAAGCATGCTTGATTCAGTCTTTAAAAAAGGAAAACAGACTACTTGCCGAGAAATTCAAGAATCTTAGCAAAGAGAATCAAAAAACAAAAGAGGAGCATGCGCAGGCCGCAAAAGAATTAGAAATCAAAAGTAAAGAGTTGACACGAATCCAAGATGAACGTGATGCACTACGGCAACAAAACCAAGAGCTGAAACAGATGGTGGAACAGATATCGATCAAGGTTGAATCACACATGCAGTCTGATATGGAAAAGTTATATACAAAGAACCAGCTATTGACACAAAAGAATGCACAACTACAGGATCAATTGGCCGATATGGAAAATGTATTGATTGAGATAAAGCTGAAATATGCTTTAAGTGAAAGCGAAAGAGAGAAACTGAGTCAAAGACTGTGCGAATTAAAGAAATGTGTGAATTCAACTCTGTAACATACAGATGTGATGGTTAAATAAAATGTATATTTATTGATTATGTATCTTTGCCCCTTTTATTTCATTTATACTTGTTTAATTGAAATCTCTTGATCAAAAATAGATGTGTCATAGAAAGAAAGATAAGAATAACACGTCATCTGTATCAACATGATGACACAATGACTTTCATCTACACATGTTCTTTTTTCTGAATGAGGCACTGAATAAGTAGAGTAATTATCCTTGACCTTAAAACTGCAACTTGACAACTTTTTTAAATGGTTCACATGCACATGCGTTCATTCTATAATTCACACTTGAGTAAATTAAATGAAAAAGTAATCGAGTACCTCTTTTGTTTCCACCGAGTCAAGTCAAAGAACCTATCAAAATTTTTTCTTTGGTAGCAAATGTATAAAACAAGCACCTTGTATACACACTTTTTTCTTTTCTTCCTTCTTAAACCATGTTTGCTACCAAGATTCCTGTGTCTTCTTTACGTCCTGTGACAAAGCGTTTTTATGCAGCTGCTGCTACTACGGGGGTAAATTTTTTTTAATATGGACGAACTAGGGCTAATAGATAATTTATATATAGGCCATCAAAAAGACTGCACTGTATGATTTACATGTAAAACATGGGGGTAAAATGGTCCCATTTGCAGGATACTCTATGCCTGTTCAATATGGTAATATGGGTCTTATTGCTTCACACCTTCACACGCGTGAGAAGGCATCTATTTTTGATGTATCACATATGCTTCAGTCACGGTAAGTTGAAAGAAAGAAATCAAGAAAAAAAAAAAATAACCAGAGCATAGTGTCACTGGTAAAGATCGTAAAAAGTTCTTTGAGACACTTGTCGTCGCCGATTTGCACAATATGCCTGTAGGTCAAGGCACTCTATCTGTATTTACAAATGAACAAGGCGGTATCATTGATGATACTATCATTATGCAGCAAGAAGACAATCTATACGTCGTTTCTAATGCTGCTTGTGCTGATAAAGATATTGCTCATATTCGCAAGCATCTCACTGAGTTTCAAAATAAGGGAGGTGATGTTGATTTCAACATCATCACTGATCACTCTTTAATCGCCATTCAGGGACCCAAGGCAGCAGCTGCCCTTGAGGAGTTGGTAGGCAAAGACCTGAATGACTTTGGCTTTATGCACGGAAGACATATGGATATAGCTGGTGTGCCTTGTCACGTGGCTCGTTCTGGCTATACAGGTGAAGATGGTTTTGAGGTAAGAATGAAAAAAAAAAGAGATGGGCGGTATTTTAATTGTTAGTAGTTATCCATTCCTACGGAAGAGATTGTTACAATCACAGAAAAATTATTAGCGCACCCTGATGTTGAACTGGCAGGTCTTGGCGCTCGTGATTCTCTTAGACTTGAAGCAGGGCTTTGTCTTTATGGTAATGATTTGGATGAAACAACGACTCCTGTTGAAGCTGGATTAACTTGGACCATTCGTAAGTATAAGAACATTCAAACTAAGAAATCAAATATAGATCCCATTAATGAATTCATTTTATATAGCTAAATCTCGCCGAGAGACTGGAGGCTTTTTAGGCGCTGAGCACATTCTACCACAAATTAAAGGCGGTGTTACTCGTCGTCGCATTGGATTGATAGTCGAAGGTGCCCCCGCTCGTGGAGGAGCTGAAATTCTGAACAAGGAAGGCGAAGTGATTGGTACTGTCACTTCTGGTTGTCCATCACCATCGCTCAAAAAGAACATTGCAATGGGATACGTAAAGAATGGATATCACAAGAAGGGAACTGAATTAAATGTTAAAGTTAGAAATAAGGTGTACAGCGCTAATGTAACAAAGATGCCTTTTGTTGAGGCTAAATATCATAAATAAATAATTTCTTGATGCTATTTCTAACGTGTAACTTGAAAAATTATATTCTTAATCACAGGACGTGCAATTGATGAATTTATAATATTATACATGTAGTTCCCGTCCAATGGTATATCTGAGGCCGCTATTAATGTTTATTTGAAAAGGCGATACAATGCGACAACGCTATGACAATTGCAATTGTCGAACATGTCTTCTTTATAAACACACATGGACTGGGAAATCGTGAAATTGAATGCTCCAATGCAAGGCAAATAAGCCACTCGCAATTGTTGTCATGACTACACAATTACCATAGGTACCATCGTGCTCCTACTTTATAGAAAAAGGTAACGCTGTTCAACCTAGTACAAGTTTCACATTTACCAATCGTGATACTAACGATCGTCCGAACTGCTGGCATTACATAAGCCAATAGTAAAAGTAAAAGAAGACATGTTCCTCTACACAATGTAGCACTAGTCAGCATCTACTTTTTATAAAAAAAAAAGCAACTTACCAGGGAAAAGATCAATCGATCAATTGACATTATTGGTAATAATAGCGGGTAAACAGATTATTCCAGTCCAGAAATGATGTGTCAAAAAACGGGGTCATTATCAGTAGCATTCATCTCAGTTCTGTAACTGAAAACATATAAATAGGACACAAATTTTCATCTGATAACCCCCATCATTTCTTTACTGAACATGCTCAGGTCCCATTACCTTCTTTTACTTGCTCTTCTTTTCTGTCTTGCTGCCTTGGCCAAGGCTGGTAAACATGACGACAACGACGACGATGATGACTCTAAAGTATCTCTCGAATGGCTCATGGAACACCTTGGCTCAAGCAAAAACTATCCTTCCTACAAGTTCCAACACACTCCTGAGGATCCTATTACCAAAGACTATGACTTGGAGCAAATCCAATTTATCATTCGTCATGGAACAAGATACCCTACGGACGGCGATGTTGAAGGTATCCAAGCTGCCGTTGAGAAGCTGAAGGAAAGCAAAAAGAAATTGGAGTGGTTAGAAGACGTACACAGCTATAATATGCACTATGAAGGCCTCTTGAACACGCGTGGTCAAATGGAACACTACTTGATGGGTCGCCGTCTTGCTGTTCGTTTTCCAAAGTTTATCAAAAACTTGACTACTGATGGCATGGTCGTTCCTGAATTCGGTGCCTATTCTTCTTGGTCTAGCCGCACTACTCAATCTGGTCATGCTTTCACCATGGGTCTCTATGAAAATGTTGGTAAGCTTGGATCTGCCAACATGATGGCTGTTCCCTTATTCACCTTTAAGGAAAACAATGATTCCCTTATTGCCTTCCACAAAGCCTGTCCCAAATGGGAAAAAGAAGCCAAGCCTTTGGTCAAGAAGAAGACTGCCTTTACTGTGAAGCGTTATTTGGACCCCATTGCCTCTAGACTTTCTGGTAAACTCGGCTTGAATCTCACATCTGACGACGTCTTGAACTTTTACAGTGGTTGCCAATCTGAAGCTTCCATTTATGGCAAGGCTGATACGTTCTGTCAATTGATGACCAAGAAAGAACTTGAAGATTTGGAATATAACGAAGATTTGAAGCACTACTACAAGTACTCTTATGGTATTCCTGAAGTGAATGCTGATATGGCCTGCGATCTTGGCAAGAAGATTGTCGAAAACATCGAAAGCACGGACAAGGTAAGGCTCGACTTGAAGTTTGGCCACTCTGAAACCATGTTGCCCCTTCGTACCTTCCTTGGTCTTTTCCATGACAAGGATCTCTCTGAAAACACTCCCGAGAGCGAAATTGAGAACCGTCAGTTCCGCTTGTCTAAATTTGGCTTCTATGCCAACAACATCATGTTCCAAGTCCTTCGTCACAAGAAGACACAAAAGAAGTTTATTCGTGTCTTGGACAATGAAGAAATCATCAAGTTCCCTGGTTGTCAAAGTGAAATGTGTCCTGTTGAACAGTTCATGGCTTATATGAAACCTAAGCTCACTTGCAATTTCCAAAAGAATTGTGATCTTTAATTAACTGCATTATTTATTGATATAATAAAATGGTATATTATTATTAGCACGCACATGAATTATTACTATAACGCTTATTATGATGAGCGGTATTGTTTAATTGAACAGTCTGGCCTCTCAGAAACTCTGTCTTTTTATCATCCATCGTGGTCAATTTACTCGATAACTTGTCAAATATTGTATGGATAAGTGAATCAAATGCATTTTCGACATTGATGCTCTGTAGAGCACTTGTTTCCATAAACACCAGATCATTTACTTTTGCATACTCTAATGCTTCCTCTACTGTCACTTGTCGGTCTTTTTCTAAATCTGACTTGTTGCCCACCAGCATGAAGATGCTCTCTGAGTGTGCTTCGTTCGATTTGATCTCGCTTAGCCATCTTGGTATACTCATAAATGATTCTCTCTTTGTAATATCATACACAAGTAATGCACCTACAGCACCCCTATAGTATCTATACGCAGAAATGGTTCATCTCTCTATTTTTATTTTCATATTTAGATTTACCGTTTAGTGATACTTCGGTATCTTTCTTGGCCTGCCGTATCCCATATCTGCACTCGAACCCTTTTATCTTTAATGATTATATTCTTCATGCTCAAATCCAATCCAATCGTGCTCTTGCTTGCGAAATCAAATGTGTTGTGAATAAATCGACTCAGTAGATTTGTTTTTCCTACACCAGAATCACCAATGACGACTACTTTGAACAAGTAATCATAAGAGCTTTCTTCTGTCATGATAGTAATAAAAAGAAAAAGAGAATAAAGAAATTAAAAAAAAGGAAGAGAAAATGCATTGATGTATGACAAAAGTATCACATGAAAAAAGATCTCTTTATTGTTTTCTTTGAGTGATGGCAATCATAGCAGCCAGTGCAGCACCAATGCCATGTCCATCACGAGTGATACCAATGTTGATATGATTCACTCGTTCACCATAGAGCGCCTTTAATGCATCATTCACTCTTCTTGGGAAGTTGGGAAAGTGTTCCCAGACAGAGCCTTCCATACCTATGATAATAATCATCAGTTATCTCTATGGTCACATTTGTTTCTAATATACTCACTGATCGTCAATCCTTGTTCGAGCGCATCCTTCTTATCGATGATGGCACTGATAGCAGCAGCGACCAATCGAGCAGCACGACGGGCCACAAGGTCACAAATCGTCTTGACAATCTGACGATCGGTCAGAGTGGTGGATGAAATGTTCATGATAGATTCCAAGATATGCTTTGTTTCTTCTAAATCGACTGAATCATCCGACTCAATCGCGCTCATATAAGACGCTTCAAAGAAGTAAGGTGTGTTCAGTTCGGTCGAATACTGTCCGTCAAAGAGCAAGCGACGATCAAGAAAATCGACCATGATCAGACGCGCAATCTCACCGAGATAGAGACCAGAGACCATCTTTTCAAACACATGAATACCAGGATTGACTGATTGACGGTTCAGACGGTTATCATAAAAGGTACGTGGCAAGAACGCAAGGTTATTGTCTCCAAAGCTTCCCCATTCTGTGTTGATGATCATCTCGCCATCTCCATTGGGAGGTGATTGCGTATTGTACTTTTTGATTTCGCTGACTTGTTCCCAGTATGCAGCATTTGTACCTGTGCTGATGGTGCATGCAACCAGCGTATCCAGGCTTCGATAACTGTGAGCCAAGAGACACCCGACCGCTCCGTTCACGACAGCCTCGACGTTGATGTTGATATGACGACGCTTAAATCCAGTCTGTAAAAGCTCAGCAATGTTCTTGTTGTTGGCACCCGTGATCTCAAAGTCTTTGGTCCATTGGATGACGACAGCCTTATTCAACGCGCTCTGCTCGAGAGGGAAAGAGAGGACGAAACCGAGGGCTAAAGGCGACTTGATTTCATATTTACCCACAAAGCTTAAAAACGAATCTACGCTTTCGACGAGAAAATCAATCATGTTCTGGATCGATCCTTTCTTCAATGGATCGTGTATCACGTATTTCTGTTGACGAGTGCTGATACGCCCTTGGCCATGTAAGTTGACAAGATAGACGCGGACGTTAGAACCTGTAGACAGAGGTTGGTGTTACTTTCTTATTACGTCAATCCATAATGCAGTCTCTCACTGTTTTTTAAAAACTACTTACCGCTCACTTCTAAACCAAGATATTCACCCGTTTCTTGGCCGGTGGGATGTTTAAAGATCCATGAAGGCAGCATAGCCATATTAGATTCATTTGATTCTAAACCCGTTTTCATTTCCTCTATCAGGTTATTTCTAAACCCTTTCAACTGCTCCGTGGATAGTTTGAAGCAATCCTTCAACTCCTCGATGGCCTTCTCTTGACTTTCTGTACCGCCCAAAATGGGTCCATTAGAAAATGATTTACGATGCTCGGTAGACATTTTGTATATGGAAAAAAAAGAGAAAAAGAAAGAAAGAAAAAAAACAAAAGGTATAGCTTTTAAGCTGTGTGTATATTAATTTAATTTCCCGCAAAGATTTCCTACTGATAAAGTCCACATTAAGCAATCGTTATTAACCCGTGGCATGTTGTTTTATTTTATTATTGTCTGATAACCCAATTGCCACTAGTAGCAGGATTATATTTACTTTTTACAGTTGAACTTAGCATACGTTGAAGCATAGATACCGTAGGCTCTTCATTCTCCCAGTGGAAATACTTGGGTTCCCATTCGTGATTTGCTTCTGCTCTAGCCGCTCTTTCTTCTCTCTGTTTATTTTCAATCTTGCTCTTTTCGATACCAGCAGTTTGAGTGTCATTAGCTCGAATGGCCTCAGATACCTTTTGCCAGATCTTGCGACTTTCCATCTCATCTTGTTCGTCGATTTCCTTGATATGCATGGATGCAGGCGTGAGTTGTGTCACGTCCAGGAAAGGCTGGGATGTCTTGGAATTATAAGGCGTTATGGTTGATTTAGCGCTCCACTGACCTTCTATCTTGTAAATATATTCTTTAGGGTTGCTGTTGCGACGGATGTAGCACTTGAAATGATTCTTTTCTCCAGAAATCCAACCACGAGAGGTATATTCGATGGTACAGTATAAACCAGTAGAAGACTGAACATATGATGTACCTGTCAGTTCAACATAGGGTGCTATCATAAAGTTAACAAAAAAGCAGCCCCTCACGCTGTATTTTTTTTAATATTTACCTGCGTACCAAATACCATTCACGGTAACTGAGGGATATGAGAACATGTATGTTTCATCGTTGCGCTGTTTCAAAGTAAGGACAGACTGACCGACTTGGTCACAAATCAAAGAAGTGCTTGAAAAGCGAGTCTTTTGTCCAGAGTGACCATTCAAGACAAGACCATGCTTATCGTTCTTGATATAGAACCCGGTGATAGGCGGATGGTGGGACACTTGCTCACATAAAACTTCTGTCTCACCAGAACCGTTAAGGTCTCCCCAATGCATCTTGTACTGTTCTCCCAACACAGGGTTATAAGGTTTCTTTTCCCATTCACCTTTGGGTACACGACGAGAGTATGACGCGTTTAGAGAAGAGATGAACCATTTGACGAAATTGGTCATTCGTTCCACTTCGTCATCTGGTTTTGTAATATCTGTAAAAAGGTCCGGTTGTTGTGTCCAGTATTCACTAGGGAACTATAAGATGACATGTATAAATATAGATATGTACTTACGAGTATTCAATTAATGAAACAGGAGCCAACAGAAAAGCAGGACATGTTAAAGAAGATAAGTCGCCAGAAAAGGAAGCAAGCGACTTCAAAAAGGAATGAAAGGCTCCCTTTTGTTCAGTAGGGATCTTGTCAACATTATTCACTTCTTCGTTATTATCACTCATTTTTAATAGAAAAAGAAGAAAAAAAAAAAAAAAAGAAAGGAAAAAAGGAGGATAATTTATATTACGTCAAGTTAAAGCCACGCTCAGCACTGTCTTTCTCTCTCTTTCTCTCTTTTACTTTCTTTCTATTTTACTATTCTTTTATCCCTTCACATGGTTTATTTATGCGACTGAGTTAAAAAACTATTTTTATCGATGATGTTGTTGATTTGATATCTCTAATAGACTATATATATACACGTTAGCCACGTATAACTATAAATAAGTATTTACTTTTCAATAGAATGAGCCAAGACCCCATGATTGGCATTTAGCACTAAGCAACATACACTGGGATCAATATTAGGAAACATGGTCTGTAATGTCTGTAAGTCTTGTTCAAATTGTTCCTTTTGTTCTCTTTGCATAGGTCCCTGATCGGTCATCGGTCGAGGTGGAAGAGGTGGTCTTGATTCTTCTGTGGGTGTAAGTCCCTGAAAAATTTTGCCTACAAAACTTAGTGGCCTTTGCATAGTTTTTTGTGCTAATAAGCTTCCTTTTTCTAAAAATGCTACAGCTTTGGATGAATCGAGTAAGCCTTGGGTTGGAAGGCGAGGTGATGATCGAGATGGATGAAGCGCGTTTTCATAGCTGACTTGTTGCTTATTAAGACTAATCGAAGGTCTTTCCATCTTTAACTCATTCATCGTTTGTTCAATATTGCTATAATGATGATTCAATGATGTGCCTTTTTTTTTAATTGTTTTGCCATCATATGAAACCTTACCTATCAAATTCTTCCTTGGTAATAGATAATGACTTTGCTTCCATTGTTTCGATGAACGCTATAGCACCCATCTATATTAATATGTATAAGACATTATCCCATTGTCATTCTATTAAGATCATTACCAGGTTGGTTAAATAGTACCCTGCCTCGGCTTGTAATTGGTCTATACTTCTAAATCGATAAATATACCTATATCCAAATATTAGCTAATATCAAAGTTGAGAATGATATCATCCTTACTGTGTATTGGAAACTAGCCGAGGAGGGTTTGCTCTAATGATGACATAAATCAAAATCGGCAAAAATTTATCAGCTCCACCCTCTCCTTCAACATGCTTTATTAAGCCTAAATAACATGGTTACTTTATGGATTTCAAGCTGTTTTTCCCCTTTTTTTTTTACCAAATATAACTTTGCAACAATTGAGAATACAAATCAGTTTGTCTCTTGGTGCCTTGTAATTGTTCATCTTCAACAATTCTATAAATAATATGTTATGATTTTGTAAAATGGGTGCAAAACATTGTCTTACCAGACTCAGCAAATGTCAAAAAGGCTTCGTTATGTTCTGTTTCTGGTATATCCAAATGTCTTTCACGTATCCATCTGAATATACTTATTTTCTGATACAAAAGATCATCTCGTTCTTTATCGTCTGTTGTGCTCGGACAAAATGTACTTGTAAAAATCATTAGGCACTGTATATGCATGTATGACCTATTTTTTGCATATTTACGCATAATATAATCTATTCATGACCAACTTTTCCATGCCTTCTTTAGCATTAAAGAACTCTTGCTCTGACATATCTTTCCATATCTCATTTTCACGCATTTTCACATAGATGAACTAGATTGAATTGTTATTCTTGTAAATTATACAAATAGTCATCATTACATCTAAAAAGTCTTGAATGATCTTGACTTGTTCATTCACTGTCCATGGACGACGATCGAATGCTTGTAGAAAACTAATAAAAAAGATGAGCCATTGGTATTGTTTATATACAAACTTTACCTTTTAAAATATCGAGTTATCGGTTTCGCACTACGACTCTTCATTTGTTCCAAGAATCGATTAAAATCAAAGGGTATTTCTGTTTGTTGAGTTGGTTTCTGTTGTTCCTCTTGTTGGGTATCTAGTTGATTTGGTGCAAGAGAAGGTCTACGGGCTATATTGAATTCAGTCTCCGTTATTCATGCTTGCTCTCTCTTTTATAAACTAACCTTCATGATTATTTACTTGACTAAAGATATTCTCCACTTCTTTGTTATTATTATGACTATATGAAATATAAACAGATGTAAATAAAAAAATAGAAATGTGTACTTGTTCTTCTTACTCTTCATCATCTAAAGGTTCATGTATAAAATTAACTTTTTCATCAAACTCTTCTGTTAGTGTTTCCATTTCTTTATAGTTGGTATTATTGCTATTGTTGTTATCGTTGTCGTCCTTGGTATTGTTGTTATTGATGGTGACCTCTTGATTCATTAGGGTCATTCTCTAAAAAAACAAAAGGAAAAAAAAAAAAAAAAGAGAGATATGCGCTACTTGAAATAGAAAAACCTGATGATTTTGAGACCTGCTTGATCTCCTCACTTGTCAACGGTATTTGAAAAATGGGCCTTCTTTCTCTTCCTTTAAACAGCATTGCACATGAACGCGCTTTTTTTCTTTTCATTTCTATAATAATCATTCTTATTGACTAATTCAAATAATAAAGCAAAAAAAAAAGAAACAACTTGCTTCCTCTTTACTGATAAAGAATATATGATGTGCCTGATACGTAAAATGTGGTCAATAACCCCAAAAAGTATAAAATTCAAACCAAGCAATGAATCGAATACATGTGATTGTAGTAAAATGACACTTTATTATTCACACACACAGACACACACACATTATAGACTAGAGAGAGTTTATTGACTGGCCTTGAGCTTTTCAACGTATTCAATGTACTTTTGCTCAGCTTCTTCTTGAGACATGCCTATACGCAAAGTGTGAGCTTACTTAACAAAAAGTTAGTTTTGACTTACCCTTGAGCTTGGTCCATGCGTCCCACTTGTAACGTCCCTTGAGATCAAAAGTAGGCTTGGCTATACTATCATTAGTTATGATGAAAACAATGTCTGGATGAACTTACAAGTAAGGTTATCACCGACAGTAGCTTGCTTATAGAGAGCATATAACTCCAAGAGTTCGTCATTAGAAGGAGTCTTGGAGAGTTGCTTAACTTCTTCAGCAGCAGTGTTGAATTTCTTTTTATATATACCCATTTAGACAACATTCATCTCTAAGAAAAAAAAAACTTACATCGGAAGGCATGTTTAAAAGAATAAAGAAGAAAAAGAGGAAGAGGGGAAAATTTTTGGTTATGTATTTATACCCAATTTCTGGAGGCGGGGGGAACAGTAACGCGCGCGGTTGAGTTGTACAAGATTATCCCGAGTCAATTTCTAAAAGGGTTTATTTGTTTTGTACAATTAAATACGTTCAAGTGGATCTTGAACAGAGTTTTGAATAAAGCCATCACGGATCGCTTCCTTTTCTTGCTGCATCTTTTCTTCAATCTCCTTGACTGTTTCCGGTCCCCATTCGGCTGGGATGACCAAATTTAAGAAAATAGCCATGAGTGACCCGATACAGTATCCAGTATCAACAATGGTTTCAATAGCACTCAGGAACCCCTTGAGTGCCAAATTATCTCCAGAATAACTAAAGACATGAGTGAACCAAGTAGGAACCAAGGTGACACCTAGTCCAAGGGCCAACGAACAAGTCACAATAAATCGATCGCGTCGAGTCCAGTCGAGATAAGCAAGGATACGAATACCAGAAACAGTGACGGATGCAAAGAGGAAAGCATTCATGCCGCCGAGAACAGGTGCAGGAATGGCCAAGAAGACAGACGAGATCTTTCCAAAGATGCCAAAGAGCAAAATAAAGAAGCAACAGCAATATCCCGCAAGCCGATTGGCACAACGCGTCATGGCAATAACACCATTGTTTTGTGCAAACGTAACCACAGGCGTGATCGTCATACAGGCAGCCAAAAATGAATTGACACCGTCGGCAAGGAGACCACCTTGGATACGACGTTGGAACGGTTCTCCTTCAACTTCAACGCCAGATACATCACATGAGGCAGTGATGTCGCCAATACTTTCGAGCATATTGTCGAGGTACACGATCAAGAAGGGTATAATCGCTGGTCCATAGACCGTGATCGGAAACGTTCGTACCCAAAGGAAAGTAATGGGAGGAGCAGTGTCGATCGTGCTGTGATCAATATAGCCACAGGCTGCTGCAACAATCAAGCCAACAATCAAACCGATGATGATCTATGACATGTACATGTTTTCATATATTCGCCTCTTCTTTCGCTTTCTCTCTTACCTGTGAACTCTTCATGAAGGGTGAACCTATATTTTCAATCAAAATGATTGTGGCAAAGACTAAAAGGCCCAGTCCAAGGAATTGAGGACTACCCCACGGAAGCGGATGAGGTGCATTGATGCTAGGACATTTAGAATATAATCCGGTAGCAGGCATGGAAGCACAACCACCTGAACGATAGTTAGTTTTTGTTTATCTTCTTTTTTTTTTTGAAATTACCTGAACCACCAGCCCAATCCTTCAAGGCTGTACTAATCACGGAGCATCCGATCAATAAGATGGTTGTTCCGCTAACAATAGGTGGGAATAAGCGACGAATCGTCTTAGGTGGTAAAAAGCTCATGCCGATTTCAAATAATGAACACACCATTGCTTTTTAAAACATGTCAGTCACATCTCTCTCTCTCTTGTCATTTTACTTACCTGTTCCAAGAATGGCGCCCCAAGCACGAGGACAAGGTAAATAGTCAATTGTTCCATCTTCCAAGATCTGTGTCGAACAAAATCCTGTTGAATACATGTTTTTGATCACTGCACCTGTTGCAGGAATACTGGCAAAGTTGGGACCAACTACACTGAGTAAACCAGTTCCAATGTAGTAACCTTAAAACGGGAATCAGAAACAAAATGAAGCGCATCGGATCGAATGTACCTGTCCTCCATATCTTGAAACGAGTGATTTGAATGAGTGATAAAAGGGCAGATGTGATCAAAGCAGCTGACAGCAAGTATTGTTGATCCTCTCTTTCCAAGTTTAAGGCAGTTGGACCAGATCCGACCATAATGAGGATTGGTGTGACAACTCCGCTAACCTGTCAAATAATTTATTGATTGTGGTCTGATATATATATACACCTTTACTTACCATTGCCAAAGCATGTTGGAAGCCCATGACAAGGGCTAATCCCAATGGTAATCGACTGTTCAATCCCCAAAAGGGTGCATTCTTCTTTTCCTTTACGAGAATGGATGGCATACACATCATCTTCCAGTCAAAGGCACCCCACCACCCTTCCTTGGTTCCAACTTGAGACTTGAAGAGTTTCCATAGATTGGGTGATTCTGCTGGTGGATAAGCTTCAAATTGTGTCTGCGTTGTACTTGGAATACTCTCAGGAATCGTAGGCGATGGTGGCCCCGTCTTGCTGTTGTTTTCCATTGAATGTCAAAAAAGAAAAAGACAATAAGAAAAAAAAAAAAAGAAAAAAAAACTTTTTTGTGTAGATGAAAGTCAATTTAAGCCAATGAGGATATCTTTAGATAGGTAATTCCCGCTTAGGATCCCCTTTTTACACATGTCATTAGACCTTTTCCTTGTCTTCTTTTATCTGATGAAAAAAATAAATAAAAAAAAGGCACTCATCCAATATGAAAACTTGTCGTTTATAATTTACACTATATTGTTTTATTTTATGCCGTCAAAAACATCAATCATATTTGCATGTTGGCTTTTTGTCTGTTTGTTGTTATTTTCTCTCTCTTTAATCTAGTATGATTTAGTGAGCAACTTCCTCGGGTTCAGCATCATAAGCGGCCAATTGTTGACTGATATCAGCTTCAATTTCAGGAACCTACGAGATATCATCAATATACATCTTTTATATCCAATCAATAAACTTACAGCAGGAGCAGGAGGAAGCTTCAAGTCCTTGGCAACGTTGTCGTCAGTGGTAGCCTACGGATTTCACAATCAGCATACATTTATACACTTTTTTTTTTTTTTCTTACAACAGGTTGAGGCTTGTAAGCTTTCAATTCCTTCAAGAACAAATCTTGAAGAACATCTAATACAAAAAAGTGTTTGTCATCTTGATTTTATTGACTTGTTTTTATTTACCCTTCTTCATGACAGCAGCAACAGAGAAGCTACGAGCGGCCATAGCAGGAACGGCAACGCGAGCAGGCTAGCAAGTAGATTAGTAATGTTCTCAATAAAGAAAAAAAATGCTTTTTTCTTTCTCTTTAATTACTGCTCTTATTTCTTTACCTTGACGGCAATGGAGCGAATGGCGTTACGAGCGATGGACATGTTTGAACAAGAAAGAATAATTTTGAAGTTCAAATAGAAGGGTATAAAAATCAGTGAAGCTGGGGCCTAATTTTAGAGGCAAAAAGTCCCACCCTGGATTTTGTATCCGCGCGCATGGCTCGGCACACTCAGTGAAAGTGATGACGTAGAATGAAGGGCCAATCATGTGCCTTCTTTCTTTCTTTTGCCCTTAACAAAAAGTTTCCAAAATGAATAGAGAGAGCTCTCCTTTGGTTTCATTCGTATCTTGCTGATAATAATAATTTTTATTAAAGAGGGATAGCTTAAGAAACTGGTAATAGTTGCTCTTTTTCATATCCTTTTTTTAAGCCACAAGCTATCTCTTATAAAAGTGATATATTTTTTCAAGGGAATTGATTTGCATGATGCCTGTTTCAGAAGCAACATAATTTATCAAAAGAGAGAATGATTTTACAAAAAAAAGAACAACATATCTACCCGATAATAATGATTGACAGATACCTATAAAAGAGACCGTGTCCAAAGATATTCTCAGCTTGATGTGAAAAACATACAGCCATAAAAAGATTTCACAAATCTAGATCGGGTTTTTGATGTACAGAAAAAAAGATCAAAGGGGATTTATGCAGTGGGTTGATCGGTTTCACAAATTGATACAGTTATGCGTACACATACGGGATCATTACGTAATAGTTTGGTCCTTTATATGCTAATGGGGATATGAATTATGGTCTGAATTGCTTGATAATTAAAGTATTATTGTTCATTCAGATGCTGTTGAATCGGTATGGCGTGAACACAAAAAGACAAGGTTTGCAAAAGAGATGGTTTATACGTCAATGGAACGTCAATTAAATGACATTATGAGCAGCATAAATCAGGGATTGATGACATTACACGGATTTACATCATCGCCTCTTTTTTTATATAAAAGACTGTTATTCTTGTTTAATTAAACTACTCATCATCTTCTTACACTAATATATATTTTTTTTAAAAATCATGTCTGGTATCAGCAAGGCCGCAAGCAAGTTTGGAGAAATGGTTGGAAAAACTGGTGCTCCCGTATTCATAAAGTCTGACAATGTTATTGACCTCATCATCCACGATCATAACGAGGCCAAAGCGCTCTATGAACAGTATAAGCAAACTCAAGATAAGGATAGCAAGATGAGCATCTGCAACAATTTAATCAAAAAGTTGGTACAACATGACGAAGTTGAACAACTGCTGGTATATCCTTTATTAAGAGAAGACATTGGTGGTTCCGTTGGTGAAGGTCACTACGAAAGAAGCTTACACGAACATCAAGATCACAGAAACTTACTTTACAATGTGAAGCAATCTGACATCAAGACCGACGCCAACTTTGATCAAAAATTGGATGAAGCCATGAAGTCTGTTCTCGATCACGTCAAAGTTGAAGAAAGCGAAGTATTGCCTCTTTTGAGAGAAAAGATTAGCGAAGACACTTTGAAACGTGTAGGTGCTTCATTCAAGGCTCATAAGGCAACTGCTGTTACAAGACCTCATCCAGATGCTCCTGCCCAAGGATTCCCTGCTGCTGCGGCAAATGTCTTAACTAAGCCTTTTGATATGCTCAAGGACTTTACTGAAAAATAATCTAATTCATCCCTTTTTATGTAATAAATATCGCTCATTTTTCATTCTTTTGCACAAACCATGCTTTCGGGTGATGAATCAATTTACAGTGAAGATATCTCCCTTTGTCCCAATCTCAAATGAAAATAGTGCATAACTAAAAAAACAAATGAAATATCCCAGATTTGTCCTCTCCTTCTGTCAACATCAGTATGCTGCAAGTGACAGAAGTGGACAGATTATCCCTCGGCATAGAGGAGGCCAGTAAACAAACACCAATGGTGGCTTCATGTTCTTGCTTGACTGCTGCAATATTCGTGGCTATTTCTCCGATTAAATACTATCGATAAGAGTTTGCTAGTGTCTACCTAGAAAACTTCTATTCAAAATATTTACCTTCATTAGCCAATAGAGCTTTATGACAAAGGGCACTTGTTCGGCTCTTTAGTCAAATGAAGGCTTGATCGTCAGGCTTTGCTCCAGTCAAAGCTCATAAGCTGATCCTTCTGGTACGTATCTGATGGACCAGAGGCGAACAGTTTTCTCTATTTTATATTTTGCGTATGAAGTCAATTAAAACATTTGGTACAAATCGAAATTGCTTATTCTTTTATACCTGCCGCATGGACAAAAAAATCCTTCACTTTGCCGAAAGTTTGCATGTTGCCAATGGAGTAGGCGTCTGCAATGGCTTTCAACATCGACAAAGAGCCGAACAATCCTTCATGATGGTCGAAGCTGTATTGGAAACTATCGATACTATCAAAATACTTTGATGTCTCCAAAAGCAGTACTTCCAGCTTTCCATAGCCATGCAGGCTTATGATACCATCTGTATTGTACAATGCTGTTTCGCCGTCGACTTTAGAATTGCTGCTGCTTCTCGCCATAGACCAAAGCTGGGATTCTCCAGGATTAAACTGGGTAACATCAGTGCTGATAGCCGCACAGACTGCCTTCAGGAAGAGGCGTAGCAACATGTCGTTAAACATGGCTTCCTCCTCCTTGATGTCTTGTACCGCACTGTAAATGTTATGACTATTGTGCAATATATGAGTTTCTTGTTTACTTTATCTTTTGAATAATATGGAAAAAGAAACATTGCTTTGCTTTACTTTGCTCAAGTACGTCTTCCAAAAAAAAAGCCAACGGTATGATTATCAGCATCTGGTAGTTGCCGTAGGTTCTTCTTGAATTCAGGAAGGCTTGACTACAAAAAAGGTTTTATAAAAGAATCATGAGTCACCAAAATCTCTGAGTTTACAGCTTTTACTTAAGGAATATGGCTACTCACACTGTTCATCACAGTTCTAATATAGTTGGTGACTGTAGTGATGGAACAGTAAGATATCTTGACTGTACTAAGAAACTTTGCATAATGGAATATTCCAGAAAAATAGTGTTTATTATTATGTAAAAAGAATTGAAGAATATACAAATGAAATGATGATATGTTTTATAGGAGAAAATTAGGGAATTTAGTCAACTTCTTCCATCTTAGAAGCTTCGTTGTTTTCTTCAGGAGCTTCTTCCTTGGAGGCTTCTTCAATAGGAGTATCTTCTTCGTCAATACTTAAGCCAAGAGCAATCATACGGTTAATACGTGTGGCGAATGAGCTAGGATCATCAAGAGAGAAACCAGAGGTCAAGAGAGAAGTCTCGTATAACAGACTCACAAGATCCTTGACGGTGCGATCATTTGAATCAGCAGCAGCCTTAGCCTTGAGAGCTTTGATGATGGCATGGTTAGGGTTAAGTTCCAGATTCTTCTTGGAAGCCATGTAACTAGACATGGTGGAATCACGGAGAGCCTGTGCCTTCATGATACGTTCCATATTAGCAGACCAGCCGAATTGACCAGTGGTCAAGACACATGGAGAATCAGTCAAGATTTGAGAGAGGACGACCTTTTCGACCTTATCACCAAGGATTTCCTTTACAGTCTTGCAAAGACCTTCGTATTCCTTCTTTTCTTCCTCACGCTTCTTCTTTTCTTCCTCGTCTTCTTCAAGTAATTCGGCACCTTCCTTAGTAATGCAGACCAGCTTCTTACCATCGTATTCTCTTAATTGTGTAGTAGAGTATTCATCAATAGGATCAGTCATCAACAAGACTTCAATGTTCTTCTTCTTGAAGCCTTCCAAGAAGGGAGAATGTTCGACAGCAGTGCGAGACTCGCCCGTGATGTAGTAGATGTTCTTTTGCTTTTCAGGCATACGAGTGACATAGTCCTTGAGAGAAGTCATTTCATCGCCAGACTTGGTAGAGTAGTAACGCAACAAGTCAGCAAGCTTGGCACGGTTCTGAGAGTCTTCGTGAATACCGAGCTTGATGTTCTTGCTAAAGGCTTCGTAGAACTTGTCGAATTGTTCCTTGTCTTCAGCGATTTCTTGGAACATCTCAAGACACTTCTTGACCAAGTTCTTACGAATGACCTTCAAGATCTTATTCTGCTGAAGCATTTCACGAGAGATGTTGAGAGGCAAGTCTTCAGAGTCAACAACACCCTTGACGAAGCTGAGCCATTCAGGGATCAATTCTTCACAGTCATCCATGATGAAGACACGGCGGACGTAAAGCTTGATGTTGTTTCTCTTCTTCTTGGTTTCAAACATGTCAAAAGGAGCACGTCTGGGGACAAACAAGATAGCACGGAATTCGAGTTGACCTTCGACAGAGAAGTGCTTGACAGCCAAGTGATCTTCCCAGTCATTGGTAAGAGCCTTGTAGAATTCAGCATATTCTTCAGGCTTGACATCTTCTGGGTTACGGGTCCACAGGGGCTTGGTCTTGTTGAGTTCTTCCTTTTCAGTTACCGTTTCCTTCACGGTCTTCTTCTTCTTCTCATCCTTCTTGTCTTCTTCGTCCTTGACTTCTTCAATCTTGGCACCTTCTTCAGAGACGACTTCCTCTTCATCATCAGAGACTTCCTTTTCAACTTCCTTTTCAACAACAAGTTGAATAGGATAAGAAATAAATTCAGAGTGCTTCTTGACAATATCCTTGATTCTTCTCTCTTCAAGATATTCAAGTTGATCTTCCTTCAAGAAGAGACGCATTTCGGTACCACGACCAAGAGAAGGGTTGACTTCATCACGAGTGATAGTGAAAGAACCACCAGCGGCAGATTCCCAAATGTATTGTTCGTCATCGTTATGCTTGGTGATGACTTGAACCTTATCAGCAACAAGGTAAGCAGAGTAGAAACCGACACCGAATTGACCAATCATGGAGATATCCGCACCAGAAGAGAGGGCTTCCATAAAGGCCTTTGTACCAGACTTGGCAATGGTACCCAAGTTGTTGACCAAATCAGCCTTGGTCATACCGATACCAGTATCGCGAATGGACAAGATGTTGTTCTTCTTGTCGGGGATGATGCGGATATAGAGTTCCTTTTCGCTATCAAGCACAGAAGGGTCCGTCAAGGATTGGTAGCGAATCTTGTCCAAGGCATCAGAGGCGTTAGAGATCAACTCACGCAAGAAGATTTCCTACAAGATGTTAGAGATGCTCATTTATATCATGGTGAATATATACTTTACCTTGTTGGAATAGAAGGTATTGATGATCAAACTCATCAATTGAGAGATTTCAGCTTGGAATGAAAAGGTTTCAGTTTCGGCGACCATCTTGTGAAGGAAGAAATCTAATCGAAAGAAAAGCTAAAGAAGAAAAAAACAAAAAAAAAGAAAGAAGGATGCTCTTATATACTCTGTTTGATTCTATCATCCTGGTAGTCGCTCGAACCTGCCAGAAAAAATCGGACTTTTAATTTACACGTAGAAAAGGGAAAACAATGGGCAAAATACCAAATAAAGCAAGTTATGGACGCTTCCCAGAGAAACGCAAAGAACAAAAACGCCAAAAAAAATTTATTTTGCTAGTCATCCATCTCAAGGTCGTCTTCTCTATTTTCGTTTTCTAAAAATGTGATTTGTGTTGCTGGAAGGGATTGTTGGTACATATCTTGTTGTCCTCTGCCTACGATGGAGGCATTTTCTGGCATGTAGTCCCATATTTGAAATAGTATTGGCCTTGGCAGGGACCTGAAGGCTGCTGTATGAGACACTGCGCCAAAATGCTGAAAGATGTAATGCAGTGCTGCTTGCTGCAATCCTTTTTGTTCTGAAAGGCTTGCGCTGTGATAGATTTTACTTGCTGTTTCAATATCTATTTCGTTAAACAATCTTCTGACACACAGGGCCGAGAGTCTAGGCACCATATAGATATGAGCCATTACTAACAAATCAGAAACCAGTTCTGTTGGAAATTCGTTTTCGTCTTCTATTGAATCTGAGTACAGGTACTTTACAAATCCTCTGAGTGTTGACAAAGGTTCAGCAATCGCAATCTTGTTATTCACTGCTTCTGACATACCAGAGTCCCACAGGCTCACAAAATAGGGCCATCGAGCGAGAAGGATCAGACGATGGACGGATATGCCAGGTTCGTCTGGTTCTATAGATGAGCAAATAGTAAAGTTTGGCTCTTGTCCCTTCTTGTTTTCTTCTTTCATTAGCCTAAGCAAATCATGTCCCAGTTGTGGAGGTGGTACAGGCACGACACCGACTTCCTCCAGATCTACCCGCAGCGTCATCGAATAGAATTCTTCGGGGTCGTCTTCATTTGTGCCAAACAGATAAAAGTATTTGTCATTTTCAGTCATTGAAAAACAGTGCCAGCTGCAAGTTTCATATCGCTCCCCTAATTCACGACACTGCCACTGCATACATGACAAATCCAAGGTCCATAATCCAGTTGCAGGAGCGGTGATCACAGCTTCTCTAAATGGTATGGTTACCAGGACAACTAATTGATCGCCACATATTTGAGCAAATCGCTGACCAAACAACAACGACGGTGAAGATGTTGACGTGATGTCGAGTTGTGTCATGTTATCGGGCCTGTATAAATCAATAAACGTAAAATCATTGGATCGACTCATATCTTCCCGCAGACCTCCATACAGGTACAATCTTTTGTTATACACAAAACTCATATGCTGTGCTCGTCTCGTAAATGGTATCGGTCTTTCCCATTCCCAGGTCTGCAAGTTTAAAACCAGTAGGGTGTCTGCAAAAGAGGATGTCGAGTCTGCATACACTCCTCCTGCAATATAGAGCTTGTCTTCAAAAATAGTTGCCGAATGTTTAATGCGTCCTTCAGGAATAAATCCAGCCGTCTCTGGATGATGCCAGGTGAGCGTATCGAGGTCGAGTACGACAATGTCATTAAAGTATCGATCTTCTTCAGAATTGCCGCCAAAAATAATTAATTTATTTCCGTTCCATAAGGTAGCTGAGTGATCGTGGCGTTTGATAGGTGGCTCTCCTTTTGTATAAATCACTTGTGTCCAATGGCATGTGTCTTTGTACTCAAGTTTATACAATTTATTAAAGATTTCATCGGTGTATTGATCAAATCCGCCAAAGACATAGACGCTGTCGCCAACTGTCGTAAGTGAAGCTCCAACGAGAGAACCAAGTCTTTCACCCGTGGTGCGTATAGGTTGCGAGTACTCTACCATGAGAGCACCATTGGAAGAAGGTGTACGATCTCTTGAAGGAATGGTGACATGAGGTGAATTGGGGTGAGGACTGTTCATTTTATTATATCGAAAAAATGCTTAAGTAATCAAGGTAAAGAACGTATGTAAAGGTAGAATGAGCACTTGTTAAGAATAAGTTTAAATAGTCTTTACTTATCCCTTATTTGACAAAATGTAAAATGTAAAATGTAAAATGTGTGTAAAATGATTTACACTTTAAATTCATCCCAAAATGAAATACTCAATTTTATAATACAATATATATGTGATATTTAAACCAATCAGATGCAGACTTATAGACTGAAGGAATTGGAGCCACAAATAGGGTGTATTTTACACAAGAGAGAAAAGAGCATTTAAGCTGTCCCTTTTGTTACCTGACATTTAACATGTATTTGATAAAATAGCTGTTGAAGAAGAAAACAGAAAGAAGGAAAAGAAAGAAGAAGGGTGCTTCAAAGATGTCACACATACATTTTGCATAATATTGTACTTTGCATGAAAGTTGGCCCATCTGAGCTTGTGGCATTATAAGTTTAAAGATATTCCTTTACAAAGTAGTCATGGTGTAGCCATTACAATATGAATATGCTTACTAGAGAATAACTACTGTTTTTGTTGAAATGCGTAAAGAAGGCAAGTAAAAGAGAAAATGTTTTTCATTGTTTTACAAATCCAACACTGTCAGACGCATCTTTCATTCATCGTAATACTGATTACTAAAAAAGACATTTGGTTGTCTCACCACTTTGCATTTACTGGACATTGAATCTTTCGGAAGGAATTTCCCATAGTGATGATGGTTATGGACCTAAAATATTTGCTCAGTATCTGTGCTGATGTATAAATCTGCTGTTAAGCTGATTTAGAGTGATGCTTATCAATTTCAGCTGACTCTTGTTTGTAAAATCAATAATGACATTGCGAGACAAGAACAGCGATGCATTTAGATTTCCCAGTTATTTAATTCCATGCTATTTCCAACTGACAGAGTCCTGCCACCTAAAGTACCCTCCAATCCTGTAAAGATAACATTGTCAGGAGAGCTACTTTAGAGCTTTCTTTTGAGCTACACTCTGGTAGCTGAAGCTGATCTCAACCACTTGTATCTTTGACTCTTCATTTGTAGCTCAAGAAGCTGTCCCTCTGCATTTGTTTTTGGAATTGATCTTGTATATCTTTATCAGTGAGGAATTACTGATAGTTTTGAATTGGAAATGAACAATGAGTAAACGACAGCTTCCAATTATAAACAGGAAGTAAAGAAAAAAGAAAAAAAAAAAAATACTATCAGGATGATGTCACTCTGTCTGCAGACTCTCTCTTTTATATATAATATGACTTGGACAAGTTATGATAAGCTCTTTGGGTACTCTATAAGCCAACATCAGTGCTAATATACAACAAGCAATGGTTATTTTAGTATTTTAAACTTCTTTATTGATTCATTATGGGCCGTGCCTACCACAATTGCCGTTGCCTCCACTCCGACCTCGGATGTGATTACAGGCGCTTTATTTTCAAATACTTGGTAAATTGAGACTGGAATCACAGTGCTCTCCTTTTTTTTTTTTTTTTCCTTTTTTTTTTTTTTTTTCCTTTTTTTTTTTTTTTTTCCTTTTTTTTATTTTTTTTCCTCTCTTTCTTCTTTTCTCTTTTTTTTTATTTTTTTCTCAATAATCTTTAAACCCTTCTTTTAATAAAAAGAAAAATGGCTACTAAACCACAAAATAAGACATATCAGTTTAAGCTTGTGCTTTTAGGTAATATAAACAGATGAATAATAACACACACATGTACTAATCCCCTCCATCCATAGGTGAATCTGCTGTTGGAAAGTCTAGGTAATACTAATAAAATATAACGAGATGAAGAAACTAATGTACCACATTCAAGCTTGGTAATGCGTTTTGTAAAGGACCATTTTGACGAATACAGAGAAAGTACTATTGGAGGTGAGTCTTCTTTATTCTATTTTATATTTAAAATACTGAAGAACCTATTAGCTGCTTTCTTGGCACAGACTATTTCATTGGATGATAATACGACAGTAAAGTTTGAAATTTGGTAAGAATAAATACGCTATAAAGGAGCCCTTTTACTTATACTATCATTTAGGGACACAGCAGGACAAGAGAGATATAAGGTGAATACGGAGAATTAAATGATGACATACATTAATCATTAGAGCATATAATAGAGTTTGGCACCAATGTATTATCGAAATGCCAACTGTGCTGTTGTTGTTTACGATATCACACAAGCTGTAAGGAGTCTATCTCTTATTGTTATCTTTTTATTTATTTTATATAAATAGTCATCCTTGGATAAAGCCAAAGCCTGGGTTAATGAATTGCAACGTCAAGCGGACCCTAATATCGTAATTGCATTAGCGGGTAATAAATCTGATTTAGGAGCAAGAAGAGCTATTGAAACAAAGGTATACAAATAATTCACATATATACACTTTTATACTCACTTTTTAAAAGACTGCTCAAGAATATGCAGATGAAGCTGGATTATTATTCTTTGAGACTTCCGCAAAGACAGCCGAGAATGTACACGAATTATTCCATGCTATAGCCAAGAAAATGCCACTTGATCAATTGGCTGATGGTTCTCGTAATGGCAGAAATAAAAATGGATTGAATGCTCGTGGTGTTGATTTGGAAAATGCAGGCAATGCTGCTAATGGTTGTGCCTGTAAGTGTTTCTTAATGAATACTTATACATATTAATGTTGTAATTGTAGGTTAAATACAACCCTGTAGCCATTCACATATTCCATTTAATTAATGATCATTATAACAACATCATATCTATACTCACACCACCCAGCTTACCTTACACACACACACACGCTCACCTATATATCAAATTCAAACACATTTTTACAGCGAGATAATGTACTCTTAACTACCTTCTTTTTCTCCTCCCCTTTTCTTTTTCCCTACTTTGGTTTCTTTTTCCCCCTTTCCTTTTATCTTTATAAAGAAAATAAAACATCATGTTTAATATAAAGAGTGTACGTTTATTATTATTAGAGAATGAAGGGTAATTAGAAAGAAAGGGATAAAGTTATAATAAATAAATGCAGTGAATAAAAGGTATACACATGTGTCTATGATACATCTTCCTTCTTTTTTCGTCTTTCATCTAGACTTCCTCTTGGACTGCCTCTTGGACTACCACGTCTACTACCTGTCTGTTGCTGTAACCATAGTGTAGCAGCCGTGCCGCTTTCCACAGGGCCATCATGAATCACGTACTCTTCTTCATCTGACTGTTCATGAATCACAAACCCGAGACGTGACCTCGACCGTTGGATGTCCGCAGGTGAAGGCGAGCGATCCATGAGCCCCGATAGGTTAGGCGCGCTTCCTGTTCGGGCAGTCAGGTTGGACGAGCTGCCATTACGGTTAGCCAGGCCGAGTGCGGACGTTGTCCTGAACGGCAAAATGCCGCCTTCGACAATACTGTGTTCATGAGGAAAAAGTGTACTATGACTATCGCCACTGTACCTCTTCTTACTCCAGTACTGTTTCGAGATCACGCTTGGCGTTTTGGTGGAAGGACCCAAGGTGGCAGGTATGCTGATCGTCACCATCTCAGAAGTATTTGAAGGCTCATCCAATGAATCGAGTGAGACATCTGTCGTGTTGACCGAGGTATATTGTCCATGGTGGTTTATCCACTGTCGGATCATGATGGTGGCCCTCGAGATCGATTTTGTCAAAGCAGACAGGAATCGCTTTTGAGTGGACAGGTCATTATTACTACCCAAGAGACCGCCACTGGCGCCCAGGTTGAAGCTGCGTCGTTTACGCATCTTTTTGCAAACGAAAAACATAAACAGGATGGCGATCAGGATGATAAAGAAAATAACGCCTAGGACGGCTGCAGATATCTTTTCCCGTTCTGGCACAGACTCGACCCTGTGTCCATCTGTCACGCCTACACCGTCTGCGATTTCGTGTACGTCTTCGTCGTCTGTGTTGTGGCCAAGAAATCCATCATGGTGATCTTCCAAAGGGATCTGATTGGCAACATGCAACAGCATGGCTCCGAGTGTCCAAGAGACTTGGATATCGTTGATCGTGTCGATGCTCTGAAAGAGGGGATGCCAGTTCTTTGATTCGACGCTCTGCTTTACCTGCTCTAGCAACTGTTCATCCTCTGTCAAGTTGAGATGGCCACTTGGATTATTGATACGAGGAATCTGTATCCCCTCATGCAGGACATTCACAATCCAAGCGGACTTGAAGCATTGCATCTGATACCTGTTCAGCTCCATCTGTGACACGTCTTTGTGCTCCTCTATGACCGCGTTCCAGTCTTTGCTGCAGTATTGTGTTGCCTTTTCTTCATATTCTGTAAAATCATATACACCACCCAGTCCAAGGATATCATGTGTTGAATACCAGTATTCAGAAATACCCACAAATTTGTTCACCGACCAGTCAATGTGAGGCGTATGAACACCGTTGAAGAGACAGGGCTGGGTGGGACAGGCAGCATCTTTGTTCAGTAAAGGTTCGGTATACTTGATGCATTCATTAAAGTCACCCGTTCCATGTAGATATAACGGAATGCTTGTCGAGTGAGAATCAGTCAGGTTCAGATTGAGAGGCAAACAGGGATCTTGAAGATGTAGCAGGTGATGCTCGTCCAGCAAGTGCTTTTGCTGCTCCTTTCCATTCACTTCCGCAAACACCTCCTCTACACGTTTTTCTAAATACCGTCTTCTGGCCTCATTGCTACCGTATCCTAAAAAGGTAGTAACAAAGACGTCATATTCAACCGTTCTTCCGTCCAGCGTCCTCAGTGTGACCTGAGTCAAATCGTCTCTGTGCTCTTCCTTTTGGTGATGCTCTGGCTCAAATGCGATCTGAGCAGAGGCCCCACCCATATCCAAAAATCCAAACGTGTGATGCTGTTCCTCTGGCTTTTTTGGTTGCTGATCAATATAGGCCTTGATGCTCGTATCAAATCCGCCCATCAGATAATTCACGGCCACCCAGCCGTAGACACCTTCGAGTTCACCAGAGATAATCCGAACGTGGGCTTCGCAGTTGCTCATGAAGAAATGTGAATTTGTGTGGATGTAGTCGCAGGTTGATTTGAGTAATGCTTCTTGCTGATCTTGTGGTAATAATCGCATACCGGCTGTGGCCATCAAGAAGATAGGTGTACTTGATTGATTCTCTTCTGGAACGACCTCTTTAGCAAAGTTGAGCAACATGTCAAGATGCTCACCTACTTCAGATGGTTTTGATCCATAGGTGGATATGCCTATATATAATTATATATAAAATGCGCGCCTTTGAAACAATGTGTATTACCTGGTTCCTCTCGTGAAGTCCATTTCAGACCGTTATAGTCAGCTCTTTCAACAACAGGTATCTTTCCTTTCAGTTCATCTATAGTGAATGCACTCTTTGCATGTTCATGATCTTTCCAAGAGTAAATATAGACTCTTGAACCAGATGAACCAGCATCTATAATGACACCATATTTTCTATTCTTTTTCCAATCTTCAACTAATGGTCGTTTAACATCAAGTGACATTCTCTTTTTGTCTGTGTTCTCTCTTTTATTCTAATGAGTCATCTGTGACAGATTGTGTGTTCGTTTTATTAATTTACCTTTTTTAGTAATTAAAGGAAAGTGGGTCAGAGATAGAACAAAAGAGAGAGAGAGAAAGACAGGATAAAAGAAGAAAAAAAAAAGATACACTCTAGTTACCTTGGGTACCTCAATTAACTTTGAATCTCAGACAAGAGCTGTTCAATGTGGCTCAAGAAGAATAAAGAGTAACCGTCAGCCCTTTATTAATGTTTGTCTCACCAAAGAAGATAAAAAGAGAGATGAGTGATGAATGATGATGATGATGACCCTTTTTCTTTTATCGTCATTTTCTGTATTGATTGGCCAATCATTTGCTTTTATAAAAAGTCCCACAAAATCTTTTTTTTTTTTTCTCTCTTTTTCTCTTATATCTGTTCAATGTCTGATGCAAAGCAAGTCTCCTCAAGACGATATTGGGGTGGCATATTGGCATTGTCCGGTGTCGTATTAATATGGGTTACATCATCATTTGCCATGAATGTAAATAGTGTATCATTCTATATCTTATTTTATTTACCCCCACTTTCAACAGAGCCTATTTGGAGAATTGAATTATAATAAGCCATTTTTAGTGACTTATCTCAATACAGCCACTTTTTCATTCTATCTTTTACCATTCTTATTAAAAAGAAGCAAGCGTTCGAAAAAGTAAAAGATACAAGTATTAAAAGATATTCAATCTTATTCATTGTTTCTACATAATAGATTGCTTAATAATCAGAGTACAAAGGTAAATATCCCATTGCATGATTTCAAAAAAGGAGATCATGTATAAAAAAGGAAATTAGATGGCAGAGAGAGAGAGAGACACGAAATGATGTGTATGTGGTACAATAGACTGATCACTTAAATACAATAGACCTATGCCGCAGTACAATCAACATCTACAACCACAGAAAAGCTATCAACAGTCCAGACAATCCAGTTGAGTCTAACCTTTTGTATCCTCTGGTTCTTTGCCAACTATACAACGAATGCAAGCTTAGCTTATACCACAGTTGGAAGTAGCACCATTCTATCTGCCATGTCAGGCTTATTTACTTTAGCATTTGGCGTCTTGTTTAAAGTAGAACAACTCAATGTGATTAAATGTGCAGCCGTACTTATTAGGTAGGAGGGTATTGAATAATGATGATCATCAATGAACACAACTCCATAGCTTTCTTGGTGTCATTCTCGTATCTTATTCCGATCACATTAATGATCATACCCAGGCTTCATCTCCACTGGTAGGTGACGTCCTGGCCTTATCTGGCGCCTTTTTCTACGGCTGTTATACTATTCTACTCAAGTTAAAGATTGGCAATGAGGACAGAATCGATATGCCTCTCTTTTTTGGATTTGTCGGTGCATTCAACATCTTATTGCTTTGGCCACTAATGCCTATACTCCATTATTTGGGACTAGAGACATTTGAATTGCCAATGAATGGTACACTTTGGGCCGTCATCTTTTTGAATGCGTTCATTGGTACCTTCTTGTCTGACTATCTTTGGTTACTGGCCATGTTGATGACATCTCCTCTCGTAGTCACTCTTGGTATTGCTCTTACCGTAAGTTATAGGCACAGCCATCATTGAACGTACTCACACTGTTATATAGACGCCTCTTGCATTGATTGGTGAAATCTTCTTTAAAGGAATTATACCTAACCTTCGATATTCCCTTGGTGCCTTATTTATTCTCTCAGGGTTTCTAGCAATTAATACCAATGCTTTAAAGGAAGCAAAGTCAAGGAATCAAGAAACATTTTTGAATTAGAAAAAATAGCTGTGTAAATATCACTTTTTCTCTATTGTAAATAAACCATTTCTTTTTTATTTTATTTATTTTCACTTTTATTATAAAACTGGTTATAGTCTAATCGAACCAAAAGACACAAGAATTGCGTCTCCTCTGTCGTACGTAGATGCAGTTCTTCAATAAGTAAATTCATATGATAAACAAATGCATGTTCAATTTCTCCAAGTCGTCGTTGACTATTTTCAAATACGATCGTCGTCGGTGTATCTTTGAGTCCTACCTTGGGCATTCCAAACACATCTTGACTTTGCTCTTCTTCCAGCTGATTTAATATTCGATTGAATTTCTCTGCTAGAGTTGTAAACTTTATACATGCTTTTATCAATTTCTCAAAAATCTATTTCCAACAGAAAAAAAGAATGAGATAAATGTAGGATATAACCTTATTTTTTACTTGAAGCAGTCTTCCTGTCGTCAGCATGCATTGTTTTAAGCAAGTGTCTAAAAAATCTGAATGATACTGTAGTACTTGATCGACTGTAGATACAGTCATTAGGTTCGATTCTAATCTTCTCCAATTAGGTTCCAGTACCTCGTTTGTGACATAATAAGTAAACTGCTGTACAAACGCAAGCATGCGGTGTCGTAATGACACTGTACGAAACTTCCATCGCTCGATCTCACCGTTGACGGTCCTTGTCTTCCACAGGGCCGTCTTTTCATCCATCCATGCGTTGCATAACAAGTCCTCTACGTGCTTCAATGATAAAATAAGCCGGAATAAAAGTTGGTATTTGGTCAGCGCTTTGCGAGAGATAACAAGCGACAACGGGAACGTCACGGTATAGTCAATGGTCAGTGCATCATATCCAGTGAGTATATCCTTTGTGTTTAAAGACATGGAACTGCCAGATAGGCTTTGGGCTCTTTCCAGTCCAGGTATTTCAAACAGACTCGACTGTCTGGATTCCTTGCGGATCTCTTTTTCCATACCAGAGACATTGATGATACGTAGTAGCTGAGGCACTAACTTTAGATGGCTCATTCCCACCTTGATGTCTTCCTTGTATGGGTCGTAGGCTGCAACAGATGAAGAATTTCTCAAGACGAGGTCCATTAATGACTGAAGTCGTGTCTGTGATATATCGGACGCTGGCTGCTTTAATTCTTCTTTGGCCAAATCTAGAAATGATGTCAAGAAGTCGGATTGATCAAGGAAAAAGTAGTGCTTCAAAGAACTAACCATCCCTAAATCAGTTTTTTTTATGCTTTTTCTCTTTCTCTCTTACCGTAAACGTCCAATAAGTTGTCTTTCATTCATCAATAAATCCAGCAATGTATGACTCGCATACTTGTACGCTACTTCCAAATTCTTTGCAAACTGAGCACCATTCACGGCATCCCATACCTCACTTCTGGGTATATGAGCAAAGCTTGTACGACTGTTTGTCAGAAACGTCTTTTTCAATTCATCGTCTGCTACTTGATTCATCTCTTCAGGGTCCGCAATGATCACACCACACTCACGAACGACATTAAGGTATTTTCCTGCCAGCAGTATTTGGTTCTTCATCGGTTCTAGAAATACAGGGACAGATCCCTCTCGGATCGTATACCGCATCTCCCAATAGGCATCATTAAAATCCTCTTTCAAGTTTTCTTTTCTCACTGTGTTCTTTTCGACAATCATGAATTCGTTATATGAATCCATGATCTCTCCGTGATAAATCCAGGAATGAAGCATGTCAAAGTAAGGGGCAGATGCTTTTGATAGTAAAAACGTGTAAATCTTCTTACATGATGGATCGCTGTTGCTGTATTAGTCTTGATCTTGTCTATTATATATTTAAAAATTACCCGCTTAAGCCAATGAGCCTTTCTGCTAGAATGTTTAATATGTGTCCTCCCTTCTGATGATCTGGTATCTTGCGTTCACTTGTTTTCTTTTCTGTCAATCCTTCAATCACCGCCTCAATATCATCACTCTCTTCGTCCTCCAACACGTTATCCTTGGCCAGTCGTATGGTCATCACCAAATCATAAAGTACTTTCATACTGTGCAATGTATCTTGTGCATAGAACCACAGTTTATGAAGCGTGAACGTACTGCTGGTATGAAACTGATGTTCTAGCTGAGCAATGAATGATGTATACTCTTTCAAGAACGTCTTGATGGCTGCTGTCAGTGCATGATTGATCATACCGTATTCATAGCGTGAATAGGTTTCTGTAAAGGCGTCAATGGATGAATAATAAGTTGATAAGGGTAATATCTTTTCTACGAGATGCTTCAAACTTGGATCTATGAAAACAATTGATATCTTTTTTTTTTGTATTCATTGTTTTTTTTACCAAGGGTTGGGTCTATGGTATAGGTGAGTTGATCCCAAGTGTAGAAATCTTCTAATTGAGGTCTTTGATCGATATCCATTCTGTTGTAATCTTGTGGCATTTTCGGATAAACACGCTTGATATAGGTACCATCAAATCCCTTATATACATGCAGTTAAGTTGTAGGTATGAAGCGTATATAGATCATGCGTTTTTACCAGTAAAATGTATAACAAGTCCTCAATGATGGCATATTCTTGAATTTGAACAGAAAAAGAATCTATTTTATCTGTTTCTTCATGTCGGTCAGGCGATGATACTATTGCATATAAATATGAGATTATGCTTTTGGTATGCTTTATGTGTTCTTACTTGTGCTCAACATGTCTGTATCAATCGATTCTGGTGCTGTGCCATGTCTTATGTTGGCAATTTTCTTATTAATCTAATTGGGTGACATTACTATTAAAGAAGTGTATATGTGTTGCTTTTTTTTTGGTTTTGTCTGGTTACATTATTGAGTTGATTTTCAGACAATAGAATACTTCTTTTAGAAGGACCTGGATTGCCAGTAGGACTAGGTGATGCTGTATTGGTTGATCGAAAGTATCTTTCATTCAAGATAGAAGGGGATTGTGTTGGTGTAAGACGTGACATTAAAGAAATAAACACTATAGAGAGAGAGGGAGAGAGACGCGCTTAAACCGGGCTTTCTATTTTTTCTTTATTCATTTAAATGGCAGTTTCATCATAAGCAGGAATGACTTTAAATGGATGCGGTATAAGTGCACTACTTACATCGCCCCACCAAGTATCTGTACATTGTCTATACCATTCAACTAGAAGAAATATTAAATATATATGTACATCACTTTTGTCTTATTCTTACTTGTTTTTAATAAGCCTTCCTCAAACTTCATCCTAGGTGCCCATCCAAGTTTCTCTAGTTTTGAGCAATCTATTGCATACCTTCGGTCATTAAATGCTCTATCTCTAACAAATTCAACATGTTGATCCACTTCATTCTCTTTATATCCAAACAAGAGTATTAATCTTCTTGCCATTTCCAAGTTTGATATCTCCAGAGGCGATCCAATGTTATAGGTTTCGCCTACACTTCCCTTGTGGAAGATGATGTCGAGGGCATCAGCTACATCAGCTGCATACAAATATTTTCTTGAATTATGTCCGTCGCCATGAATATAACATTTTCCACCACGAAGTAAACTACAAACAAATTTGGATGTGATCTTTTCAGGATACTGATAAGGTCCATAGACATTGTTCGATCGAGTGATCATGATGGGCAGACCAAAAGATTTGTGGTATGCTTTGACAAGGCATTCAGCAGCTGCCTTGGTGGCAGAGTAAGGATTAGATGGGGATAGGATGGTATCTTCAGGACAATCAGGCTATTTTTTTTTGTGAAATGAGCAAGTCTAGTCATGTATATATATATATATATATACAATATGTACTTACACCATTGATAACTTCGCCATAGACCTCGTCTGTACTGACATGAATAAACCGTCTAATTTTACTAATCTTGGCGGCTTCTAAAAGGACATGTGTTCCCATGACATTGTTCCTGCAAAATGGTTACTATGACATATACTCTTTTTTTTTTTTTTCTCTTACTTTGTAAATTCAAATGAATCTCCAAAAGAGTTATCAACATGAGTCTGTGCTGCCAGATGAAAGATGACATCAATGTTTTTATCCCTAAGTAAAAATGTAATAAAATCCGCAGAAGTAATATCCCCCTATTGTCTTGTCAATCTTTATGTGCTTCTTTTTTTTTGTAATAGTCTATTACTCGAACAAATGTAAAGTTTGGAAACTCTCTGACTGACTTCAAGTTATGCAATGATCCACAATAATCCAACTTGTCTACTACATAAATATGATACTCTGGATAAAGTACGACAAGCTTTCTAACAAGAAATGATCCTCTAATACCTATATTAGAATATTGTGTACGTTTGCTTTATTGACTTACATAAACCCTGCACCTCCTGTCACTAATATATTCTTGACATCTCTCAGGTCACTGGCTAATTCAGACACTCTTTCTCCAATGTCCTCTCGGTCAAAGTCACTCATCGTTTTTACAAGTTCGGCATGTCTTTCCCTTGGTTGCATTTAGACTTTCAGGGAAAAAAAAATAGGGGGTAAAAGGGAAAAGCTATAGTTTCTTTATATATAAAATGAAATTGCGCCACTTGAAACTCTATTTTTCATTTGTTGTCCAATTCATTGTCGCTCTTTATAGAACAGTACTTTTTTTTTTCTTTGTTCAAACACAGTGAAAAAGAGCAAATATCACCAATGAACCTTTTTGTCTCTTTTTCTATTTGTCAACAGGAACTCTCCTTTTACTGTCTGTTCTTGCTTTTGTGTAAAATTAACCTTTATTGACAGTGATACATACTATTTCTATTTTTGGTAGCTTACATAATCAGTCGGATTTTATTGCAATGGATGATTTTCCACATCCGAGAACTTCAGGTATGTTTAGAAATAAGACGGTCTATGACTTCCAGTTCTTATCATGAGTGAATACATAGAAAATCATCTATTAAGGAGGTTATTTCTATTGCTAAGAAAAGAGGGGACTTTTTTTTTCAAAGAAAAAAAAAGGCAAAATAACATTTTATGAGTAGTTTATGCAAAAAGGGACGTGGTGGTCATTGCTATAAGTCTATATGCGTCGTGCATAACTATAAAAGGTTATAAAACAAGTTCTAGATAACCAAGAAAATGATATTTTAACGTCATTTGAAAAGAAACTTGGAAAGATGTTGTATTGCGTAATATTCTACATAAAGGAAGGAGGAATAGATTTTGCAATTTGAGCATAGTCCTGTATCTTGTGATGTCCATTTTGTCCATGCCAGAATAAAACCCAGTCCTTGAGACGGAGGTACCCGCTAGCTCTTTCAAAGTACCACTTATTCACTCCATTATCCTTTCGACTTCTCCAGAGTAGTTCAGGATATGCATCACACATTCGTTTCCACAAGATATCTGTCAGCCCTATACCTTGACTTGAGGGTGCTATAGCAAATTTATCAAGGTATGCATAGGATAAACTATCTGGGTTTGGTCTTTCGTTTGTCATGATCACTGCTCCTTCATAATCTCCAGCGATGATAGCGCCTGCCAAGACTTGTTCCAGTCGTGCATAATACTTTTCGACATGTACCTTTCTCTGAAAGCTGGCCTCTAAAAGCTCAGTAAGCCTTGGCAAGTTGAGGTCGCCCACCTGCTGAAAGTTGCTGATTTTTGCGCCCTGTCGAAGGACGGTCGTCTTGGCTTGATTGATTCGGGTATGATCCGTGATGGGTAAAGAGGATGAATAGAGAGGTTTGTCTGTTACAAGGTTAGTGATCAATGCTGAAGGCAGAGATGATGTAGGCGCAATGACAGCAGAGGATGTCACAGGTAGCTGCTGCAAACAATCACGAATCGTCGTCATATTTTCCAGCATGTTTGGATACGCTGTTTGCCACTCTGGGTGTTGATTAAGGAATGCAGTGCATATATCCGAATACTCCTCTTGAAGATTAACCAAACTGTGAGCTGTTCCAGGCCTTTCGTGATTGGGTATACCACCTTCTTTATTTACAATCACAATCTTGGAAGGAACCAGTTTTGGATCGAGTGCTTGATTAGCTAGTCTTTGTGTTAGTGCCAGTAGTGCATCATTAGCCCCGACAGGTACTTGCTTGCCCTCTGCCTCGGTCAGGATGGGCACAACAATGGGTATCTGATGGTTATTAATGGCTGATAAAATTAAGTCTAGATTGACATCAATGGACGTTGATGAAAAATTAGATCGTTCTAGTGTGGGTCCATAGATCAAGGCGGCTCTACCGCCTTCTTGTTCAATTGCTTCCACCAGGGTCATGCTCTCTTGGACCATTCTTTTTCTCAACTCACTTGGTGTGTGCTCTGCCAAGGTCCAGGCAGGATTGTCAGATACCACGATCGAGGTCAATCCTAGCTTTTGAAGTTTGTATAACGTCTTCCCCACATTTTGCCATCCGTTCTTTTCGAACGGTCCTTCAATTTTTGTAAGTGCCAGTTGATGATAACAGGGTGCCAAAAGTGCATTGACATAGTCTCGGGGTGAACCAAACGAGTCTTGTTTTCCGAATTTCTTTAAAAAGTGCTGAAGCTCCCTTTTGCTGGGCGTCGTGTCCATGACATTGACCAGTAGTTCCTAAAAAGAACAGCATCAACAGGACTATCAGGCGCCAAATGAATTATACTTACACGAACTTCCTTTTGCTCAGGAATAGTCTGGATCAAATAGATTAGATTGAAATATATGTCAAATCTGTCTTTGACCTACATGATATTTTCTTTTACATAAGCCTCTTGTCGTTAATCCCAAGATTGACCTACAAAGTCGTCGAGACATTGAAAAAAAGAAAGAGAAAGAAAGAAAGAAAGATAAGGGAAATAAAAAGAGAGATAAATGAAATTCAGCATTTTCTGACTCATATTTTATCAATGAGTTACTTTTTTTTTTCTTTTCTTTTGTGATAAGTGCTTTTATGCGCTTTTTATTTATAAAAAAGAATGAGGGAATAAAGATGAATTGACTCAAATGATAATAGATAGGCTTTAGATGAGCATTTTAATAATAAAAAAATAATCTATATTTACTATTGTCAGGGGTCTTTAGAATAATTTCTACTCATTACATTTAAATCCATAAATGAGTGCTTATTGTTCACTAGGTGACCCATGACATTATAGTGTTCTGCTTCCTTTCGATCACTAATGACAGTGATAAAGGGAAAAAAAAAGAGATAGAAAGAAAGCCTTTCTTTTATGGGCTGCTACATGTTCAAACTAAAGTAGAGCATACTAAAGCACTCTACTCTTTCCAGTAGTGCTTTATAAATACGTCGTCATTATCATTGAGAGATCTACAATTTTGAGTGCTGTATGGGGAGATAATGATCAACAGCTTTATTTCGAGCAGCGTCCAAAAAGGATAATTGGACTGATCGTACTTCATGTCCTAGGTTTCTGCACTAACTCAACAGTCAATTTCGTCAAATCATGAGGCACCCAAAGCTGGAATCACTGGAAAGAAATTAAAACTTGTCATTAGCTATCAACATGTGGTTTCATACTGTATTTTTCGGTAGACACATAAGAAGATATGTAAATATAGAAAGTATATATTTTTGAGATATAACGTAAAAGTCCAAAAGAAGGACAGAAAGAGAAGAAAGAGGAAATGTTAATAAGGGAACTTACAGAATTCAGGCATAACAATAGTTTCACCAAAGTACATTCATTCATCATTCTCTATATTTCTCATCACTTCAACTTCTGATTCCTGTCCAACACTCAAACAAACAGCTTACAAATACATTAAAGGTCATGTCCCTGTATTCAACATATGTTAGCTTTAGAACAAGCGAATTAGTTATCTCAGAGTAGTCATGCATAGGCTTATAATGAAGCCGTAGTATTACTTTTTTAAAATGAGCACAGATCAGATATTGACATAATTTCTGATGCTGTCAAAACCATAAAACAGTATATGATCATTTCTAAATAAACAGCCTATCTATTTTCTCGTATCCCTTGTCCTTTATTCTTTTGATATATTGGAAAGCAGTGTCAAAAGCTGTGTAATGCCTCTGTTACCCTAACTTCAACCAAAATATCACTGTGATCTAAAAAGATCTCTATGATTTTTTTTTTATCCTTGTTTAGACGATTCTAATCCGCGTTCAACAGCAGCTTATCCACAGCTTGAAATATACTAAATCTTCGAGTATACAAAGATAGTTTCACGGCGTCTGCAATCCAGGACAAACAGCCGACTAAGCCTGTCTAAATAAAAGGTTATTCTGTCGCTAAACGTAGCTTTTCGCTTTATTCAACAGCGTAAGCGTTTTTCAAGGTTGATTTATGGTCGCCTCCATAGAAATACAAGAGGTTTATATTATACAACTTGTTTTATACTTTTATTTTACAGCAGTTTTCATGGTGCTTGTCATCTAAAACCTGTTTAAAATCTTCGAAAGCTTTTAAAAGCCAATGACTATATATCGTAGAGAAAGTGTTGATAAAAAAAACATAATGCTCAGCTTTTTAATACTTTGTTATAAGTAAAGTTATTATGATTTCTATTTAGCAGAGCAGGCTTCTATTAGAGACAGTCGTATACGCCATCCCATTGGATATAATTCAATTACAATTGATAGTTCGATCATCATTAACAGTTAACTTAATTTGATACTTTTCAAGAAAGTGTTATTAGAACATATTTGTTGATATCTGTGTTTATTAGCTATTTAGCTGTTATAAAGAATGGAGATATTGGCGGTTACAAACAAAGTGAAGATTTCTTTAAGTAGTAAAAATAAACATCAATAAACGTCCTGCTGCTCTAACCAAGCATCAATAAAAAAGATGATATTACAAAAAGTACTGGAAGTACATTGAAGCCTATGCTGAAGAACAAAATAGCAGAGATGTCATTGCTAAATTTTCAAAATCTTACAATAAAAGATGTTCATGCATCTTTCCTAGTAATATTTATTCAGCCATCTACTTACAGTCGAGATATTATTTCAGAAATTAAGATAAATAAGGCTTGAGCAGTCTATAGATGACATGCACCATGCATTGAGCGGTAAAAGCTGCCTCTACCCCTCTCTTAGCGTCATAGCGCATTCACGTATAATAAACAATGCACTGCATTTGACTGCTTTTTATATCAAAAGGGCGTACATAGCTTATAATTTTTTTATCTTGGGTATTGCTAGGGACATGCAACCTTGTAACCGTATATTTAGTTTTGATCTCCACTTGCACTTTACAATTTTGCGTGTCCCGTACAAAAAGTTGAAATAAACGACTGTAATCTTTATTAATAGTGAATCCATACAGTAAAAGATTATGTACACACTCTCGACGAATAGTGTGCATAACATATGCTATAATCTTACGTAATAAGTTATGCAATAAAGCTTAAACAGCATCACTCATGCAGGCAAGGTTTACTTCAGATTTATCGATGAATTTCACCATAAAGAATAAATACTGACTTACAAATGATGAATAAATTTTATAATCTTTGCATTAAAACATTTATGATTCGATGTTGATAGTAAAGCTGCATTGAGGCATGTAGAGAACAATGAATACAATAAGATGTGATGAAGCTTCACAATAGTATAGCAATAGAACTAAAGTTGGTATTAAGTACTGTCTATCTATCTATATAAAAATTTAAACGAAAAAGTACCATTCTATTTAGGCAGGACATACTATTTTATTCCTTTCTTCACAAGACACGCAAAATTGTAAAGCTCAAGCGAGGGCCAGGACTGAGTATACGGCTACAGGTTTGCGTGTCCCTAGTAATTTCTTATTAAGCCAGCGTTATCTCATCTGTTTAAGCAAATCAAGACACGAGAAGAGCTCATGTAGTTTATGCATTTATCAATAAATGAGAAGCAGAGCACGTCCATCTAACCAAAAATAGTAAACTATGCTTAGAGCCAATAATAAATGGTCATGGCAACAATGCCTACATAAATCTGTTTCAGTATAAAAGAAAAGCAATGTTTTTCGTAAAAAAGGATATAAAAGTTTCTTCAACGATCTAATCTTTATACAAATGCAAATCAAGCTTGTTCTTCTTATTATCTGCGCTTCTCTTGCCATCCTTGGCTTTGCTACTCCTGATCCTACCTTGGAAGAAAAGATACCATATCACCTCGGATGGAAACCGTTACCCAAAACTAGTGAAGCGCAATAAAATATCAATAAGCTTAATTCTCTTTACAAATACATTTTTCAATGTTTTCGTTTCAATGCGCCATTGATAATTGATAAAGACAGACGTGAGAAAGGAGGTGAGAAAATTAACAAGAGAGTTTATTAAATTAAAGCAGTATTAAGAGTATATATTTACATAAACACGAATACATTCTTAAAGAGTAAACCTTTCTCCTAAAAGAAGAACAAACTATCCCACTCTTTCCAACAGTGATCTATAGCTGCTATTGAAAAACTTATACTTTCGAATGATTTATAATAATGAAACAAAAAGATCAATCAACTTTTTTTCGAGTACTGGTCCTACACTGATCTTACTTACGTCCTAAACTTCTGGACAAAAAACTGATTAAAACTCGTCATTTATATAAAGAAAATGACATTGTTGCCAATTTCTTTATTTATCCGTAGGTACAACTTACAATTCTCCATCTTCAATGTTATTGTAAGCATTTTGCTTATAGAAGCAAAACGTGTGTTAGATGTGCTTTTTATCTTAATTCAGCGTTATTTCATCAGTTTAAGCAGATCAACATACGGAGGAAAGTTCATGTTGCTTATGCATTTATGAATACATGATCGATAAAACAGAAAGAAACATGCACACCTACCTAACCAATAATAGTAAACTATGCTTAGAGCCAATAATAAATGATCATGGCAGCGACGTCTACATGAATCTGTTTTAGTATAAAAAAGAAGAAATGTTTTTCGTTAAAAAAAGGGACACAACAGTTCTTTGATTTATACTTTATTACTCAAATGCAAATCAAGTTTGTTATTCTTACCATCTGTGCGTCTCTCTTCGCTATTGGCTCTGCCGCGCCTGCTTCTTCACTTTGCCAGGCCGCTAAAACCTTGTCGGAAATGTCTCCTCAACAAAGAGAGCACTTATCAATGTTAATGGAAGGTGCATGAAAGGGTTTGAATTTCCGGAAAATAGAAAAGATGCTCAAGTTGCTAAAGTGCAATAAACATCAATAAACTCAATAGTTCTTTTACACATCATATTTATTTCTATGCGTCATTAGTAAATAATAAGGGCAAGTGCGCTTTATTTTAGCACTAAGATACATTCGTTTTATCAAACACAGACAGATCAGCTTTAAACACGGATGTTTTACTTCTATAATGATGAATCTTCATCAATAGCTACCACGCTGACTGGTTGCTTACATGTACTGTCGATTTCAAGGGAGGAATCTGTTGTCAAAAAGTCCGGCAAAA